TTATTGTTGTTATTGTTGTTGTTATTGTTGTTGTTGTATAGGAGTGTTGATGAAGATGATGGTGCACTTGAAGTCAGTAGACGAGTGGACCTGTATGTGGACATTGAGGAGGTGGCAAGACCTCTGCGCATCATTGATGCTGAGGCAATGACATTGAAGCATTGGCTGCTGCTTCTTGATGTTGAAGTGAGCATTGTATTATGTTATATTGATTGTATATATGTATGTATAACAATGATGTCAATAGATAACAATGACGCATACAGTGTGTGGGAGTCGTCTGATTGTTTGATCGTTTTGTATCTTTGTGTAGTGTTTGTACTTCGTTTTTTATCATTCTGAATCATGTGCCAGAGTACATAGAGAATGAATACTTTATTATTATTATGAACAAGTGAAGAGTTGATCACTAATGACTGCCACATTGGAATCATGGACAATGTAGCCGAATTGATACTTGTTGCCTGGTCCAAGAGATAGACCAGTGATTGTGAACTCACCTGGTTCGTTACAGAGTACACCCCAAGCTTGTTCTGCATCCTCAATCGTCAAAGATACAGAGCATATACTTCCAGTTCCCGTGTTGGTGACGTCAACCTCAACAACAGAGTTGGGACCCGATGGACCAGTCCAAGTATTGACCACACGTTGGGTGAATGTACCCTTGCATTGTTGTTGATTGCCTGTTGACACTGTGCTGCTGGAGCTAACACCTGACGATGAGGACTGTCCTGTGGTGGTTGCTGTGATGGCTACTGGCGATCCCGACTTGCAGTTGGTACCAACTATGATCTTGTCTAACGTCGATATCAATCCGAATGAGTAGACTTTGCCGGGCAAGAATGATGATGTCTTTTGGTAGTCTGGCAAAGAGTAGACGCCAGTACCAGCTTTGTCTACTCCCCATATGGATGACACATATAATGGATCAATAGTAATTTGAACATTTGAGGGGATGGCCGTGGCACCAACATTGACAATGGTAACATTGAACTGGTTATACTTGACACCGCCACTATCCCATGATCCTGTGATAGCAGTCAGAACAGTGGCAGTACATCCAGATCCACCACCACCAGTAGTAGTTGAGGGAGTACCAGTTGTTGTAGGTGTACTAGTAGTTGAAGCACTACCTGATGTTGTGCTTGGCTTAGGAGTACCAGTGGTTGATGGACCAGTAGTTGTTGTGGTGGTAGTTGATGAGCTCGAAGTTGAAGATGTTGAAGAGGTTGTGGAAGGTGGGATAGATTGACCAGACACTGTTATTGTTATTGACATTTGTTCTCCGGGACTAGAGACCGTGTACACCTTTGCAGAATCTAGTTTGATGGTATATATTCCCGGCTGTGATGTTGATCCTGTGATACGGCCATTGAACACACCATCTGATGATACCACCTGATGTGATTTACCATCATAGGTATAAAATGATATCCAATCTCCAACCTTTAAATTTAAGTTCTTACTAACTGAAGGTCCATTCCAAAATACAATCAACGAATCTATTAAATTAAATTAAAGATGGATATATTATTATTAAAATTCTATTCAATCAATCCATAAATATATATTTTATAATACATACCTGATGCATTGACGTATCCTCCTAATGAGGATAAAGACACAATTATTATTATTAATGTCAAGATATATTGTTTAAACATATTTGAATCCTATCTGTTTAATAAACGATGTTGATGATAAAGTGCAGAATGAATGTTCCTAATTGTTTGTTCGAATGGATATCAAAGGACATTGGTCATGAGATACTCAACGATCCAAGTCAGTATTAGGGTCCAAAACACCATCGTTGAAGTTTGATGTCCCACCACAAGCCTCTGGTGGGGGTTTGAGCCCAAACTTTGTGTTGTCCGTCAGTTTCCCTAAAGTGGGTGTTGGTGAGGTCGACCACTTGGGGTCAGGTCCTCAACACCCACTCTAACTCATTCACATACAGTATCTTGTTTGGATGTTCCAAGCTTATGGGAAGGAGGATGATTGAATATGATTCAATAATTCAAGGCATCAACATCTTTTATTAATATATTCACTCACACCCTTGGACACCACCTTCCAGTTGGTCCATCCTTTGGTACCACCCTCAACTTTGGTTTAACAATAAGGTGTGGAAGTGATCTTAATTGTTCGATACCATCTTCTGAAAGTTGTGGATTTGATCCAACATTGATGTATGTAATAGTAGTATTGCATTGCATTGCTTGAATGATTGGATCCCATAGTGTTAGATTGTTTCCACAAAGGCCAAGAGTATCTAAATGCTTGTTGTTACGAATCATTGATGCCAGTGCTGGAACATGCTCATCGTTGATTGTGCCACTGTTCAAGTACAACTGTTTCAAAGAGTTGTTTTGTGAGAGTATCTCAAAGAAGTCGTTGTTGATAATCGGTAGGTTCTTGAGCAATAGACACGAAAGTGTGTTGTTATGTTTGAACACTTGAGCGAAAAGAGTCGGCAAAGAGCGCACGAGGTACCTCGAGTAATTGTGCTGTCTCGACCGAGTTCATACACTCTGCAACACTCTTTGTGCAGAGATTGTAAAGATCCAGGACTCTAAGTGTGGTATTCTTCTGGAGTGATTGGCATAGTTGTTGAAAGAGCTCGTGTGAGTCTGATGTACGACCGGCAGATATGAACTCATTGGTACAGTGAGTTGATCCTTGTTTCCCATTGAGTATGCTAGTGAAGGCCAATTCCAATATTAGACTTTGTAGTGTGGGCCAGTTTGCAAGCATATTGTTGACATCGCTCAAACTAACATAGTCACCACAAATGTATAGGCTCTCCAGTCGACCAATGGTTGGTGGATAGAGGTCTTTGTAACACATGTGCCACTTGGGTTCGGATGAGGACATGGTTAGTTCGAGCGAATTGGAATTGAGCTTTCCGACCTCCTCAATGATGCCTCCCAATCCTTCGTCGTCAACGTTAACATCCAACTTCAAGGTTGAATTGGCAAAGCGTTTTCTAATTGCGGCCGGTACATAACTGATCCTTTCACCTTCGGCAATGATATCTTCTGCCATGAATTTGTAAGAGGCAACCCATGTCAACTGTATTCTTGACATGCGCTCTTGGCCCAGATCCTTGTCCAATGACTTGATAATGTCAACAACTTGTTTATCGGGAATGAGATTCAAATGAATGTGTTTCAAGTTTATCAAGTGATCCATGATGAACTTGACAAGGTGGAGTTTCTGGCCATTGAAACCAGCAGCTCCATTTTTACTCGGATGTATACTGATCGAGGCAATATTGGTCGTTCGTAACAATGAGTAACGAGAGTTGAGTTTTGTAATTAGATCAACATCTCTATAGATGATCGATTCCTTGTTCACTTTAAATACCACTGATCTTCCTATTCCTCCTTTAAAGACCTTTGATTGTATATACTCTAACCATCTCCAACATACACGAGCAACGCTCTTTAACATCACCATACTTCTTGGTGCACCAACCTTGCCATCTTCATCATTATCAAACAAATAATCTATCAATCTAAATTGTATTTGTATTGGGATAGTTGTAATTGTATGAGTTGAATCCATCTTCTATCTCTATCTCTATCTCTATCTCTATGTTTGGAGTGTAATAATCCCTTTCATTTGAGCAACCTTCAAAGCATTGGATTGTCGAACCTCTAGTTCCTGGAATAGCACATTGTTGAGATCTGCAAACCTTTTCCCCTCATTTCGCGAACAAAAATCCATTCTGTAGATTTACATTTAAATCATGTCCATTGTAGTACTAGACGATGATGATGATGATGATACAGTTCGATTGATGAATTGCTCGACACCTTCTACAGTGACGATCTTGCGCTTCTTTGAACTGTTGTCCAGCTTCTCTAGACGTGCTTTGAGGAATGTGAGCCTTGATGTATCCTGTGAATCGATGACGACATATTGAATGGCTTGATCAAACTGCACACTGACCACTCCTCCATAGAACTGTATCTTATTCTTTATCAACTCCATACTATTACTCTCTATATATGTACTCTGTTCACTAAATATGCCGGAATGAATGAATGAATGAGCGAGTGAAGGAATGATACTATGGATGATTGATTGAATGACCTTACCCAATGACTTGATATCGATCGAGATAGAATGTCTTATTACGAAGTTGTGACCACCATGCATCTGGAAAATACTTGGACTCCAATCGATCAAACTCTGCTTGTCCAACTTGATTACTGCCACCACCCGACGACGACATAGAAGCCTTCCTTTGCTTGGCCACTTGAATGAACGAATCATTAAGGTCAGCCTCATTGGTGTCAACAGTGAATGAGTCTCCATATGGATCAATGTCTTGAAGGAATAGGGTTCGCGTGGCCTCGGTCGTGAAGATCATGTACTTGGGTCCGAGTGGCAGACGACGACCCGCGGCAACACAATCAACGATCCATTGAAAGTGTATAATGTCGATTGTGCCAGAGTTGATGAGGTTCTGGATCTTGACCACCTCTTTTGACGATACGACATAGTTGGTGCGATGCGATGGGTATTGTACCTTGGTTCCGCCATTCGCCACGATCATGATCTCGAGTGCAGCCTTGGTGTGTTGCGTGCGATCGCCTTTGATCACGCAGAACTCTACTCCCTCAAAGATGTTGTTGGAGGGCAATACATTGCTTGTGTCTGTGTCCTGGAAGATGGAGAGCAAGCCAACAGTCCTGCGTGGCTTGGGTGCCGCCGCTGCACCACGTCTCTTTTTCTTGCCGCCTGCACCGTCGCCATCCGTGCCGCCGCCACCACCGGCCAGCAACTCAAACTTGCGCTTGGCGTAGCGACCTTCAAACTCCTGCGCCAACTCGAGCAGCTGGGGATACTCCAGACACTCAGTCCAATCCTTGTCCGTGCGGATGCGCACGACTCGAGGGAATCGCAAAGTGAAGGTGGCGCGGTACTTCTCGGTTGGCACAAGCTGGGCAGCCTTGATCTGCAGCGCGCACGAACGGGTGGGATCGATCCACACGTCGGGCTTCTCACGGAATGGTTCCGCCAACTGAAGACACCGCGGTGGGTTGGACGTGTTGAACGGTTGCCAGTGTGGGTCGAGCAACTTTTGTAGCTCGCTGAGCTCGGCATCGCTGTAGCCGCTGCCCACTTTGCAGAATGAGTAGAAGACGTTGTCGGGCTCCTCGGGGTTGCGCACACCAAGCATAAAGTGTGAGATCGTGCCGCCGCGACGACCCACACCACTGCCATAGTAGCCCCCCACTATCACCAGGTCCAGGTCATCGCCCACCCCGTCCAGGTACTCGGGCTTGATCTTGATCCACTTGTCCTTGCGCTCGCCTGGCACATAGATTGAGTCCAGGTTCTTGATCATGATGCCCTCCTCGCGGTTAAGTATGGCGCCGTCAAGGTGCGCCAGGATGTCCGCCGTCGTCTGGCACGGCTTGTGCTCAGACACTTCAAACTGGCGTGGCTTGACACGCACACATCGCTTGAGAATTGACATGCGCTGTGACAGTGGCAACTCCATCACACTCTGATCGCGCACATAAATGATATCGAACGCGATGTAGCACAGTTGTTTGCCATAGTTGTTGTTGAGTGTGTCGCTGGCAGCATCCTTGCCACCCAGGGCCAGTGTCTTGAGCTTGCCAAACTCCTCGAATCGCTGCGAGATTGTGTCCCAGACGAGCAGCTCGCCATCGATGATGCACCTGTCCACGCTGACAGCCTCGCGAACAATCGGTCCCAGTAAGTTGGCGTAGATGTATGTGCAGTCGTTGCTATTTCGCGAGAACAGTTTGATTGTGTCGCCATCCTTGTGCAACTGGATGCGCTCGCCGTCGTACTTGGTCTCCACGACAAAGGGATGGTCCTCCAGAATGCTGATGACTGAGTCGATCGGTTTGCGATTGGCCAGCATTGGCTTGACGGGTTGGCCGAGTGTGATCACCTTGGGGTCGGCGCCGGCAGCGACCATGAGGAGCGCAGTGTTGCGGTTGCCCTTAAGGTCGTCGCACACCTTTTGTAGGCTGCAGCTGATGTTGAACAGGTTCATGGCGTCCGGGTGCAGGAAGGCCAGGATGGACTTCTCGGACATGCCGGTCTTCATCTCCTTGAGGATCACGCGAACGAACCACTTTTGCTCTGTGCATGTCGTGTGGCGCAACACGCGCTTCAAGATGATCGTCTTCTCCTTGCGATCCTCCGTGAGCACGAGTCCGTCCAACGCTATGTTGACGTCGGCCATCGACAGCCGACCCTTCTGGACACAGCGATTCTTGAGCGAGAGGTAGACCGCCGTGCCAAAGTCGCCGCCCACCTCATTGCTCGTGGACTTTTTCCAGTTGACCAGACGTGTGGCGTCGATGCTGCTGCCGGCAATGCCCAGGATGTCGACGTAGATCTTGGCCAACGTCTTCTCCTTCAGGCCGTACACCTGGCGGTCCTTGTCCAAGTGTGGCAGCAGCAATCTGAGCAAGGGGAAGAAGTTCTCATCCTTGTAATTATTGAAGAATATCGATAACTGCTTCTTCTTCTCAGAGTGCTTGGTGATTTTGCTTATACGCTCCATCAGCTCACAAAACACAGAGAATGGCACCTTCTTCTGATAGTCATAGTTGACCTGTTGTTGTTGTTGTTGCAAGTCTGTCGTTGTGGATTGATGCGCTCCATCCATGTGATCAACATCCATTCTTGCACCGTCATCATGATCATTATGGTCATCATAGACACCATGTTGTTGTCCAACATCCACATCATCATCGTCATCGTGGAACTCCAATGAGAATGCTTGTGGCTGCTGTGGTCGCGACTTTATCTGACCATGACCATTACCATGTCCATGAGATTGACCATGGGCTTTGTATTGACCATGTTTGTTGTTGTTGTTGACTTTGAGATGATTGAGTGATGTAGCTATGCCGGTGACTGGTCTTGAACATGAGCTTGATGCACTACTCTTGGAAGGAGGAGCAGGAATAGATGTCTTGATTGAAATGTCTTTGTGATCATCACCATCTCCATCTCCATCTTCATCATCATAATGCAAAGAGAACATGTTTGTGTTACTGATTTATAATTAGTCCATCACCTGGATGTAGTCCTTTTCAAAAATGTGATCAAGTTGGCGCCTTTTCAAACATTTTGATCACACCAAGTCTAGGAAACTATCAAACAGTCAGGCATTGACACACATAATCATTCATTCAAATATTTGTTATTTATTTCATTGATACAACATTCAGGATCTCAACACGACGAATTGGATGACTCTCTGGTGTGATTTGCTTCATTGTCTTGAGACAGAAGGTGTAGTTGACTGGCATGGTCTTGGTACCTTGGCTAAAGGTGAGATCCTTGTTACCCTTGCCAAAGGCTGTCTCGACATGGGTAGCAACGTCATTGGCAAAGTCGAACCAACCCTTCTTGTTGTGGAACTGCCAGTGAACGTCCTTCTTGGCGACCAGGCTGCCCTGGATGGGCAGAGAGTGTTGGAATCTGTGGTCCAGACCAAGCAGCCACACGACACTGTTGGCCAGATATCTTGCCACTCCTGTGTTGGAGGCGCCCGTCAACAAGAGACGGTCGGCAGCAGAGTCGACAATGATGCGACCCTTGTTTGGTGCCACACTGTTGTTGCTGCACACGATGGTGCCCTTGCCCAGCTTGTTGGATGCCAAGATGTCCAACTCGGATGGGAGGGTGGCGGTGATGTGTGTCTGGCGACTGCCCTCAGACAGACGCACCAGACCACTGGTGATCAGGTGTGCGTTGAACTTGCCAGCGAGGGCATTCTTTCCACGAGCGAATGCCAACACAGAGTCGTCGGTTGCGTCGTCCTCCACAGCGCTATCAGTGAGCAGGTGGCACTTGTCGCCATAGAGTGCCTTGAGGATGGCGTTGGTGTAGTTGCAGAGCTTGTCCGATGAGCCAAACAAGTAGAGACCCTTGCCATGATTGTTGAATGAGACCACAGCCTCGAGGAAGTCCTTGCTGACGGTCACCTTGCTGGCCTGGGTTGGCAACACGATGGCCATGTCCACCTTGTTGTCCTTGAGCTGTTGGACAAACTTGGCGGCATCATGAACAAAGACGGTCTTGACTGCCTTTGGCTTGAGGTACTCGGTGATTGCCTTCTCATATTGCTTGCTGCCGGTGGTATCCAACACGAGCACAGTGAAGCTGGCAAAGGCACCGTCCAGACCGAGGTCATACTCGTTGCCAACTGGGTTGGCGTCGAATGTGCACACGGCAGCGTTCTTTGTGTAGAAGTGCGAGAGACTGGATCCGTGAGGAAGCTTTGAGAAGAACGATGCTTGCTTGGTGACCAAGTCTGGCTTCTTGGTGGTGGCCTCGGGGGCAGCAGCCGCTGATGGTGCAGATGCTCTCTTTCTCTTGGTCGATCCCTTGGCCTTTCTTGCTGGCTTGGCCTCGGTCTCCTCGTCAGTGTCGCCGTCCTCGGCAGCAGCTGGCTCTTCATACTCATCGTCATCATCTGAGGACAGCAGACCAAGCTGGCGAGCCTTGTTGGCGGCCTTGACTTGCATGTAGTCGACAAAGTCATCGATCTCAACCTCTCCAGTGTTGTCTGGATCAATCTCTGCCAAGATCTTGTTGATTCTCTTGGCCACTGCACGCTTGCCCATTGATTGGAGTACGTTGGACAACTCGGCGTAGCCGATCTTGCCGTCGTGGTTGGTATCAAACACTCTGAAGATCATACGCAGCTCCTCGTCATCTGGACCAGTGTAGTCCTTGCCCAAGAGATTGAACAAACTCTCCTGTCTCTGCTTCGAGCCAGCTATAAAGTCCAAAGACTCTCTTGCCTTCTTCCTGAGTCTGGTCTCGATTTGAACACGGACCTTCTGGATGGCCTTGGGCTTCTTGATGGCGGCGACGGCGGTGGAGGCGGCGGCTGCAGTAGTAGTTGTTGATGTTGATGATGTGGTTGGGGCTGCTGCGGCCTTGGCTGTGGGCTTACTTGGTGAGGCAGCCACTGCAGCTGGCTTCTTGTGGCTTGGAGCGGCGGCGACGGGCTTGGCAGTGGTAGCCTTTGGTCTGTAGTTCTCTGTCTTGACGTAGTATCCAACGGATGGGTCGAGAGTGAATGTTGTCTTGGTGGCAGGGTCTTTAGCAATGTTGAACCAAAAGGCAGTGTTCTTGAGTGGGAGAATGGGTTCTCCATAAATCTTGGTTGGCTTGGTGGGGGCAGCAACAGCAGTGTTGGTGGCTGTTGTGTTCAACATGGCAACATCCTCTCTGACAAAGTTCTCCCTGCTGAGTTCATCAAAGATCCTGGTCATCTCGACTGGTACTCCAGCAGTGGCGTTGAACACCTCGTTCTGATACTCGCGGAACTTGGTGGCACTGGTCTCACGGAAACAGATGGCCTGGAACATCTCAGTGATCAATGAGAACTTGTCAAAGTTGATTGACAGTCCTCCAGTGCGCTCGGCAATCTCGTCGTAGAAGGCCGGCTCATCACAGCGGGCCTTGACACCGTATATCTTGACGCCCTTGCTTGCAAGAACATCACACTCCACCAGCCAGTTGATCTGTTGATCAGTATAGCTGGGTGGATGAGGACCGGCGTCTCCAATCATCACCAGAGCTTTGGATGTGTGATAGCTCCAAGACAGACCGTTGGCACGGCGCAGGGCATACTCGTAGGCCTCCGGGGTGTCTCCACCACCAGTCATTGGAACGTTCTTGATGAATGACACCAAGGCAGTGACATTGTTAGTGAGATCCAACACCTTCAACAGGTTGTCGCCATCACAGTAGTCACCAAGACCCATAATACCAATCTTGATGTTTGGGATGTCCTTGATGAGACGTGACACGGTGCCCTCGACTTGAGTCTTTACATTCTCAATGATGGATGACATGGAGCCGGTTGTATCAAACACAAAGACGATCTCAACGTCGGAGGAGATGGCATTGTCGACAAAGCTTGCCAACAGAGCCTGGTCATCAGCGCTCAACTCCTTTTGGGCACCAGTCGATTGAGAAGTAGTGAGTTCAATCACATCACCATTTGACAATGTCTCTTGGAGTGAATGTTCTGGAGTCAATACACCGGCACCCTTCTTCAATGTAATCTTCTGATTGTTATCAGCCAAAGTTGGAAGGGCAGTTTGGAGTTTGGATCGGATGGCACTAATAAATGATTGATTGAATGTTAGTTTAATGTACTTTGAATGATTGAATGGCAATGATGTACTTACCCAATCAAATGTAATATTTGAAGGTTCTGGTTGTTTGGAATATTGACAAGATGTTGAGTGCCGTTTGGAAGATGGATGTTGAATGCCAATTCGCGGATGACATTCATGTCAATGAGTGTCTCGTGTTGGATATTCAAAGATGTCAATGTAACATTTGGTTGCATTCTTACACCAGCCAAATGTAATTCAAATTGATACACAGCCATCTCTGTTCTCTCAGCAACCCTCTGTGCCAATACTCCAACATTTATAGCTTGATCAACTTCCAAGCTGAATACATTGTTTGGTGACTTGATTAAAATGAACATGTCTTGTTTAATGTTTGTTTGAATAAATAATAATGAATGTGAATGAATGAATGATTTAATGTTGTTGTTATGTATGTATGATTGATTGAATGTTTATTCCCTCATTTCGAAATGTCATATTTATGTTTAATTGGTGTTGCTTGCCCAATCCCAACAGATATTTCTTGGCAAAATTGCTTTTTATGGGAATATTTTCAAAGTTGATCGATCACGCACACTTTGACTTTCACTCCAACATTAATCAAACTCGCCGTCAAAAACTAAGGCCTCTCGACGAGAGGTACCTCCTGCTACGCCTGCTTTGGCATACTCACTGATACGTGTGACAAAGAAGTCACCTTTGCTTGGCAGACTTATCAACTCCATCCAATCGAAAGGATTGACTGTTTTGTAGATTTTGTTGTGGCCGAGAGAGTAGAGTAGACGATCGGCACAGAACTCAATGTACTGGGACATCTGTTTGCTATTCATTCCAATCAAGTCAACTGGCAACGAGTCTGTGATGAACTCTTTCTCACACTCTACGGCATCGCGAATGATTGATTCGATGGCCTGATCATCAAGTCGGTGCACAAGCTTCTTATACAACAAACAGGCAAAGTCGCAGTGCAATCCCTCATCTCTGCTGATCATCTCGTTGGAGAAGGTCAGACCGGGCATGAGTGCGCGCTTCTTTAGCCAAAAGATGGCGCAGAAGCTGCCGCTAAAGAAGATGCCTTCAACTGCGGCAAAGGCCACCAAACGCTCGGCGAACGACTTTGAGTTGGTGATCCATCGCAGCGCCCAGTCGGCCTTCTTCTTGACGGCGGGGATCGTGTCGATTGCGTTGAAGAGGTGTCTCTTCTTCTCTGTGCTCTTGACGTACGTGTCGATCAGCAGACTGTAGGTCTCGGCGTGAATGTTCTCAATGGCTATCTGGAAACCGTAGAAGCAGCGAGCCTCGGGTATCTGCACCTCTGACATGAAGCGCGTGGCCAGATTCTCATTGACGATGCCGTCGGATGCGGCAAAGAATGCCAGCACGTAGGTGATAAAGTGTCGCTCATTGTCATTTAGTTTGTACTCCCAATCATTGATGTCGGCTGCCAAATCCAACTCTTCGGCCGTCCAAAATGACGCTTCGGCCTTCTTATACATTGACCAAATGTCTGGATGGCGAATAGGAAACAGAACAAACCTATCCTTATTCTCACGAAGTATTGGTTCATCTTGGATATTTATTATCTGTTGTTGCATTGTTGTATTATTAATATTAATTTCAGATGCAATAATAACTAGTTGTTATTATTGTGCACAATATTTGTTGATCAGTCATTGACTGATGAGTTTCGAAGAGTGATATCACTTTCTGTTTTCCATTTCCACGAAATTATTCCAACGAATTGGTTTTATTTTATTTTTTATTTCACCACCACACAATATTATTTTTATTTATATTTTTGATTGTGCTCACCACTAATAACGGAAGTTCTATAATTTAAAAAATAAAGGCTCCCGCCAAATTTTAAAAAGTTAAAGTTAAATATTAATCATATTAGTTTTATGAAAATGTATAAAACATACATTAGATATATATTAAATAGTAAATAATAATATATATGGTATAATAATAATAGATAGTATCATCATCATTCAATCATAATGGACTTGAAGAAAGAGTTGGCCAAGAAGGCAACGAGAGAACTCAAATTGATTATAGCTAGGTCACAGGATAATGAATTGATTCAACAATGTCCAGATGTTAGAAAGGATATAATAGAGTTTATATTAGATAATGATTTATATAAACCAAGAGTGAGATCATCTTCCAAACCAACAACAACAACAACAGTATCATCAGAATCAACAACAGAATCATCATCAGCAACAACATCAACAACAACCAAGAAGACAACAAGAAAGGTGAATCTCAAAGATTATAGTCATAGACGTGAAGAACAACCAAAGCCTGGTGATAAGCGAACAATCAAGAGACCAACACGCATATGGGATGAACTGGAGCAAGATACCTCTCATACTCATACTCATACTCACAAAGGCAACAACAAACCAGCATCAACAACAAAGACAACATCATCATCAACATCAACGATACAAGTCAATAATTTGAACAATCTACCAGAGCATCAGTACAAGGAGTTGTACGATCACCTCAACTTACTCACCGTCGATGGTCTAAAGAAGAATGAATTGGCCGGATACAATGGCAAGATACCAAGGAGGAAGCATGACATCATTGAGTTGATCATTCAATTGCGTACCAGTGATGATCAAGATATATACTACGATGTGGACAATACCATCAATACCAACAATTCCAACAATAATAATAGCAACAATGATGATCTGTTTGGCCAATGGAGTGACATTGAGATGGATGATGAGGAGGATGGACATGGTGGCTGGTGTGGCAACCAAGACAGCGATGGCAGTTCAGATGATTACTATATGAATGGTGCCAATCAGCCAAGTTTCCATAAGAGCTTCATGAGACAAGAGTATGACGACGACGATGACATTGATGGCAATGATGTTATGGACATGGAGCTGGATGTGGACTCGGAGGAGGATGAGGAACACGTCGCATTGGATGTGGACGAGTCGTCATTTGAGGAGGATGAGGAGGACATAGAGGATGCTGAGGACGAGGAGGATGAAGAAGAAGAGGAGGAGGAGGATGAGGAGGACGATGAGGAAGACCAGTCCATCATATACACATTCAAACCACTGTATCAATTGGAGGAGGACTTTGGACAACATCACAATGTTGGATTGCTCCCTGTCAAATACCAGGAGATGATCATTGACCATCTGTTGAATACCTTGAAGAGGAGTAATTGTGATCTTACTGTTGGCGACGGCGGCGGCGGCAGAAATCAAATGATGTTCCACTTGGCATTGGTATGTAGACGTTGGTATGATCACGTGGCGACATCACCGGCCAACCATGTATATATAAACTACTTTGGCATGACACGTGACAAACGTCACCTGGCCAAGCAAGTGATCACTGGCAGGATCACCAGTAACTACACGATCACTCAAAGGATCACCAACCTGACGATCCAGTATCCGCCAGTGCTCCTCGAGGACGATGAGTCAGAACATTCATTCCTGTTACTCGATGACGACCAAGATGCGACAATTTCCGACGATGAAGATGGCGTCCAATATCAAATGAATGTCGAGAATGATGAGAAGCTCAAGAAGATGGTCGAGTCCAAAATGGTGTTCCGCGAGGCACCCGAGTCATCCCTGACCACATGCTCACAGGCAATGACTCAGAAATACCTGCTGCCAGCTCTGACTGTGCTCTCAACCCTGACCAGTCTGACCATCGTCAATCCGCAGCCCGACCAGCTGACAGACTTCCTCTCACTGCCCAGCTTCAACAACCTCTCCCACCTGGCGCTCACCATTGGCAACATTGGCTTGTGGGACAGCCATCATCATTTCAACCTGTGGACGTTCATGAGCCACAACACCTCGGTGACCAGCTTCAGACTGCAGATGGATGCCGACGAGTCGGAGCAGGCCATACACGACCTGTTCATCAAACGAATCATGGAGGAGTTCTGCCAAAAGCCCAAGATGAAGCGACTGGAGTACAATACATCGTTGGGCCAGTATCGTTCGTACCACAGTTCGAAGTTGCCAACCATAGCTGGAGTGTTGATGGCCAATGATGGACTAGATGACAAGTCATACAATAGCTTGCCCTACCTCAACTCGCTGTTCAAGAATGAGTCGCTGACACGCCTCGAGTACACAGTGGCTGACACTGAGCACAAACAATCGCCTGAAGAGCTCAATGCTAAACTCGAGAAGTGCTTCCAACAGATCGCCTGGAACAAGCTGATCAAACATTTGACGTTGCGATATCGATCTGGACATGGCCAAGGAAGCAAGATCTTCCGCAAGTTGATTGGTTGGTCAATATCATGTGTCTTTGGTCTACCCAATGAGACAATCCGCACTCTGGCCCTCTCCAGCCACTTGATCATTCCTGAGCTGTTCCAACAATTAGCCAACACCGAGGGCAAGAACAAAGTGACCAAGTTCAAGGTGATTGAGTCACTGAACAGCAAGCAGTGGAAGGCACTTCTGGAGTGGGTAGCCAGCGACCCTGTTCGTCTGACTGCGATTGAGTTGCCTGCCGTGTCCAAAAAGAATATGACCACCAACCCCAAAAGTGGCAAACAGCAGTCCCTGCTGTCCCTGCTGTCCCGTGCGCTCAAGGCCAACAAGCATCTGCAGCGCATCAAGATCAATGGCAAGATCAGCATTGAGTTGTTGAAGCGCATCCTGGTGTGGGCATCCAAAGACTCAATGTTCACATGCAAGTTGGTTGATCACAAGCTGACTGGTCCAACCATCGAGAAATTACGACCAATCACCTACTATTGCCAAAAGAACATCATCAAGATTGGCGGTATCGAGTCGATGTCACATCTTGAGCAACTATTCCAAGAGGATGACAAAGAGAAGGAGTAACTTACTTGGATTGTCAAAGCTAATGAACTTTCATTCGTTCATTCAATCAATCAATCAACCATTCAATCAATGACACTTACAATAATAAACAATTGAGTGCGCATCGCATGAAGGGAAGCTCCTCCATGATGCCACCAACCAACCGACAACCATGGCCATGTAGCCAGTATCACTTCCTCGTGAAAAGACACAAGTCAAGCTGGCCAGGACCTGGGAATAAGTCGACGTGGACGGCGGTTTAGGCTCTTCTGTCTACGACCAATGAATTGACAGCTCCGCGTATCAGCACTCGATCGGCGCAAATTTGATCAAACAAGTGTCCAGATTCTTTGTTTCGGACGATTAATACCAGCTAAATGAGATTGGCCATACGCTAGTAGTTGGCCAACGTGGCCCCCAATAGTTTTTCGTCTGCTTTGGGATCAAGCCAAATTTCTTAAAATATCCTTGGCTATCAGGTGATGGCCTTCAGTGAGGTTGGCATGGGCTGTTGATTGATTGGGGGGTCGTTGGTTCCCTTGATCTTGTGAGCGTGTGGGATGATTAGTGAGGGGGTGAGATGGGTCGACCCTTTCAGTCTGATCAAGGAAAAAACAACAAGGATAATAATACTTTGGGCCAGTGGTGTCGTCTTCTTGGGAGGTGCCACGAGTGAGTAAACTTAGTAAGTTGCCTGTTTGTCGGTGTTAATTAACACTCAGAAGTGGGCACTCAGCCAATAAGGAACATATGATTAGCCACTGTTTCATACCCCTGTAGCCTATACAACCTAATACTGACCTCCTAACAACTACTCTTACCATCTATGATTGATTGTTTGATCGTTTACTGTTATCTATATCTATCTATTATTACTCTTATTTACAGTTACTAACCTAACCGACTTTTGACTTGAATAACTACAACTACAACAACAACTTCAACACTTTGATCTACATCATCATCAATCGATTTAAATACTTTACTCATCTATTGAACTGCAGAATATCCAAGCGAGAACTTAACAAACAAATCAAACAACTCCTCAACAAAAGTAATTATTATAACTACTCTCCATCCATTGAAACAGGTGGCACACATTCATTCGTCCTTGTACACGCATCCACAATCCACAATCCACAATCCACAATGTACACACGATACATAACAAACAATGAAGAAACTTAAACCTTAGGTCCATCTATCATTCAATCGCTAAATACTTCACACGATCAACACTTACACATACACCAATACACACACAAATAACATGATCATGATCGGTATCCATCATGACCACAACAGGACATCAACAAACCAAACCACACACCATCTCCACCCTTGCCCCGACTTTTGAGCTGGAACAGGATGAGAAAGTGTGTGAGGTTAGAGAGATGGAAGTATGCATCAACAAGTCAAATGTTGTGTTTGATGCTGTGTTGGTGCTAAAGTGTGTTAGTGTTTTATGGGAATGTGAGAGGACGGAAACAGATGTGAGGTCGATGTGGCATGCCTGTCCCTCATCTAATATTCATTCACTCATTCACCACCACCAATCTCATCAACGTCTTCGTCATCCATCAATCAATCAATCAATCATGCATTCATACATTCACAAGGTGTAATCACATGTGTTGTTGTTATTGTTGGCTTATGTGTGTGTTATTGAGTTGTGTTGTGTTGGTTGTTTGGGGTTCGAAATGACTTGATGGTTAATCCCAATGACCAAACTAAAGTTAATACTTTAAGTAATGCAACGTCCATCTCTATCTTGTTATAACAACTACTACTACTACTTCGTAACACTGATATATAAGTGTTTTTTGAGATCACCGACAACAACAGCCAACAACAGGCCAACAACAACAACAATACCATACATCATCCAATCAATCAAACATCATACAACAGAACATCGGAATGTGGCTTTAGCGTTAACATCGAAATACTGATTATCATAATCCAATCAATCTATCCGGATATCAACCGGTTGTATTATTACATTACATTATTACAATATCATTAATACAATTACTTTATCATACTTAGAGAGAATATATATATACTACATATAATATAGAGTTATAAACGACAAGGGATGTCTTCCACATCAACGACATTGGGACACATCCAGCGGAGGATGAAAAGATGGAATAAGAATAAGAATAAGGGCGAGCGAAGAATTGAAGTAGATACAAACACATTGAAACCTGTTGTTTCAGAAGAGGGATCAACGAGCACAGTAGCGCCGAGCAACAAGCCAAAGTTCCTCACCAACTGGATATCAACGACAAAATATACAATCATTACATTCCTTCCAAAGAATCTATTCGAGCAGGTAAGGTCACCAACACTCATCATACACCTTGCGGATAACGCTGGCGAGAGAGTTAGACAGATCACCAACTCACAATCATACCCTACCCTTATCATCACTTAGTTCCGAAGAGTTGCAAACCTTTATTTCCTTGTAATCTTGATCATTTCATATACACCAGTGTCTCCTGTTGCGCCAGGACCAAGCACGATAAACCTAGGAATCGTCCTTCTAATCAACGCCTGTAAAGAGGCCTACGAGGACTTTGTAAGTGGCCAGCCATGCATAATCGATGGACTCCCTCCCCTAACACCATACTCCATCACCAATACAGCGCCGATATCAATCAGACAAGAGAATTAATAGTCAGGTGACAAGAGTTGTCCGCGATGGACAACTGATAGAACGTTTGTGGAAGGATTTACAGGTTGGCGATGTTGTAAAGGTACAGAATGAGGAACAGTTCCCGGCCGACCTGGTACTGTTGTCTTCGTCATCCGATTCACCCGGTCTCTGCTACATTGAGACCTCCAACCTGGACGGCGAGACCAATCTCAAGACCAAACAATCACTCATCGAGACAAATGCTCTACAATCACAGCAACACTTCACCGACTGCAAACTGTTGGTCGAGTGCGAGCAGCCCTCTCACATCCTTCACAAGTTTGATGGACGTATCTCCATGAACAGCAACGAGCCACTTCCACTCAATGCCGAGCAACTCCTCATTAGAGTATGTATATCCAAATGAGTGGCTGTTGGTCAAACATCTCACTTACATTGAAACTACTACAGGGCACACAACTGATGAACACCAAATGGGTATATGGTATCGTGGCATACACTGGACATGAGACAAAGTACATGCTAAACACAATGGCCACTCCAACCAAGAAGAGCAAGCTTGAGCGCGAGATGAACAGGATCTTGTTGATGGTACTGTTCGCAGAGATCATGTTGTGTTTGTCATCGGCAATAGTCGGTATGTTCTACGAGAAGCGACATGGCAAGTCGGTGTTCCTGCATTTGGGCCATCGCTACGGCTACCAGGCCGTACAGAAGTTCTTCACATTCGTCGTGCTCTACTCGACCATCGTGCCCATCTCATTGTACGTCACGATGGAGATCGTGCGCGTCTTCCAGATATTCTTTATCAATCGCGACAAGAAGATGTACCATCAGGACACCAACCAGTTTGGCATGGCGCGTACCTCCAACCTGAACGAGGAGCTTGGCCAAGTCGAGTACATCTTCTCTGACAAGACCGGTACACTGACCCGTAACGAAATGGAGTTCAAGGTGTGCAGCATTGGCGGGCGAGTATTTGGCAATGAGATATGCAACAATGATGGAGACGACCTTCCATTCCAACAAAAGACTGGTGCAGTATGTATACATCACAGGACCTGGACATGACTTGACTCCTCTAACACCCTCGCCAACCAATCATCAACAGAGCGATATTGAACTAAAGGAGTTCAACCGATCATATGGTAACCTTGCAGAAAAGGTTAACATTGACTTTACAGTGTCCGAGAACCTTGAGTTCTTCATTGCAATGGCACTGTGTCATACAGTAATCCCCGAGCAAGAAGAGAATGGAACAAGTATGTTACCTCGCCCACCTCCCATTCATTCATTCATCATTCAATCAAAGAACTAACACTATGATCAATCAGTCAAGTATTCATCATCTTCACCTGATGAGATTGCATTGGTAAATGCAGCGGCAACATTTGGAATCAAGTTCAACAGTCGTACACCTATAGCTATTGGTATTATGGTCAATGGCGAGGAGATAGTCTATCAGCTGCTGAATGTCATTGAGTTCTCAAGCGACAGAAAGAGGATGTCTGTGATTGTTAGAGATCCATTGACACAGGAGATCGTGCTCTATTGCAAGGGAGCCGACTCGTCTATATTGCCACATGTCATCGAGACACAGGACAAAGAGGTACTGCGACTCAGCGAGGAGAGCTTGAAGCGCTTCTCATGCACCGGACTAAGAACCCTGTGCATTGCCAAGAAGATTATCCCCGAGGCTGAGTACGAGCAGTGGAACCTCCTGTACAAGAAGGCCAGCTTGGAGATTGACAACCGTCTCGAGAAGGTTGGACTTGTGTCCCAGATGATCGAGGGCACATGGACACTCATGGGCGTCACAGGCATTGAGGACAAGTTGCAGTACAATGTGCCTTCGACCATCACTACGCTGTCCAAGGCTAACATCAAGATCTGGATGCTCACAGGCGACAAGCAAGAGACAGCGATCAACATTGGTATCTCGTGCAAGTTGCTCACAGGCTTGGAGATCCTGTTGTTGAACGAAGCGACGACGACCGACCTGCAGAGGACGATCGTCTCACACATCCAGCGCATCCAGGACGAGAAGAAGATCAACCCAAAGAGCGAGTTTGCCGTGGTCATCGATGGTGCCACACTGGCACTGGCCATCACCAGAGAGGTCGAGCAGCTATTCTACGACTTGACATGTCTGTGCAGCTCGGTGATCTGTTGCCGTGTGACGCCCTTCCAAAAGAGCGAGGTGGTGCGCATCGTCAAGGATCGCACGACATCAATCACCCTGGCCATTGGCGATGGCGCCAACGACGTCAGCATGATCCAGAAGGCGCACATTGGAGTTGGAGTCAGCGGCAAGGAGGGTCGACAGGCGGTGTTGGCCAGTGACTTTGCCATCGCGCAATTCAGGTTCCTCGAGCGATTGGTGCTGGTTCACGGACGATATAATTATAAGAGATTATGTGTCCTGATCTGCTACTTCTTCTTCAAGAACCTGGTGTGCTCGCTGCTCCAATTCTGGTTCTCCACCAAGAACCAGTTCTCTGGCCAATCACTCTACGATGGAGCCAACATCCTTGGCTACAACCTCATCTTCACATCGCTGCCCATCATCGTCATTGGTGTCCTCGAGAAAGACATTAACTCATCATACCTCCGAAGATTCCCATCACTCTACCGAGAGTGTCAGATGGGTAAATGCGTAAGTGATGTCCTTCATCTCTCCCGCGCCATGTACATGTCACTAACACTTGTCCTATTCACAACAAACAGTTCAATCATCGCGTATTCTGGTCATGGATTGCCCTTGGCATTTATTCATCGGCCATCATATATTTCTTCTCTGCCGTACTCTTTGGTGATACTCCAACTGGCCGTGATGGAAGGACAGGAGGACTCTACCAGACCAGTGCAGCAGCCTTCACATTCATGGTGTTCATCGTCAACCTCAGACTATGTCTTGTCATCAAGTATGTTCATCCATCAATCAACCATCACTCTCATTCAATCACTAAATGACTAACTCATTCCAATCAATCATTATAGTTCATGGACAATACTTCACCATGTATCGATATGGGGATCACTGATCGTATATTGGTTCCTCGAATGCCTTTACAGTTATATTTATATACCTTACACATCATACTTTTATTTAATATTCTTGGATGCCATCAGAGAGCCCATATTCTTCATCGCGCTCACTATTACAGTGATCGCAGCACTTGGACCAGCCTACTTTGTGACCGCTGTATATAGGAACATGTTCACACAACCACTTCACATCGCTCAAGAGATACAACGAGAGGAGAAGAAAGACCTTCGCCAGAAACTACAATACCTCAGAGCTGTCAATACCCCTTGTTGACTTGACTTGATCAATCAACCAACTACGCACGCCAAATCAATCAATCAATCAATCAACTTAATATAATATATTTATGTAATATCTATCTATGTATCTAACTTGATCAATCGATTGCACATTGCTAGTATCTTCATGTTTCCCTGATGCCATGCATTGAACTTGATCTCCAGTAACAAACTGTTGATGCTGTGTTGATTGACACCCGCTTGGATGAATGGCGATTGGTCGCCTTCAAAGAGGTAGCTGAGTACTTGGTGATGATTACTCATTGATGCCTCATACAGCTTGTGATATGATGGTAGATGTCGACGAAGTTGTTCTTTTGTTGTACATCGTTGATGTATCATATGAATGATCTCCACAAGTCCATGACTACATGCATTGTCTACAATCTGTTCCAATGTCCTGCTGTGAGTTGTACCACCACCAACACGATCCACGCCAACATTAAGATATCCCTTCTCAAGTAAGAATGAGAGTATGGATACGTTTGATATATCATATGGAAACAAGTCCTTTGTGTTTAGCTTCTCTTCCAACTCACACTTGGAGATAGCTTGCGCCAGCTCCAGGAGATATTCAATCGAGTCCAGCTTGCCAGCTTTGAACGCTTCACTCAACAATGGTCGCACATCAAAGTTGAACCTGTTGTAATCGGATATCTTGTCGCCATGACTTGTGAAGTGATTGATGATCGTCTTGACCAATGATCCAGATATCGCGGAAGCATGTATCAACAACGAGGCCACAATGTATGAGTTATTGGGGAAGGAGAACTGCTTGCCAATCTCAACGATGACCTCCTCTGTTATCTTGCTGCCAGAAACACCGACTTGTTTGATTAGATTGATCATCACCTTTTCAGAGTATAGTGTTCTCAAGTTCAATGTGTTGACAATCATCCTAATGGTGTCGATGTCGCCAACCTCGGAGGCTTTCTCCAACGCCAAACTAAAGTTGATGCTAAAGTCCTTGCGATTACAATATAACATATTGATCACTTCTCTGTTTCCAGACATGATGGCTTTGTTCAGCATATTGCTGAACTTACACTCTAGCCCTGGATGTGTCTGCAGTCTGTCCAACAAATCCATTGACATTAAGCTTGGGTGAATATCTTGAATGAACACAGGTCGATTGCCTGATGATGATTGATTGAATGTCTTGACCAGAATGAAGTCAACCACCTCCCTGTTTCCAGAGAGCAATGCACTCGGAAGTGAGGTAATCAGTGTGTTTACCAATGTTGGTGATGATGGGCTTGTTTGGATGGTGAGATCATACAGCCTGTAGACCATTGATGCAAGTCCCTTCATTAATGCCAATGATAATAGCTTCCCCAGCTCATGAATGGGTATGTCTTGATTTGGACTGACTCGTTGGATGATCAAGTCCAACATGTCAACATGTCCAGGGATACACCAATGAAGTAGTGTAATGATGCACATGCTGCTGTCCAAGAGGTGATTGGCCACACTATATACATTGTGGATAATTGACTTTTCGAGGATCTTGATCATCACCTTTGAACTTATGAGTGAGTGTCGTTCATAAAGTTGGTACATCTCCAATGCCCAAGGCTTGGTGAGCCATGCTTCTGTCATGTTCTCCACTGTTCCGGGGTCTACAACCTGGTTGATTTCAGCACCAAGTTGGAGTAACTTCTCGATATGTGTCGGATGGACTATCCTGGACAATCTATCATTTTCGATAGTCATGCGTGTAGTGGTCTTTGCCAACATATCCATTATTGAGTCCCATCTAGGATATGGATTGGATGCTAAATGAGTGCGGAGTAGGAGATCCAGTAACTTGGATTCAAGTTGGATGTGTGGATCAGTCAGCAGGACTTCCAACATTACTGGATCGGGCTGGAATATCGGATTTCCATCTGATTGAGGACTGGTATAGATTTGATCACCAAGGATAAGGAATGAATAATGGTGTGATGTAGAAACCAATACTGAGAGTGACTTGAAGAACCATTCGCGAGCACCATAAACAAAGTAGTATGACACTATATCTCTTTCAATCAACTGTGCACCTTTGAGTACATACTTGTTATTGATGCCAAGTGATGAATGTACCTTTCCCACACATTTCAAGACATTCCTACACAACACCTTGTCCCTGAACACAAGGTGGAAAGATGTTTCCAATCTTGGTGATGCGACTGGGGAGTGGACTGCATGATCCAAGTATGATCTGTATGTTGATGTTTGATCAGTCAGTATCATATTCTTGATTCATGAGAGTACTACTTATTGAACATACCTCACTGGAAGGATTGATGATTGAATAGAGTGGATTAGTGAGGCACAATGATTGTGTATGGTGCTATATCCCAGCGCCTGTGCAGATTCTTTGATTGAATGTAGTGTGAGTAGTTTGTATGAAGTGGACTGATTGATGAATGATTGCGATTGGAGGTAATATTGAATTGATCGATGTGAGTTATTCGTTGTGGCCTCGATCAATATTTCAAGAATTGGGGAATAGGCTGAGGATGTACCAACTAGATATTGGACAACTTCCACTCGGTCATGGATGAATGCATATTCAATCATTGATTGATAGTCTTTCCGCTCGGATATTGGTGCATCGTTGTCCATGTATAGTTCCATCACATGTTTAAACACTTCCAATGTATTGCGTGATACCCAGTATATTTCATCCTCGTTGGACAACTTGATCAATTGTCTCAGGAGCAAGTCCACTGCGTCCAATGATCCGCTGTAAAGGACGCTTTGAACACTGTATGATGGACCATCGTCATTGTACAACAGGTCCCAGTAGTTGTGCAGTTCAACAAACTCATCAAAGAGTATTCGGAGTGAGTCGATGTTTGGGGGATACAATGCCTCGGTAAAACAACCATCATGATAGTCGACACCAAATGTTCTGTGTATGGCATTCATCAAAGGTCCTGATATACCCGCCGCTGTTCTGAGTGTGCCTGAGGTGCCATCCCCCTCCTCCTCTTGATCAGGCGGTATGTCAAAGTAGCAGTTGCCAATGAACATGAGCATCAGGTCAACTGTGATGATCCTGGAGTGGCATTGGGCAATGTAACTGACCAAGTTGTCGAGTGATGTCCATGTGAATAGGAGTGGAAATTGAGTTGGACATGTGCGCGGACTTGCTAGGTATGTCGCCATGGCCCTGGACATGTTTTGAATCATGTCTGGTTGAAGATCAATTGTTTGAAATGGATCTGACGATTGAATTAGTGACTCGAGACTGACAAGATCGTTACTGCGGATGGCGTATGGGATTGTCATACGCAGGCCTGCCAACTCAATAAGCCAGTTCTTGTGTTGGATGCATGCAGGCACATTCAGCAGGATACGAACCAGATCTTCGGAGCTCTTATCAATCATTCCAACACCGATGAAATGAGTGTAAATATATTTGATTAGTGACTCTTGACCATGATCAGCGGCAATATTGATGACATCTTTGAACTCCTTGCTGAGAACATACTCGAATCCATGGATTGAGTTGGCCAGCAAGTTGAACACATCGATGTGGCCAAGCTTGGCCGCGGTCTTCAAACATGATTGATAAGGCTTGACAATCAATTCGGGTGACATTGATGTCAGGGTGATGTTGTCCATGATGTACTTTACACTGTCCGTCATGTTTAAGCGTGTCACCAGTCGCAATACTTTGGACCAAAGTCTACATCTAAACAGACATTTGTACTCCTCGTTGAGTATCTTTAGCATGGACACTGTGATACCGCCGCCGCTATTCAGGCACTTGACAAACTTGGGAGCGGACGAGTATAGTTCGGGCTTGAAGTCAATGTGCTTAAAGAGTAGTCGAACCATTTGTACATCGCCATTGTCAATGGCCACGACCAACACTGCCAGTGTGAAGCATGAGATTGATCGATGGGCATTCACATCGATAAATCTTTGGATTAGATCAACATCGCCATAACGAACTATACTGCACAAGTCCAATAAGTTCATCTCGTATGGCAAGGGCATGATGACCATGTTGTTGACGTCGTTGCCAATCAATCGATTGATCACATGATGATTTTGGAAACGAATGGCGGCCTCTAGGAGCTCCCATTCCGGTTGCCAAGGCTTGTTGCCGTAGTATTTAGACATTCGATCTAGTGCCTCGAGGAACCATTGAGTGGCATTGAATCTTAGCATCTCTGTGAGTGAGCCATCCTCCAACAACTTGGCACCTTTGATCGATTTATAATTAATCTTCCATCCAGAGTGTATGATTGATACTTGATCAATGATCAATCTTAAAAGTACTCTATTACCGAATACTGAGTGTATTATATTATCTTTATCTTTATCGTTCATGTGTTTGTGATCGACTGTCGATTGATTGAATGATGGAATGAACTTTGATCACTTTTGAAGTTGATCATAACGACGCATTGGAAAAAAAGTTGGAAATAAGTTATAATTTACATATTTATTTATTGTTCCGTGATCATATCATTGTAGTTCTCCTTTGCTTTACCAACATCTGCCATGGATGTCCAAGCTGTGGCGTGTTGTTATTGCTGTTGCCATTCTCAATATCAACCTCGCCAACTACATCATGAGTAGACTCCTTGTTGACAACATCCATCACCTCACTATTCAAGCTACCATGTGTTGAACTAAATCCATTGCCATTGCCATTGACATTGCCATTGACGTTGCCATGAGTTGTTTCTTGAAGTATTCTATGATTGAACTCTTTTGAACATTGATGCATAAAGTCATCTATATCATCAAGTAATAGAGTTGGATCATCACGGTGAATGATGAACCAACCTTGAAGTTGTGCAGTGCTAATGGGTTGCTGTCCAAACCTTTCGATGATGATATCACTGATGTACTGATGCTTGGAGTTGGTAAAGAATCGACCAAACATCTTGCGCACTTGATAGCAGGTGGCGTAGTCAAACTTGATCTTCAAGTCAACGCGTCCTGGACGAATGAGTGATGGCGACAGTCGCTCAAAGTGGTTGGTTGTCATAATGAGTATCCTGCCGTCTGACGACGCCAGGCCATCAAGCGCGTTAAGTAGTCCAGAGAATGTGAGCACATCCGTGCGTCCCTTGCGCTCGACGAATGCGGCATCAATGTCCTCCAGCACCAGTATCGTGTCCTTGGGTGTCTTTTGAATGATTGAGTGGATGTTGCCATCGTGAATACCCTTGCTCATGTTCATTATGCCTATGGACAGTCCAAACTTGCCGGCTATCGATAGGATGAATGATGTCTTTCCAGTGCCGGGTGGTCCGTACAACAAGTAACCGCGACGATATGGTACGCCTGTATCTATATACCATTGCTTTCCATTTATAAAGCTATTGACATCATTGAGTATAGTATCACCGACATTCTCATCCAATACCACTGACTCTATCACTCTCTTTGGTTGCACGCTAATGCATTCCCAGAACTGTGAGTGTGGCTCAAGTGAGAAGATCTTGGTCTGTTGATGATTGAGCGATGATGATGGAATCATACCAAATGATTGATTGAGTGATCGAGTGATTGTGAATGATTGAGGACGAGTGTTAGTATGAGGGTAAGGCGAGGGCGAGGGCAAGGGCGAGGGTGAGGGCAAGAACATACCTTGTCTTTGTTGAGGCCGATCGAGAAGCGCATTGAAGCATTGATTAGATCTTTGACAAGGTTGAGATTGCCCCAGAATATCTTGATGGTGATGACATCATCGCGTATACCATCCATTGATCGTTTCTCTGTATACTCTCTTGAGAAGTAGACGACGTGACCTTTGAATCGCAGCCATACCGTGCCCATGGGCAACAGTTTGAACTCTGGCTCACTCCGCCTGACCTCCTGTGCCTCATTGAATCTTGTGTTGACAGTGACGCCACGCATACCAAACTGTTGTTGTGATGCCAACCATTCCAATATCCAAACGAATGCTTGATCCGGATATGATATCTGTGCCGTATAATAGAATGAACTACTAATCCATTCTATCATTGATTGTATTGCACCACGTAAATAATTGAGTAGCCAAGTTACTAGAAGCAATGACACTCCTACCCCAAGCATTGAGCTTGGTCCTCCCCCTCCCTCACTGCCTGTTGATGCATAGCCTGTCAGACCAGCCAATCCCAACAATCCGCCTCCTAACCAAGATGACAAGTCATTCATTCTTAATTATATATGTATATATGTATTTGTACAGTGACTATATGTATAGTATGATGTCAAATGAGTTGTGTTGAGTTAGTGGCCCTTTGTAGAAGGGCTAGCATAGCCTGTGGTTGTGTGTAACTTCCATCTCGAGAATGAGTGTGAATGGCTACGGGGTGGCTATTCATTCAAACAAAGACGCGTCATCAAAGAATGACTCATATTTGTCGACTCGACGACTTTTATTCGTATTCATTCATACATATATATACATACTTACGTAGTCAAGTAACATCGATCAATCAACAGATCGATCAATCAATCAAACTAAAGAACATTGTATTGATTAGGATGATGTCATGTGATTGAGTGACTGTGGAGAAGACAAGAAGGATTAATATGGCGACAGATATTGTTGATGATGTTGTTGATGATGATAATGATGACTCAACAACAAAGTTGAATATACCACCTCCTCCAGACCCACCTGACCCTGACGAGTGTTGTGGCAGCGGCTGTGCACGATGCGTCTACGATCTCTACGAAGAGCAACTCGAACGCTACAACCTCATGAAGGACAAGATGATTCAGGCACATCAACAACAGAAACAACAAAGACTTAAAGATAAACAACAACAAGAACAACAACAACAGCAAGAGCAGGAGAATACCCAGCAAGTGATAGCAGTGGATGTCACATTGTCAGAGAGTTTGAATGATGGGCGCAAAGTAGAATCAATGTCAATCACTCCAGAAGATGTTGGACTGGTACAGGTTGAATATGTTGGTGATGCGACAGAGGACACGAGACAACCATTGGATGGCATGACAATGGGAAGATTCCAATCTGCAAGATTGTTAACATCGGATGACTCTCCCGATGTTTGTTATCACATGACCATCACGACAAATGATGGTGTTGATATAAAGTATCTACCAGGTGACTACATCAACATACTTTGTCCACAAGATAAACAAGATGTCGATCGTCTACTCAAACGACTTGGCAAGTCTGGCGACACCATCATTCGTCTTCGCGTCGGGCCCGCCTCCGCCACACTCTTCCGACACCTACCCCAACATCCTTGCACCCTGCGAGATCTCTTCACATGGACGCTCAACATATCGTTCGTACCTCCTCAGTTCTTCCTCTTGCAAATGGTCGACCATTGCAAAGGTATGTGTTTGTGTGGCGCGTCAGTTATCCACGACACTTGCTAACCCTTGCCCTTGCCCTCGCCTACCACCCCAGACGAGTCCGATCGACAGAAGCTGAGATACCTTTCGAGCCAGGCAGGAAAGACGCTGTACAATCAGACTATCCTGGCACATAACATTCGCTTTCCAACATTGTTGACCAAGTTCAAGTCTTGTCAACTACCTTTGGAGTTTATACTGATCAATGTTCCAGCGCACTCAATTAGACAATACTCGATATCAAGCTCACCCTTGACATTGTCCAACACAACAACAACAACTACAATAGACATCACATTCAAGCTGGTCGAGAAACAACAAAAACAAGCAGATTGCGACTCGACCTATGGCTTGTGCACACATTGGATGCACCGACTCTACAAGTCGGGCGAGTCGGCCATCATACCATTTGCAATCACTCACTCCAAGTTCCATCTTCCAAGCGATCCCCTCACAACACCAATCATCCTAATATCCACTGGTACTGGATTGGCACCATTCCGTTCATTCCTACATCATCGCAAACTATTGTACCATCAACAACAACAACAACAACATGGTCATCAACAAAATGGACAGTCATCAATGTTGGGCAAATGTTTATTATTCTTTGGATGTAGACATCGTGATTGGGATCTACTCTATCATGATGAACTACTTGAATTCGAACGTGAACATATTATAACAAAGCTATACATATCATACTCGAGGGAGAGTGATGATACCAAGGACATTAACGACAAAAAGAGATACATCAATTCACATGTTGAAGAATGTGGAGAACTAATATATGGACTGGTGACCAATCATCAAGGTGTAATATATGTTTGCGGGTATGAATCATGTGACCATGTGACATGTGACCATGTACTGTACTAATCAATTAATCATTCAAACATTTAGTAACTCTAATGGAATTGGAAAGTCTGCCAATGAATCATTGATCAAGATTATAAAGCGATACGCTAAAGTTGGAAGCAATGATGAAGCAATGGAGATACTATCAAGTTGGACAAAGAATTCTCAATACTTTAGAGATGTCTGGTCATGATGCATCAATAAAAGTGCGTGACACACACACTTGGAAACAATCGAGTTTTCATTCAAAATGTGTAACTACAATCATTTTTTTATTCTATATTATTTTCCAACATCTAAGGTATCATGGAACAGAAAACTACATGTAAAATATATCGTAATTATAGTAATATAAACAAGGAGAATTGTTATTGTTTTAGTCTCAATCTCAACTTGTCTCATCCAGATTATTATGAATATATCTTTATGAATATAAATTGAAGGGTCTCGGAGGAATGTAGGAATAAAGCTATTGAACAATTCAAGATATATAAAGTATGGGCAGATAATTGTATAACCATGCTAGAAAACACCAAGCTCGAGAAGACGTATCCAATAAGGAATCTTTCAAATCAAGACTATATAGATTATTTGGAGCAAAGATTTGATCCAGAAGAAATCAAGGAATTCGAGACCAATTATCTCCTTCATCCACTTACAAAGAAAGACTTTGAACAGAATTGGCTACGTCACTTTGGTAGTCCAGATGAGAAGGATAAATATATTTCTCAACAACAGGAACAAATACAGCAACTACAACATCAATTGAGATTGGTAGGCAAATAACCATAAATAAATATATATATCCTAAGAATAATGGTGTTTCTGTTCAACATTGAGATCTTGGTCTTGAAAGTTTGAAAGGGTGAGATTTACATCTTTGATCTAAAAGTTATAAAATATGTTTTGTGATCACCAGTTACTCTTGGGGTAGATGATCGTTCGTTCGAAAGTTGTGTTTGTGTTGAGTTGAAGTATAAGTACTACTTCCAAGTGTTAACAAACCTATGATATCATCTATTTCTAACTTTGAGGTACATTTGCTCCTTTTCAACAAGATATTTGTCACCCATTTTCCAAAAGGTTAACCTTTTGGACCCACTTTTTAGTTCATCCATGGACCGAATTAATTGATCTTTACAATAACCTTGTAGTTTTGTGATGGTCGAACCATCAAGTCTATGACGTGGTACCTGTCTACACCAAACACTCCATCCATCAATATAGAATTTATTCATTCAATCTTTCAATCATTCAATCATTCAAATATTTTACAACAAGATGAGATTAACTGTTACACTTGTAATCATTGCGGCACTGTTTGTAAACGTGTCCACACAATATGGTGAACCAGATTCAGATGGAAACCCAGGATGGCGTGAGCGTGAATCTCATGTGATTGTAAATGCAATCAGAAGTGGTAAGTCCTGGAACTATTCCAACCCACCCCTCACTCACTCGCTCTCACACTCACACTCACTCATTCACCCACCTGATCAATAGCACCAATCAAGTATGTTACAACATATTATACATCATATGCCAGTGATTTCTTTATGTCCCCAGCAATGTTCCCTGCTGTGCCTCCATTGTACTTGACGACGACAGATAGCCACCCAGCATTGTTGCACGCCCAGGACATGGCATTCAACAATTGTTTCAATCACAGTGATTGTGGAAACAATACATCCTTCGAACAACGCATTAAGAAGTATGTCACAACTGATTGTCTGGGTCAGTCATATGGCGAGAACATTGCCGCTGGCCTCGACAATGGTCGTGGCGTCTCCTGGTACCTGCTCTGCGAGAATGACACCATCCCCTGTGCTGCCGACTCGAACACTCTCAACACTGGACACAGAAGGAACATCATGAGTCCAACGTTCAAGTCGATGGGTATTGGATATGCCTACAGCGCCCAGGCTGACTATAGTTACTATTGGACGCAAGACTTCACTGCGGCAACATGTCCCTCACAGACCAACCCGATCTATGGTGGATCACACTCGTTTGTGGACAGCAACTTGGTGTACTATGCAAACTGGTGGAAGACTGCTCCTGCAACATCAAAGATCTATATCAAGGCTGGCAACAACGCAGTTGTGTCACATGACTTGACCCTTCATCTTGGCAACTCGACGCTGGGCACCTTCATCTACAACTCCACCACTCAGTACACAGAGTGCCAACTCTACGCCTTTGTATTCACGGTGGGTGATGCAACCTATCGCTATCCAGACACTGGATCATTGGCCACACTGACATCTACCGCCAGCAAGTGTGCTGCATGGTCTTCAACCAACATCATCCCAAGTCCATCTACAAGCACATCCACTACATCATCGAACCCAGCTACTACCTCAACCTCCACAACATCAACTGCCCAGACCACCACGACCACCAAGGATGGAACTACCACATCACAGACAACCACATCAACTACCTCGACTCAATCAACTGGCACTACCAGCACCACAAGGGATGGAACGACCACATCACAATCAACTTCCTCAACTACCTCGACTCAATCGACTGGCACTACCAGCACCACAAGGGATGGAACGACCACTTCGACTGGAACAACCAAGCCCTCGACCACAACAACATCAACCACGACCACTTCGCCCGTTACTACTACTACCGAGGGTGGTACGACTCAAGCTGGCACTACCAAGTCATCAACTGTTTCCACGTCCGCTAGCACCACGACTACCGGCCAGACCTCTGACCCAACTCACCCATCAATGGCCATTACCTTGTCTGGTTCATTACATCTTGGATTGATCATTGCTTTATTGTTTGTGGCACTACTTCTCTAAACACTGTGAGAGTGATCAATCATTCAATCAATCAATCAAATGATCAATCGTATATAAATATAACTCTATCTATTTATTTATTAATACATCACTCCCTGGGAGGTTGGAGAGGACCATTCGACCCGACGACCAAAATCAACTACTCCGAGATGTATCAATTGGACGAGTTGGTGGTTGTCTCTTTGCTGAACTGTGTGAAGGGATGTCTTTGGTCTATTATGATAATGTATCGGTGACACCATTATGTGGCATGTGGACAGCCCAATGAATGATGTGTTCTGCCAGCCCATGTAACACGAAATCATGTGTGCAGGGGATAAGTCCCGTCTTTTGATCATTTTGAACCACCCTCTACAACATCAAAGGGTGAGTCCTTTACAGCGAGACAGGAAATGAAGTGACATGCCCATTGATTTTCAAAAATATCTAATAAGTCCAAAGTATGATCGTCATACTCGGGTAGGTCAAGTTTGAACGATGTCACTAATACTTAAGTTGATGAGTTTGAATCAATCAATCCAATCATTCGTCAATATATTATACAAATAATAATAAATAATGAATAAAATATTATATTTTGCCTTATTATTGGCTTTAATTATACAAGTCTCTGTACAATACGGAGAAGGTGATGTCAATGATAACCCTGCCTGGCCAGCTCGTTCAATGCATGCAATCCTTAACGCTGCAAGATCATGTATGTTATTAATTATTAAACTTAAAAAAATGGTTTACTAATAATAATTAATCAATCAAAAATAATTATTATTATAGCTCCAAGGGCATGGTTCCTTAAATACTCTCTTGATCCTGCTCCCCCAATCAATGTTGTGGACCCTGGAACCTACCCACCAGTCCAGCCATTGTACTTAACAACAATGTTGAGTGCTTTATCTTTGGCACATGTCCAGGACATGGCCATGAACACATCAGGTTGCTTCGGATATGGTGATTGCAATGGCACTTTGTATGATACCAGAGTGTCAAAGTTTGTTACGAATCAGTGCATTGGTACTTTGAGGAACGAGACTGTTGGTGCTGCCACCGAAGACCCAGTCTTCATGGAGTTCATGTGGGTGTGTGGCGATCCAGAGGGCAACTGTGTGGCTGACTCTGAGCCCTCTGCCAAGTTCAGAAAGGTATTGTTCAACCCTGGCTTTACCGCAATGGGCGTAGCCTATGCCTATGGTAACAACAGTATGTACAAATCATATTGGACACAAGACTTTATGTCGACAACCTGTCCAAGTGAGACATCTCCAATCTATGGTGGCTCTCACTTCTACGATTCAAATGGCAAGAACTTAATCTACATTGCCAACTGGGCTAACACGGCCGCACCTACCTCTGCCAAGCTGTACACTCAGTTTGGTCCCACTGGTGATGTGATCTCGGAGGATTTGTCCCTCTGGGTGGGTACTAGCACTCTTGGAACCTACGTCTTCAACATATCGACATCAATCGCAGTGAAGGCCTGCACGAGATACGTGTTCGTGTTCAAGGTGGGTACTACTGTGTACCGTTACCCTCAAACTGGATCACTCTCTGTAATCACAAGCTATGAAAACTTGGATGAATGCCCCAACTGGACATCCCAAGAGATCAATACTGGATCCACAACATCCACGACCTCAACAACCTCAACTACTACCTCAGGCCCCACTGATACAGATACCACACCTACAACTGAGATGCCATCAACTACCTCTACTACCTCTACCTCAACATCCACTACATCATCGAACCCAACTACCTCTACTTCGTCGACATCAACATCACCCTCGACTTCCACTTCCACTTCAACAACATCCGCCAATCCAACTACAACCACAACTACTTCGACCGCCTCCACTACTGCCAAGCCAACAACCAGTACTACTACTACTACTTCAAGTACTACAACAGGTGCACCTTCATTAGGTACCACTATGTCAGTTCCTATTGTACTTGTTCTTACAACTATTATTGTGACAATACTATCATTCATTCTTCTCTAATTCATAAACTAAATATTATTATCTTTATCTCTATTATATGTGTTTGTGTTTATATTTGTGTTTATGTTTGTGTTTATGACATTCACGTCAAGATAAGATTGTTCTCGAACCTTACACCAACCTCCCTGGTGCTAGTCAGAAGTGTTCACCCACTTGAACAGATCTTTATCTTGTGGTTTTAGTAAATATAAATTTACTCAATTCCAATGGGGTGGAATGGTCAACAACAGTAAGTTTGATCTTAGAAAGGTTATTACCCCAATTGTAAATGCAACTGACTTTCTAACCCATTCATTCATTTGCTACTCACTCACTCACTCACTTACTCACTTAATAACATAGACATAAAGAGAGAGATACAATCTCAAACTTATATACTATTACTATATTACTATATTACTATATTACTAAGACATGACAACACAACCACCTTCATTTGTTCACTATGCAGAGATGCTCTCTGATAAAGTTGGAGGACAAGCCTTGGGCTGCAGTGACCAATGGTTCGCTCCTTGTGTAAACTTAATAAGTCATTCAAATCCCATTTGGGCAGAAGGCAAATATGTAGACACTGGAAAGTGGATGGTAAGACTCAAACTAACTGATCAATCAATCATTCACTAACATATGAATTCTATACTTTTATATAGGATGGATGGGAAACCAAAAGACATAATAATACATATGATTGGTGTATCCTTAGATTGGGTATCACCGGTATCATCAAGGGATTTGAAGTGGACACTGCATTCTTTACTGGCAACTATCCACCCTTTGCCTCAATCGAAGCACTTTGCGATGATAATGAACCAACATTTGCACAATTGTCTGCAAGTGAACAAGTAAGTTCAAGAATGAATGAATGGGAATGAATGAATGCATACTGACTGACCATCACCAACCATTCAATGAATGATTAGTGGTCAGAAATATTACCAAAGTCAAACCTGGGACCAGGTTGCAAGCAATACTTTGCAATTGAATCAACGACTAGATGGACACATCTTAGATTGAAGATCTATCCAGATGGTGGTGTAGCTCGTCTTCGCGTTTATGGACTGGCCTCGAAGGATTGGTCACTGGTGTTCCCAGGCGAGTTGGTCGATCTGGCCGCCATTGAGAGTGGTGGCGTCGTGATCAACTGTAGTGACATGTATTTTGGACACAAGAACAACATCATCATGCCTGGCCGCTCTGTTAATATGGGTGACGGCTGGGAGACAAAGAGAAGGAGAGGTCCTGGCTACGACTGGCTGGTCCTCAAGCTGGGCGCCCCAGGTAATGTACGAAGAATTGAGGTGGACACCAATTGGTTCAAGGGCAACTTCCCAACATCTTGCTCAATCGATGGTGCCTACTCAACAGACACATCAGTCGAGCGTGTTCCAACCAATGTCCAATGGAATGTTGTGTTGCCAAACACTCCACTGACTGGCCATCGTCGACACCTCTTCCAACGCGAGCTCAAGAACACCGATCTCAAACTAACGCACATTCGTCTCAACATCTTCCCCGACGGTGGAGTCAGCAGACTACGTGTGCATTGCGTACCTGATCTCACAGAGGCAACTCAAAGCAGTTCAACTCAGTAAACAAACAGATATTGATACAATGATTGGATTGATGGACTTTATTCGTTCGATCGAGTGGATATCCTTTGCTAACCACTTGCCTTGCACCAACTGAGGAATTGAAGGCATGTGATGTATTTACAGATGGGACACCATGTGGACGCTTGGATGTTTCGGTAGAAGAGGAAGAATAGGGCAAAGAGTATGCCGCCAGTGAGGGGAATAGCCACCACAAGTTGGCATATCCTCTTGCCAGTTGCCTTCCTGGTCGTGAGGTTTGGCAGGAAGATCAGACTGGACAACACACCCATGATGAAACCTCCAAGATGTGCAAAGTTATCCACACCAGGTAAGAACAATCCAACTGCGAATGACAAGACGATGGTGAATACCAGTGTACAGCAGTTCATGTAAGGACTCGCAAGCTGACCCCAGTTACGTATCAGATCGGTGAGGAGTACTCCAAGGAATCCAAAGATTGCACCAGATGCTCCAGCTTGAACAGAGTTTGGAAGGAATATTGCCGAGCATAGATTACCCATCACTCCACAGAGGATATATATTGGGAAGATGCGGTGTGCTCCATATGTTCGTTCGAGTTGCATTCCAATCTTGACCTGTGTCAACATGTTCATGAGCAGATGGAATATTCCAACGTGTAGGAATATCGGTGAAAAGAAGCGCCACCATTCGCCAGCCAGTATTGCAGTTGTGTACTTTGCGCCTGCATCCAGGAGGGTCGTGATCGATGGGCCGAACCATGGGTTGACCTTCCACGACTCGAAACCTTTGTTCAATATGATCTCCCATACCAGTACTGCCACATCGACGAGACTGACCATTATAGTAAAGTATGGATAGTATTTCTGAGGAGGAGGAGGTGCTAACATCTCTGACTCTTTGAAATTGACCGCGTTCACTCCTTGATTTGGTGGCGCCGGACGTCTTCCGGCCTTGGGTGAAGGATCCATTGGGCCCAGTGCCACCTGAGGCGATGTCGACTTGTCTTCAGCTCCATGTTGCATCCTCGATGGATGTCCAGCACGTCCGCGTCCACGGCCACGAGGGCGACCACGGTCCACATCAGGATCAACCATCTCTGGTGGGTAGAACTGTACCATGGCAGGGTCGACATCAATTGGAAGATGTGAACCTGGTGGACTAAGTGGTTGTTGATATTGTCCACCACCGCCAGGTGTTATACTATTGTTGGTGTTGTTGAGATGTGATTCGTATGAAGGTGGAGGTGGATGGTTGTCGGGTAAAGGTGACATTTCTACATCATTCGGTGGTCGCCTATTTGCTGATCTCTCCCAGAAGCCTTCATTCATCCAATAAGGCTCCTCTCTATTTGTATTATTATTCCTCTGTGTTGGATCTTGATTCTCATTCTCATTCAACACTCCAAAGTATACTCCAATACCATCTCTAATTGAACTAGCTGCGCCTTTAAATTTTTGATTGGCTCTCTTGGACATTTCTATCTCTTTAAATATTATTATATTACTATAAATTTATAAATATATTATTATTACAACAATAAATATATATATATATATATATTATGTTATTGAGGTTGATTAACTTCAATGTGATTGTTTGGTTGATTGATTTAAGGCTCGTCCACCCACAACACAACTCTATCTCTATCTCTATCTCCTCTAAGTCTTGTCCAAATGATGTTGATGATGGATGGTGATGTGCTAATAAAGTGATAATTGCCAACAACCATATAAGTTGTTATTATGAATGATTGATGTGATGTGTTATGTAAGTATTGAATTACAGTGATGTTGATGATACATTCATTCCTCTCTCTCTCTCTCTCTCTCTCTCTAACTCAATCGATTATAATATATGGTGGTTGAATTTAATTGTCACATCTAGTAGAACTAGTGGTAGTAGTATTGATCACACTCAATCATATTCGTCCCCAACTATTACCTCATACACATCACAGTCAGTGTTGATCGATCAATCACATTCACACACACACACACACACACACACACACTCACACACACACACAACTACCAAGGTAGTGATTATAACACGTGCTTGCTTTCCTTGTCGTTGAGACCTTACTTTGTGTGTGTGAGATGTTGGCAACACACATTTGCCAACGACATTCTTTGAACAACAAAAAAGACTAACTAAGTCTGAACGACTGACATCGATGTCATACATTGTCCCACATCCAATGTTTCACTTAATGATTATTATTGGCTGGATAAGTGAATGTGTTCATTGAGTGATGTTGGAACTTGAAGACCAAGAAGTCTCAATAAACTTTGAAATGACATTGATGGATGGATTGGTTAAAGTTGTTTTCCCTACATTTATTGCAATCGAGAGAGAGAGACTAATCGATGTGGAGCTAGACTCTTTGACGACGACAATAGATTGAATGTGTAGCGACTGACGAAGATTGGACTCTTGGCTTAGTTCTCGCCGAGGACGTTTCTCTCGCTGACGTAAATACCATCGAGGAACTTACGGACATCCTTGAACTTGACGGCAGAGCGCAGCTGGATGTTGGCACATGATTGGGAGAGCTTCTCGAGGTCGTTTCCAACGAGGACGATCTCGTCCTTGACCTTCTCGGTTCTGGTGCAGGTGATTCCCTCGAGCAAAGGAATGCGACGGACGATCTTCTCACCGAAGAAGTTACGGATCTCGACGACCTTTCCTCCATCGACAACGACGACATTGATTGGGAAATGTGCATATACAAATCTCATCTTGTACTCGTAACCCTAATAATGATTAATGTGATTGATTGATTGATCGATCGTTTGTGTCAGATTATGTTCGTTGTCCTGTTGTTTTGTTGTCTATGATGTTGTTGCTGTTGTCGCGTATCTTCCCCTGCTGAATATCGCATTCATTCAATTGATTCCCTGTACTGCGCGTGCATGCATTCATTCTCTCCTGCTTATTCGTGTACTCGAAGACTACACCTATAATGATCGATGCTGTGATGATAATGTTGATGTTGAGCATACCTTGGTGACACCGGTGATCATGTTCTCGATGTGGCTGGCAACGGTGGTGATGGAAGCAATCTGGTCGCGGGTTCCGAACCAGAGGTCGATGGTGACGACCTTCTTGGTCTTGCCGACCAGGTTGATGTCGACGGACAGATGGTTGAACTCACGCTTCAAGGTTCCACGTGGGCCAGTGACCTTGACGGCACGTCCTTTGACTTGAACGGTGACTGATGATTTGATTGATTTGATTGTGTTGAATGTTAGATACCTGTTTGTTGTGTAATCCTGTGTGTCGTAGTCCTCTTCTATCCATCCATTCATCAATCCATTCATCAATCCATAACATGTATAGTCTACAATTGCATTGAGAGTCGATGATGGGATATCCAATGTATCGCAACTCGCATGTTGAGATGTGTAATGGGATTCATACCTCCCGCGGGGATCTCAACGGTCTTAGATGACTTGATAACTTTCATCCTGTTATTTGTCGCTGTGTCTGTAGGGATGGGGAATGCGATAGGTTGGAATGAAGCACAATACAATTTGGATAGCTTTGGTTGCGTCGTGCCCTGCCACGCTCACTCGCATCGTGGTCCATCTGGCTCATTCGTCTCCTGTTCTCACACAATAACCAAAATTAAAAAAAATCAACTGTTTCAATTTGATACGTAGTTCGTTCCCACCCCAAGATTGTTATCTGTCTCCGCTCTAGATAGTGGAGTAATACTGAGTCAAAGTTAAAGGATTGATTTATTGATCAAATGATCGATTGATTGATTGATAGATTGAATTAAGAAGAGGTATTTTGAAAGTCATTTATATTAATATGTCCAGTACCCCAATCACTACAATGAATAGAGCACTCTAATCAATCAAAGGAATGCTTATGAATGAGCGAATGACAACTACTTTGTGCGTATCACTAACAACAACAATACAATGAATACAAAGGGAACAACACTTGTGAAAGAGGTGAAAATTTTTGGTATCATTTCAAGATCACCATAACTAAATTAAATTAATGACCATTGTTGGCAATCTTTCTATCTTCAATTATTCAATCCATCACAACAGTCTGTTTATCTCTCTCTTCACAACACTAGTAATAATAATAACAATTAATAACAATAACAATAACTACAACAACAACAACAATAACAACAATAACCAATATATAATATATAATAACAATGTTAAGATCAATGTCAAAGTCATTGGTCATGGCTACAGGTGCCAACAGATTGCAAACAAGCAGCATTGGCATTATGGGCGGCAATCTCCGATTATGTTATGGCTTCACAACTTCTTCATCATCTAATAATACAGATTCACAAACGTCGTCAACTCATTCAAAGTCATCACAATTGAGAGTGGCCATTGTTGGTGCTCCTGTATGTACAAACATACACATTCACTCATCAATCATAATGTACAACTTACTCATTCATTCATTCATTCATTCATACATTGTATGTTTATAGGGTTCAGGAAAAGGAACACAATCAGCCAAGTTGGAGAGAGACTTTGGTTTAAAGTCAATCTCAACTGGACAGATACTAAGAAAGGCGTCAACGGAGGATACTGAACTGGGTAGGGATATCAAGGCTAAGCTGGACTCTGGACGTATGTATACCTTGCCACCCTATCAATCAATCAAATTACCCATGTTTCTAACTTACTCCGTTTGTTATAGAGTTGTTATCAGATGATTATATGTTTAGCCTTGTAAAGGATTATCTCTCAAAGATTGGAGTATGTTGTTATAATGGCACTCGCTCGCTCACTCACTTATTAACATCATTCATCACCTTACATTAGTCCTATCTTCTGGATGGATTCCCAAGGACAACAAAGCAAGCCGAGGCACTTGATAAATGGCTGGAAGAGAGGAATACGCCACTGGACTTTGTATTATATTTGGATGTTCCAGAGGAGGTGTTGATCGAACGTATATTGGATCGTTGGATCCATCCCGCAAGTGGAAGAGTGTACAACTCCACTTATAAGGTGCCCAAGGTGCCTGGAACCGATGACATCACTGGCGAGCCATTGGTGCGTCGCTCCGATGACAACGAGGAGCTAAAGATCAAAGATAGGATAGAGACATATCATCGCGAGACCATGCCAATCCTCACGCACTATAAGAACAAGAACAAACTAGTTACAATCTTCTCGCCAACCTCTGACGTTGGTTATGAATCAATATTACAATATACCAATCAATATTGTAGAGGATACCAACAACAACAGCAGCAACAACAGAAACACACGCGACAACATCAATCAAACAATCAACAACAACAGCAACATAGTAATGAACAGAAGTTCTCTACACAGACATCATCATCAACTACATGGCGCTTATAAAGACGAACAGACAGACTATTCAGTCGTGTCACTGTACATCCATCCATACATCCATCAATTGATGACGTATCCCTTATTCATTCATTCATTTGCCCAATACTAACTTTGAGCAACAACGATCAAACTCGTTTCACGAATGAATCCATCGATCAATCAATCGTGAATCAAACAATAACTCCGAACGAACAGGTACACGAACGAACGAACATGGACAAACAGAGTGATATATTGAAGAGGATCAACAATGAGGTTGGCAGCGACCCAAACAACTTCATGCGGGTCTTGACCAACCAGTCGAATGGCGCGTTGGTCTACTTAATCGGCACATCACACGTGTCAAAGACGGATGCCAAGCGTGTCAGTCAGATAATGGACATAGTCAAGCCCGATACAGTGTTTGTAGAGATGTGTAAAGGTCGTGAAGTACTTCTCAGACTGCCAGAGCAACAGCTGCGACAGGTGATTGCACGAAGACCCAACATCCCATGGCTGGGCACAACAAAGTTCGATCCGGTTGTTCTCTCTGCCCTATCCACCTTCTACTACTACGCGACCAAGGCAACCAATCACATCAGTGGCATGGAGATGAGAGTGGCATCACAGTATGCCAAGGATAACAAGTGTCGACTTGTACTTGGTGATCGTGATCAACAATGTATGTCTTGCCTGGTGGACTGACTTGATGCGACTCGACGACTAACTTCATGAACAGTGACATACTCTAGACTGATGAATAGTATAAGCTTGTCAGACTATCTTACAATTCTTGGTACATGTGCGGTGACTGTACCTAATCTACTGATGTGCAGCAAGGAGGAGTTATATAATGATATCACAGAGCAGTTTGCAAGGCTGGAGGACGTGTCGGTGGCAGAAACAGAGTCGGGGATGTTGCGTGATAACGTTCCATTCCCAGAGGTGCTCATCGACGAGCGCGACAGGTTCATGGCCAGCACACTGCGAGACACTCCCGGAAAGACTATCGTGGCAGTGGTTGGCAAGGGCCATGTACATGGTATAACACAGTTTATGGACAGGGATCGCGATGTGGACAGCTACAAGCTTAGGCAGTATCTAGAGGAGACAAAGGAGCCAAGTGCACTATCAAAGTATGGCTATCCAGCTACCGTGGCAACAGTGTTGGGAGCACCGGCCAGCATTGCCATGGGATCAATTTATACATTCAGACGCTTGGTGTTGGGGCGAAGGACTAGTCCGGCCATCTTGGCAGCCGGATTCATTGGATGTGTTGGCGCCGAGCTGGCGCTGGCCTCATATTGCATCAACAGAGTATATCGTAAACTGGACGACATGTGCGAGTATGCAGATACATTAAAGAGGTAGTAGGATGTAGATTGATTGATTGACATTCTTTGTTTATTAGGGGAGGGAGGGTAGGGAAAGTGAATGTGGCAGACGATGGCTGGCTGACATGGGTATACAATGTCAACAACGCATGTGTGATGATGGATGTTAACAATATTGTTGTGCGACGGTTTGGATGGCTGGCTGGCATCCAGATCCAGTTGGACTCGGTAAAGAGGTCCAGCGATTGGATTGGGTACCGGTTGGTGAAGCAAGCGAGGGGAGGAGAAAGGGGAGGGGAGGAAGGATGGAGGAAGGGCGGGACGACGGCGAGGCGGGCTGGCAATGTTTAGTCTGACTAGAGAGGAAACTATTGACGCGCCTGTTCGTGGCGTTTTGCAAGTCGTCGGGTTCGTGGATGGGATGGTCGGATGGTGCTCTCGCTGTCGGTCGGTCGGGTTGTTGATTGGCTTGCTTCTTGCGCATTCAATAAATTAATGAGGTGTATGTATGTGATTGATTGGTTGTGTGTTGCTGGCGATGCGGTGCGATGCGATGCGATGATAGTTGATGGCTTTGCTGATGGCCATGAGTCTCATGTTTCAATTGTGTATGTTTGTGTGTTCGGTCTAAGTAGGCAGGCGACAGAGTGTCAACATCGGTATGGATAGATAGATTGGCAGCCATTGTTTAGAAGGAGGAATTGAAATAAGTGAAGCCTCCATAGTTGGAGGGGAGGTTGACATTCGAATAGTTGTTGTAGTTGTTGAAGTTGTTTGGCGGGTTGTTGACATATACAGGGTCCTGGCTCATGCGGTAGCTCATAGGGTTGGATTGTTGGTAGTGATGATGATGGTTGTTGTTGTTGAAGTGCGCTCCATGTTCAACATTGTTGTATGTTGAACCGATGTTGTTGTTGTGGTGATGGTTGTTGTTGTGATTGTGATTGTTCGTGTTGTTGTTGTTGTTGTTCGTCGATGTGGGTGCTGGGATTGGGATGTTGTTCGATGTGGCGGCGGTCGGTGCGGCTGGCGTCGACGACGACAAGCTGCTGTTGGTCGTCGAAGTGGTGGGTGCGGCGGGGAAGTTGGTTGCAGTCGAATGCAGGTTGTAAGGCTTGGTCAGACTGACCTCGTTGGCGCGAAAGTCTAGACTAGCTATGCTGCTGAGTGTGGTTTGGAGATTGAAATCAAAGTTGTTGTTGCCGTTCGATCCGAAATAGGATGTGAAGATGCTGTTGGCGTTGTCGTTGTCATGTACAGAGGTGGTGTTGTTGCTGCTGTTGGGTGAAGAGTTCGTGCTGCTGCTGTTGCTGTGAATGGTCGTGTTGGTTGATGCGGCAGCGGCGGCACCAGAGGCGGCAGAGTTGTTTGGCGAGAGGCTTGTGCTGCTGGAGTTGCTGTTGACGCTGCTGTTGCTGCCGGTGCTACTGATGCTGCTGCTACTGCTGCTGTTGATGAGGCTGCCATGTGGTGGTAGTTCGGTGTAGTTCTTCATGCCCACGACGCCAGCGCCGCTGATGACGGTGGAGGAAGAAGAGGCAGCAGGTGAGTTTGTCGATGAGTTGTTGAGATTGCCACTACCGATGTAGTTGCTGCTCGAGCTGCTGTGCGGCGCGCTGGTTGGAACCATCATTGGTTGTCCATTGCCATTGACCATGAGCTTGTTCTCGAAAGGTTGTCCATTTACAATTAAATTTACATTCTTCTTGGCGAACGCGTTGTTGAGCGACGCCAGCTGACCGGGATGCTGATGAAGATGGTGGTGATGCGGGGGAATGCCAAAGGCCGATGGATTGACTGTACCGCCGTTCGGATAATCCATCGGGTCCTTGATAAGAGTGTGTTGGCTGCCGAATGGTTTGGGTTTTATGCCAACCATCTGCGAGCTGTCGTAGCCATTCAGGCTGGCTCCGTTGTAGCCGTTCGTCGTCATTGTTCGTTTTGGAACAGCAGCGGTGTTGCTGATCGTCGTCATTGTCGTTGTCGAGGGTATAGGGTTCGTCATAGTGGCGACTCCCTTTCGCGGTTGCTTAGTCTTTGAATATTTGGAATCAAATTGGTGAACTCTGCTTGTTTGATTGGAGTCCATTATTAGTGCCATGGATTCTTTGGGTGTGAATGCTGATGTTGCCAAGGATGTGACATACCTCGAAAAGTTACCCATGATCTTCTCCTTTGATTCATTGCTCAGGCTCTGGATGTCCTCTTTATATAGTTTGGTGGCTCTTGCCCACTGATGGATGGAGACCACAATGGAAGGATATTGTTAATGACATGGTCCAACAACATGGATGATGAACAAACAACACTTACTTCAAGCTTCAATACTCGGCCATCCAGAATGATATCTTGCTTCGATAGCTCATCCATTGCCGTGTAGGCATGAGACTTGTTCTCAAACTCTATGAAAGCAAAGCCTCGGGTCTTTCCAAACTTGTTCTCTGGAATTTCGCATCGTTCAAGAGGTCCAAACCTTTTGTTTGGAAATATAGTGTCAATATTGTTTCATGATGATGAGGCGAGGCTGGGTCTTACTTTGAAAAGATCATCGATATCGATGAGACTGGTGTAGTGTGGCGGATGTTGCTAACATAGATGGTGCTGGACGTCCGATCCATGAGGTTCATCGATAGGGGAGTTATGTCGTTCATCATTTTGTACTAGTCCCTGTGTTCCTTCCTTGTATTGCTTGCTTGATTGCTTGCGTGCTTGGGGGTCGGTGCTGCTCTTGTTGCGCTGCTGCTGCCTGCTGCTGCTTGCTGCTGCTTCTTCTGTCTGGCGTTGTTCCCAATATTGTGATACAAGAGAGACGATCACAGGGAGTGACCGATGCGACGGGGAGCAAGTAGAGGAGGAGAGAGAAAGAATAATCGATGGTATTTGGAATAAAGAATGGAGAGAGAGGACCAATTAGCAAGCAGGGAATATTGAGATGATGTCAATCAATGAACAACAGGCAGGGCAACCAAGCCAATATAGATTGAGATGAATGGATATGAGTTGAGATGGGATTGAATGGATGGAATGAACAAAGAAAAACAGATACAATAATAAAATAAATGGTCAACATAAATGGAGGATGAGGCGTGGCAAGCAGTCATGCTGCTGCCTGCTGTTGGACGCTGAAGCTGCTGATGGGATGTGCACGGGGTATGAGTGCAGGCAGTCACCTGGCAGCCAAGGTCAGGGGTTGACTGATTGAGTTGAGTGTTGGTGTTGCTGGTGGCATGTGGGGATATGATACATTAGAGGGGGTGTGTGGGTGGGATGAGTGGGTGCGCGATGGTTCCACCTTCCAATCACAAGGTCTTTTGGAAGAATGAATCAAAAAGAGGAACCAAATCACAAACGATTTTAAATGAAATGATGGCCAGGTGGTGATTGGGTGATATGGCGATGAAGGTGAGCGGGTGTGTGTTGGGTGATGTGTGGTGGATCACAAAGGGGAGCAAACTTACCTTTTTGGACTTGTGTGTGTGAGTGGGGGGGGTGATGAAGTGGCGGAGGTTGTTGGTTGTGTTGTTTGTTGTTGTAATTGTGTGTTTTGAGTGTGTGGAACAGAACTATGCAAGGATGATTGGTCTTGTTTGTCAGGAGACTGGTTGGTGTGTATGGCCTTTTAGGGTAGGCCAGTCAATCAAGTCATTCAAGCTCATTAAGTAAATTAAAGTCAATCGCCGCCATATATGTGCCAGTAATGGTAACTCCTCTAGAGGTATTACATTGACAAACTTGAATCATTGACTGACTGACTGCCAGGCGAAATGATGACCATTGGATGATAGATGGATGGTTGCTTACCTTGAGGTTGTGGTGAAGGCGCTGCTTCTTGGATGGCTCGCTTACTACTCGCTCGCTTGCTAGAGTTTTAGAGACCAAGAAGAGCTCTAGCCAACTAAAGATAAAGACAAAGTTGAGGTGTGCTCCTTTGATAAGGAAGTGGAAATATATGTATATATATATAACTGATGTTTTCGGTGCTCAGTGTGCAGAGGTTGTGATTGGATTGATTGATTGGTTGGTTGGAATGATTGATTAATGAATGATGATGTGTTGATTATTGGGTAGTAGCTCAGGCGTTGTTGTTGACGTCCATAAATAACTCTCTTATTATTATTTTGGAAGGAAGAGGAGAGGTAGGTTCAGGGGTGTTAATGATAATGTTTAGACTATTGATCTGAAATGATGATGCATTGTCGGTGGATAGGTATCCAACTCACCTGATGTTGATATCAACACTATCTCTTGTTCTTCTTGTCTATGTCTCCTTTCCTTTCTCTCTTTTGCGATGAGACCACTGATCCTCCTTTTGCTTCCTCCTATACTCTCTTTCTCTCTGTCAGGCTGCTCTGTTTGCTAATACTGCTGCAGCTTCAAATGTCTGTTTGTTGTTGGATGGATGGATGGATGGGATGGATGGATATGGTTGGATTGTTGAGTGGACTGGTTGTTTGTTGTTCAATGTTAATTTACAACAATGAGTTGAGAGAATATGCAACTGTTTAATCAACTTGAGACCGTAGTGTGAGTGAGTGTGTGTGAGGTGTGAGGTGAGAGGGATATATATATATAATATATGTGCGATAGAATGAAAGAAAGAAAGAAAGAATGAATGTACGCGCTAGGATGTGTTGGTTGGCTGGATTGGACTGGAATGGACTGGATTGGATTGGACTGGACGTGTGTTGACAGCGCTGACAAGTTGTCTTGTGAGTTTGGGATGGGTAGAGGTAGATGAATGGATGGATGGTATCTATCGCCAAGTCGCGATTTCGCGATGAGGGGACGCGTGGAAAGTTATATCAGCTGAGTTGCTGTCTTGCTTGGCAACAAAAAGATGTTGTTGTTGAATCAGTAGTGAGTAATATGTAATAGGAGCTTGCTTCACTGAACCGATATGAGAGACATGTGTGTGTGTTTGTGTTTGTGAGTGTGAGTGGAGTGAATAAGTGAGTGATATATGGTATTATAAATATGTATATGTATAAATATATATATGATATGTTATATGTATGTGTTGTTTGAATGATATATGTACAAAGGGATAGATGTGATTAAATATATTGGAATGGATTGGATTGAAGATAATACGCAGGGACTTGAGAATTACAGACACAACCTGACACACACACACTCTTACACTTACACACACACATCACATTATTCACATTATTGTCCCCATTCAGACATCCCACAACTACATTTATATATCTCCAACACACACACACACTCATTCATTCACTTCACTTCACTACTTCTCACCACACTGCATTGAATTGCCACTTTGAGCCAACAGATCCGATGAGCTACAACACACACCACTCACGTACATCAACAACATCAACAACAGCATCAGCTGAGTTGTCATCGCCGCCGCAACAGAAACAGAAACAGCAACAACAGCAGCAGCAGCAGCAGCAACAGAAGTCGCTGCGGAAACAGAAGCAGCATCAACAACAACAACAGCAGCAACAGCATCAACAGACAACTGATCAACAACAAGATGATAATGAAAACGAAAACACAATGCATGAAGGTGAAGATCAGGTGGAGACACCTACTGAGGCAACAATGACAAGGCTAGGACCTAAATCACTTGCTGTGGTGGGTGTGGTCGAATCGGCTGCATGCCTCATTGAATCGTCGATCGTAATGTTGTTCATTCAATCGACATGGCAGGCTATTGTAAACGTTGTCCGGACTGGCTTGGGCGTGTCTTTGCCAGGCCAGGTGGATCTCGCAGTGTTGCCAGCGACACTAATCACGCACACATTATACATGCTCAAGCGATACAAGTATCTATTCCAGAATGTGTCGCCGCCACTGCGGCCTTGGTTCGGAATGTCCGGTTCGGACAGACAACAGCGCCGGATCGTAAACAATGAGGCACTGATGTTCATGGCATGCATGCTGGGTCTCTTCATTGCATCGCTCGTGCAACAGTATGCCACGGGACAATTCATATTCAACATGGACAACATCTACACCGTGTCCACATTCAACAAGAGCATCAACTACTTCAGCCTGGTTTCGATACTCATCTTTGCGCCCATCTCTGAAGAGTTAATCTTTCGTGGATTCATACTCTATATCCTCCGACGAAGAAGTGACAATGTCAAGTTCTGCGTAATCACTTCCAACATAATCTTTGGACTCTTCCATCTTGTCAATTTGGGCGGAGGTATATCATTCTATTATATCTTATTACAGGTAAGATAGTCCGGCTTCGGCTTCATTCATTCACATTTTAGATGTTGGACTAACATCATTCATTTGAACCTTTGGAAGATCACAATGGGAGTTTTGTTTGGAATCAATCTTAGTTTGTTCTTCCTTCAGACTGGTACTCTGGCAACACCTATACTGATACATATATTCAACAACTCACTATCAATATTCCTTCCAACAACAACTACTAACTTTGCCAATATTATCATTCTTCCATACCGTAAGTACTTACTTATAAACAATGATTCAATTGTTTGGTCTGTGCTGCGCTAACATCAATCACATCTCATTACAACATAACACATAGTTACATTGGAAGTGTTGATGACTATTGGATTCTATCGTCGTGGTATTTCCAGACTTGGTCGTCATTGATGTGAAGGGATTTCTCTCTCTCTATCTCTGTGCAGTTGCACACCCAAATGACCTTATTGGGCTTTTCCTTCAGTTTATCACAACAACGCACACATCCATCTTTGCAAAGTCAAGCAAGACACACACAACAAATAAAAACAAGGATGTGTGAAGAGATGGACATAGGATGAGTGGACAACGCTTAAATACAGTGAGTGCTACACTCTTTCAATTCATAAGCAGTTTTATCTCCTTATTGTTCATATACATATAATAGTTTATCTGTTCCTTAATAACTTACTAATATTGTTTTTTTGCTAAAGACAATCACTTAGTGTATTATCACCATTGTTCATAGTCAGTCCAATCAAATAGATTATAATCTATCATATATATTTAATCAACTATAATAATAATCAAAGTATATAAGTTATATACTTTGTTTATTGTTTTAAATAGTCTTATTAATATATATTATATTTATATTCAAAGTCAATCTTGTGATATACAACAAGTTCAGTTCCCATCAATCAATCAATCAATCAGATTATCAATCAATCAATCAATCAGTTCCTTAATCTTAGCAACAACAATAACAAGTAGTTACAATCATGTCTCAACAAGGTGAAGGACGTGGAGGTCGTGGAGGCCGTGGAGGTGGTGATCGTGGTGGACGCGGAGGACGTGGAGGAGGCGGTGGTGACCGTGGAGGATACCAAGGAGGAGGCCGTGGTGGCGGTGGTGATCGTGGAGGATACCAAGGAGGAGGCCGCGGCGGACGTGGTGGAAGAGGAGGTGGTCGTGGTGGTCATCATGACAGAGACGTCGACGACGTTGCCCAGCACGTCGAGCAGGTCCACATTCAAGATGACCAAGGACATCCAGGCTTTGGTGGTCGTGGTGGTGGTGGTCGCGGTGGCGGTGGTGACCGTGGCGACCGTGGAGGACGTGGTGGTCGCGGCGGCGGTGACCGTGGTGACCGTGGAGGACGTGGCGGTCGTGGTGGACGTGGAGGATACCAAGGAGGAAGAGGTGATGACGATGAGTCCTCCCCTTCTTCAAGACAAGCACCCCAAGGTGCTTGGGGAGCTGCTCCACCCAGCCAGGCTAAAACATCAACAACATCAACTACATCAACATCAACAACATCTACTACCAGCACTTCATCATCCGGTGCTATTGTCCGTGCCCCAAGAGGACCACCAAGAGATAGAATCAATGATAACGATGTCCAGGGTCTTGCCTTAAAGAAGATCATGGCAGCCAGATACCCATCCGTATCAATCATGGTCAATCAGTTCCTTCTGAACTTTACCAAAAAGCAACTATTCCAATACGCCATTGACTTTACTGTAAGTTATCGACACAATGTCAAACCCAACCAAACTCAACCTCACATTCATGTCTAACAACATACTCACTACTCATCAATGATTGATTAGCCACCTGTTGATAACAGATCAACCAAGTGGGATATCCTTAACAAGTACCCAGAGATTGGCCTGTTCCAGTTCGATGGTGTTGGAGTGCTCTACTCCACAGCCAAGAACCCATCCAAGAACTATACTACAGATGGCCAACAGGTCACTGTTCAGTTTGTGAAGGAGATCACCAACGACCACAAGTCATTGATCCACTTTTACAACATCATGTTCAAACGCTTCATGAGAGACATGGGATTCTCGATCATTGGCAGACAGTACTTCAGCTCTCAAAAGATCCACAGAATCGAGAAGCACAACCTTGAGGTCTGGTCTGGTTTCTTCACCTCTATCAATGCAATTGAGAAGGGCACCTCTCTGTTGGCCGATGTATCTTACAAGGTCGTCCGCACTGAGTCCCTCTTGCAACAGATCGACAATGCCTTCCAGGATAAGAAGACCCGTCAAGACATTGAGAACGACCTCATTGGCAGCATCATCATCACAAAGTACAACAACAAGACGTACAGAGTGTGTGGAATCAACTGGAATATGTCCCCAAAGGACAAATTCGAGTCGTCCACCGGCATGATCTCGTTCATCGACTATTACAAGAAGAACTATCCCAACCACAAGATCACCGAGGCCAACCAGCCACTGATCATCTCGGACGTCAAGCGTCGTGGTGTCGTCGAGACCGTCTACATCATCCCCGAACTCTCGTTCTTGACTGGTATGAGCGAGGAGATCACCAGCAACAGACACACAATGCTGGAGTTGTCCAACTACACCAACGTCAGACCAGTTGAACGTCTCAACACCCTCAATGGCTTCATCCAGTCATTGCTCACAAACGAAAAGATTGCCAAGTCCACCGCAGACTGGGGCTTCCAGATCCAGAACGCCATGCCAGTGGAGGGCAGCAAGCTGCCAGACCCTGTAACTGTTCAGAACATGAAGCAGCTGGCGGGCCAGAAGTGGATCATCCTGTCTGGCGACCGTGACATGCAGAGCGTGATGGGCTTCTCCAGGAAGTTGATCTCTCTTTCTGGCCTCTCCAACCCAGACGTTATCACAATTGGCAAAGTGTTCCAGCCAAACATCTGGACCGACGAGATCCAGAAGAACCTAAACAAGGGCTATCTGTTCTTCTTCTGTGTTGTCCCCAGCGGCCGGAAGGACGTATACGACGCCATCAAGAAGGCCACACTCACCAAGTACCGTGTGCTCACCCAGTGTGCCTTTGCCAGGACCCTTGACAAGGAGGGAACCTCGGTGGCCGTCAAGATAACCCAGCAACTGATCGCCAAGATTGGTCGCAGCCCATGGGTACTCAAGAACCCACAGTACCAGATCCCCACGCACACTATGATCGTGGGCATTGATGTCGGTCACAACTCTGACCAACGTGGCAAGTCCGTAGTGGGCTTCTGTGCCTCGGTCAACGGAGACTACTCGTTGTACCACACAACTGCTATCGTCCAGTCCACACCAGGCAAGGAGATTGTCGAGTCACTCAAGCCATCGATGAAGAGTGCCCTCGCCGCCTACTATAAGCAGAACAACCGTCTGCCAGAGAATGTCATTGTCTACCGTGATGGTGTCGGAGATGGTATGCTTGACCTTGTGCGCAAGTTTGAGATTGCCGCCATCAAGGACGCCTTTGTCGAGACGCCCTCCATCTGGGGTGTCCATCCCAAGCTTCTCTACTGTGTCGTCAAGAAGAACACCAACACCAGATTCTTCGACGTCAGGAATGGCTACGACAACCCAACCGCCGGAACCTTGGTCGACAAGGGATGCACGCACCAGGACTGGTACGACTTCTTCCTCGTGTCCCAGAGAGTGCACAAGGGCAGTGTCAATCCAACCCATTACCACGTCATTTTGGATGAGACTTCCATCTCTGCAGACAACTTCTGTCTCTTCACCTACCACATGTGCTATCTCTACTACAACTTTGACAAGTCTGTTCGTGTCCCAGCCCCATGCCAGTACGCCCACAAGCTTGCCTTCCTCATTGGTAGACATGTCCACAGCCAGGTCGCAGAGGAACTCAGTCTCAATCTCTACTTCCTTTAAGTAGAATGTTTTCTTGGTCTTTTCGCCAATCTTATCCAGTTCCCAAATAGATATAGATAACGACGACCTTGACCAGTCATTCCATGATGGACAATCAATCATTCAATCATTCAATCAAACAATCAATTGATCGTCAACATTCCATTGCTCTCTCTGATGAATAAAGAATAATGGCAAACAATTCCAAATCCAGATACTCGAATCCAAGAGAACGTCAAAGAACCTTTCGTCAGATTTTTTTGATCCACTGACACGGTGTCTTTTGCTTCCCTTCTCCCTTGCATCTCAAATGGTCAGACCTTCACGATACTATCTTATACCAATCTAATCTTGACCAACTATTTAGTTAGTTTAAACATACTGAACATATACACATACAAACACACAATATAACAACAATGAACGAACCATCATACAAGCTCTCAAGTGGATTCTCAATCCCAACTGTTGGATTTGGGTAAGTTCATTGTGAATGAATGACAACAACATCACCATGTCACTAATATATCTTCTTTGAATTGGTATAATCATAACAGAACATGGCAAAGCAAGAAGAATGAGGTTGCTGAGGCCGTCAAGATTGCCATCAAAGCTGGATGTCGTCACATTGATTGTGCTGCCATCTATGGTGTATGTATAATTGAGTCGATCGCCTTCGATTGAATGAATGACTAACATTTATGTACTTATATATAGAATGAGGCAGAGATTGGAGGTGCTTTGAAGGAGTTGTTTGATGAGGGAGTTGTTAAGCGTGAGGACCTCTTCATCACAAGCAAGTTGTGGAACAGCTGTCATAAGAAGGAGAATGTGAAGAAGCATTGCGCCATCACTCTGAAGCATCTTGGTCTTGCTTACCTCGACCTGTACTTGATTCATTGGCCATTCGCCTGGGTCTACACTGATGAGACCCTCAAGGTCGACCCAACCATGGACTACACTGTCACCATGCAGGAGACCTGGGAGGCCATGGAGGAGTTGGTCGCCGAAGGCCACGTCCGCTCGATTGGTGTGTCCAACGCCAACGTCCAGACACTCTCACAGATTATGGTGTACGGAAAGATCAAGCCCGCCGCCAACCAGGTCGAGCTGCACCCATACCTGTCACAGCCAGGCCTCAAGGCATACTGTGACGCCAACAACATCCACTTGACTGCCTACAGTCCATTGGGCTGTGGCAAGTTCGTCGGTGATGCCACCTTTGAAGAGATTGCCAAGGCACACAACAAGCCAATCACCTCGATCCTCCTGCGCTGGGGTCTCCAGACCGGATTCTCTGTCATCCCCAAGTCAGTCACCGAGCAGCGTATCAAGGACAACCTGCTCATCACCGACTTCACCCTCACTGAGGATGAGATGAAGTCCATCGACGCTCTCAACAAGAACTACAGAACCTGTGATCCAGCCACCTTCTGGAAGCTCGCAATCTTTGATTAAAGTAAAGAAAGTAAAGTAAGCCGCGCCACACTCATACGCATGCGTGTGTTGCCGTCTGGACAATCAATGGGACTGTCCCAATACACATTTATTGTTGTTGTTGTCGTCGATAGAGAGCGGTGTTACATGCTCTGCTGGATGGGCGTGGGTGCAAAGGCTGGCGTCAACTTGGACACAAGGGTCGGGGACTTGAGATGGTAGATCTCCTGCTTCAAACGCTCAATCATGCTCTGTTGCTGCTTGATGAGCACTTCCATCTCGGTCATGGACAGTATCTGTCCAAACATCTCGTGTTTGAGTATGTCCTGGGCGGAGGGCCGCTCATCAGGGTTGGCCCGCATCATTGAGTGGATGAGGTTGGCTTCAAGCGGATAGTTGCGCACAAAGCTTGGTGGCAGGGTGCCGTTGCGGAGGTCGGTCAGGGCGCGTGCCTTCTCCATCTTTGTGGAGAAGATCGAGTAGAGTTCAAAAAGGATGATGCCCAAGCTGTAGATATCGGTCTTCTCGTTGTAGAGACCCTTCTTCTGCTCGGGGCTACTGTAGGTCAGTGTACCAACTGCACAAGTATGTTTGTTATGTTCACCTGAGCGATTTATGTTGGTTGCCGTTAGATGTTGGGTTGTCGCCAGCGAGGAGGAAGTCTGTGGCTGTTGGGGTGAGGGCGAGGGCGAGGATAGAGAGTATTGGTCCAAAGGATTGATATTGAGAGGTGTTGCCGAGGACTGAAGAGATGGTGTGGACATTGGAGTGGGGGTCGGTGTAGAGATGGCGGTCGAGTTCTGGGTCGCCAGTCCATAGTCGCCCAGTGATACCAACAGCTCATCGTCGTGTTCTGGATCGCAGAAGCTACTGCCGCCACTGCTACTGCCGCCACTACTGCTCAGCACACTGCTGTTGCTGGCAAGCGAGTGAGTTGAGTTGTCCAGTGAGGGCGTGTCGGTGCACCCGAGGAAGATGTTGCCGGGCTTCAGATCGCGATGGATAATGCCCTTGGAGTGTATGTACTTGAGACCAATGCAGATCTGCTTAAAGATGCGTTGGTTCTCCTCTGGGTTGATTTGGCTCCTTGACTCGAGCCACTTTGAAAGGTTCTGATTGTACAGCTGCATTACTATATACAGGGTTGTGACGCCTTGTGTAGTTGTCCTTGGAGTTGGTGATTGCTGGGGTGGCTGTTGCTGTTGTTGCTGATGATCCCTGCGTCCACGACTTCTTTTGGCCAACTCATTATTCTCATCATCCATGGAGCTGTCATAACGTGGAGGCTTAACAAACATTCCAGTTCCAGTTCCAGTGTCCTCATCACTTGAGTCGTTGTCATCATCATCATCAGCGTCACGTGATTGGTTTCCAGTTCCACTCTCACTCTCATACTTTAGATGTGAAGGTATCTGAGGAATCATTGATGATGTGAATGGTCTTAGAGTGAACTGTCGATGCAAGTTGGATAGGCTTGATTCTCCATCATCTTCATTATCGTCGTCGTCGTCGTTGTCATCGTCAGAAGATGAGGAGTCAACATCATCATCATCATCCATCGCCTCAGTTGACTCCCAATCATCTTCCATTGAAGTTGGCAGCTCGGTTGTGACGCCAGCACCGCCACCATGACTGGTCAATGATATCTTTGTGATGGAGTTTGAGCTGGTGTTGATTGGTGATGTGTCCTTGTGCTCCAGCCATGCAGTATGATATCTAACAATGTTTACATGATTGAGTGATGCCAGTGTCTTGACCTCGCGCAACACTTTGTCCAAATAAGTCTGTGATGTATTCTTAAAAGGTATCTTCTTCAGAGCATAATATAGACCATCCAGACGGTTCTGTACCTTATACACTGTACCGAATCCACCCTTGCCTATCCTCTCCAACTCTACAAAGTCATCATCATACCTAGAGCGTCTGATATTTATACAAGGTGGTGGTCTGTTGCCGCGTCCATATGTTAGCAAAGTGTCACTCCAAGTTTGGACAATGTTAATGGACCGACATGTATTATAACATACCTGATGGACTCATCCGAGATGTTCATCGGCTGTGAGGGTGTTCGTGGCGAAGATATTGAGGAAGAGAGGATTCTGTCGGCTGGCATCATAATTGGAATAAAGTTGTTGGAGTTGATATCTTGGTCTCGGCGTGAAACAAACTAACAACTTCACTTGGAATATGTTGTTGTTGTTGTTGTTGGTGTTGGTGCGAGTGATATGTTGTTGTTGGATGTAGCAGTTGCCAAACAAAGAGACACTACTAGTAGTTAGGAAGCTGGATAAAGTTATTGATTTATGGATTGATTGGATTGAATGATTGATGAGATATTGATGAGTTGAGTGTGTGTATTTACAAATATACTTGATATATTGATTGAGTTGACTTCCACCTTATACAGTCAATGCCAAGATTGCTTGTGGCTGCAGCAGTGGCAGAAGCAGCAGCAGCAGAAGATGCAACTCTTTGGTATTGGATAATGTTGGAATGAATGAATGAATGAATGAGGAGTGGAGTGGAGTGGAGTTGAAGAAGGAGTGGGAAGAGGAGGAAAGAGGGGGTTGGGGGTTGGTGGTATCCGACTGAATGAATGAAGGAGGGCTGGGGTGATGGACTGATCGATTGATGGATGGAAGGATGGACTGGTTTGATTGACTGATGTCTTTGGCAACTGAGCAGCAGTGTGAGTGTGTATGAAATGTCAATCACGTGAGTGGGAACTGTTGTTGGTGGTGATGGTCGTGTCGTCGAAGTGATGGTGGTAGTGGTAGTCTTGGAGGGGGTGTTATGTGTGTGTGTGTGCATTACACACCGTCAGACATGGAGGTGATTGGCTAGCTAGTTGACAGTGATGATGGTCGCATGCTATTGCAATATATCAATATCTCATATATACAAGTCTATTCTACAATATACAATTGATGACAATTGGAAATTGAAAGATCAACTACACATCCAAACACACTCCCGAATTGAACAACAACTATTCTTCTTTTGTTAATAATATATATATTAATTATTATTATTATTATTATTTTTGGTGTTGTTGATGTTGACGAGTTTATCCCAGTGTGTGTTGATGTCGATATTGTTATTGTTGTTGTTAGAGTGTGTGTGTGTGTGTTTGTTTATTAGAGTATTAGATAGAAGGATAAATGGTGGTAGTGGGAATGAGAGAAACACCATGGTCCTGGTCTATTGTCTGTCATGTGACCTTGACGAATGTGATCGACCATTGTGATGGTGGGTGAAAATTCCAATTTTGTTCATTTTGGAGATGACCTGGTGATTGAGCATTGCGAAATCGGGGAGTGAGAGGGGTTGGTGCTTTTGCTGGTGATCATGTGTGTGTTAGTGATGGGGATTTAGTGAAACTCCTTGTTCACCAAAAGATAAAAAGAGAAGTAAATATCAATATCAACTGTGTGTGTGTCAATGATCACAACAACAACAACACTCCAATCTAATAAACCACGGTTAGTGCCAATAAGGAAAATACCAGTAACAGTTTATTTATTATAATAAAGATCATATCATTATACACTTAATGATCTTCAAAATCATTCACTTATTACTTTTTAATTTGGCTTAATACTTTTTAGACCTCTTCGAGTGGAACTGGAAGAATATTATTTTGGACAGAGTAAAGAATAAGGATAATTAATTTCCTGGTCCAAGTTTGTTAGTAATATACAATTTGTAGAGGTCACCAATAATTATCATCCAAATGTTCTAAATAATCTACAAATATTTTTGTTTAATTGCCTACACACCGTTCTATCAGGAGTAGCGTTGTTTTGTTAGTTTATCCTTACCATAGAATTGTTAGGACACTCTCATTGGATAAGATTGATTCAAGTGCCAGATTTGAAATTTTTTATCTAGTTGTGATACGTACAAATGTCGTGGATTTGATCCCAAAACATCATCAGCGCATGTGGTCCAATGGTAGAATGTTTCCCTGCCACGGAAGCGATCCGAGTTCGATTCTCGGCATGCGCACTCTTTTTATGCCTCAATGGAAACGGCCAAATCGGAACTTCGAGAAATGAAAGATATATATTTACATGGACCAACAGAACCCTAGAAACATAGTCTTATTGTCCTTCGAAAGGGATAACAAACTCCACTCATTGGTGAAAGACATTTCTTAAAACGACGGTTTGTCCAAACGACTTATTAACTGAGACTATCTTAAAAAATCGATCGTCTTTAGACTTATTATTACTTTGAACTTATACTTTATATATATTATATTACTACCTATGAAATGAGCCAACATCAATATCATACAATAACAACAACACTAATATCATGGTCGATCCTTATATTGCAGATTGTTGTTGTTATCTTTGTGCCAATGTTTGCTGTTATAGATTGCAAACCATCAGCTGATCTCAAGTTCAACCAATACGGATACTTCAAGATATGTCAGTTCACAGACTTGCACTATGGCAATAGCGATCAATTGGATCAACAAACCTTTGAAGGTCAAGGTAATCATCAGTCGCACAGTCAGTCAGTCATTGACTCCCACTCATTCATTCATTCATTCATTCATTCATTCATTCAACTTTACATCATGACTTTACAGAGATCATATTAGATAGAGAGAAGCCTGACTTGGTCGTGCTCTCAGGTGATATGATAAGCGGGAACAACCAGCGATTCTCTGACCCTACAGTATACAAGCCCATATGGGACTTGATGACCCTACCAATGAGGAGTCGGAAAATACCGTAGGTACATGAATCGTCTGGCATCAACTAATGTATGATGGCTAACACTTCATATGTATGTAGATGGGCAATAACATTTGGTAATCATGACGATGAAGGAGTGTTCTCAAACAGGAGGATCAATGAATTGGACATGAGCTATGATCTGAGTTTATCACAGACAGGCCCACTCAATCTACCTGGCATTTCAAACTATGTTCTCAAGGTCCAGAGCTCATCGGCATCACCATCGACGACATCGCCATCAGGGTCGGACCCTGACTCATCCTCTTCCCTATCCCTACTTGTATATATCTTTGATTCCAACACTGGATACTGTGGAGAGGAGGGAGAGTGGGGCTGCATTCAGTCGTCGCAGGTGGCCTGGTACAAGAACCTGTCCGATCATTACAAGACTCCTGCATTGGCATTTGTACATGTGGCACCAGTCGATGCCATTGACCTTTGGAACAACCATGAGGTCTATGGCGACTTTGGAGACAGTGGCGTATGCTGTTACTACACCGATCAATCATACTTTATGAAGACAATGATTGAGCGACAGGACATCAAAGGACTCTACTTTGGACACGATCATGCCAATGACTTTGTTGGTGATTACTATGGTATATCAATGGGTTATGGAAGAGTATTACATCGATCGATCATTCATCCATTCATTGCTGCAGAGACAATATCATTGACTGACACAATCATTCATTCAATCAATCATTCAATCATTGGTACATTACAGAAATCAGGTTATGGTTCATATGCACCAAAGTATACGATAGGTGCAAGGATCATACAGATACAGGAGAGGACAAATAGATTGACAACTTGGATTAGGAATGTAGATGGACTCGTCGAGACTCAATACCATCACCTGCCAAACGAACAGGACGCTGTAGCCAGGTATTGTTGTGGCAAACGTGACAATGAGTACAGTGGATATTGGGGCATCTTTACAGGTCTAAGCGGATTCCTGTTGTTGGTCAGTTGTCTAATCCAATGGCAATTCGGCAGGAGGAAGGATAATGTAGGAGGCGTGCTCGGAGGTAGATCACTGTCCTTCCAGCTGCTGCCCACGACGATGTCCATCAACAACAACAAACCTGTATACCAATAATACTATCATTACTATCATTATCATTATTATTACTACTAATACAACATCAGTTACCCTCTTTATTTGTTGCTGTCACGTGATTTGTAACTACTAAGAGGTGGGGTGGCGGTAGACTTTGGTGCTTTGGTGCTCGGTGGTTCATGGTCACGTTGTCCTCGCTGGCGATAAGTATGATCGTCTTCGTCGACCCTTCTCTTTTTCAGCTGCTCCTTGTCATCTGCTATCTCATCCTTTCGTTTCTTATCGTTCGTCGTTGTATCCTTGGCAAAGGACAGTTGTTTTGATGATGATGATGATGTCTTGGAGGAAGTGGAAGAGGACAGTTGTTTTGATGTTGATGATAAACTAGTCTTGGGCTTCGATGGAGAAATAAGCCTCCTCCTATTGCTATATGTTTGCTTCTCTCGGGTCTCATTGTCACTCTCCTCCTCGCTGCTGTCCTCGTCGTCACTACTATCACTATCGCTCTCGTCGCTTTCAACAGACGCTGTCTTTGCTCGAGCGTGATGAACTGTATGATTATTCTTGGACGATGATCCAGACTTTGAATTGCCATTGGTGAATGACCTGTTGTTGTTGTTGTTGCTGTTGTCTCTCGAGGACTTTGCCGAGCCACCACCAATTGGCTGTCTAAGCTTCAGTGATATATCGTGTTCCTCTTCCTCCGCCTCTCTGTCATTCTTCTTTGACACTTCCTTATCCTCTTCCTCCTCTTCATCAGAGCTATCAACACCTTTTACAACATCCTCCTCTTCGTCATCGTCATCTTCCTCTTCTTCTGCAGCTTGGTCTATTATATGTGATTGAGACGTGGCAAGCACGGTCAGAGAGAGCGCATGCGGGAGCATGTCAATAATCGGTCCACACATAACATACCATTCAGTGACTTTCTCAACTTATTAATCGAATCGGTTATGGTCAATCGTGGCTCCTTATCCTTCTGTCTGATGATATGTATCAGCTCCTTTGTAATCAACTCGCCAGCACTGATCAGGACTTCTGGTTAGTTCTCATATCCATCATCATCATCACTCCGCCACGCCACTCCACTCCACTCCACTCCACTCTCTTTCCAGCCAGCCAGCATATACATACTATTCAGTCTCCTTGCGCAGTTGCAAGAACATCGTTCTCTTGTTGATGTTTCGATCCTTTGCGTATTGTTTCAGCATGCTCGACGCCTCTAGTCGTGCTCTTATATCCAGCTTGAGACGGTCTTGTGCTCCATTCTCTATCATCTGATTGGCGATGATCGACCTGATCCTGTCAAACGTTCCATTGCTCTTGAGCATCTCAAGAGTCTGCACCGACGTCTGTTGGTAGAACTGTCGCTCCGTGACCGACAGTGACTGCATGATGGCGTCCAGATGGTCGACTGGCTCGCCGTCTCGTGGACGGTGGCCCGGCGCGACGCCAGGATGTCCGCCGCCGTGAGGCGTGTGAAGCAGGGGTGGACGATAGGGCATCGCACCGCCTGGGGGTGGTGGCCCGCGCCCGCTCCATCTCTCCTTATACTCTCTGTCGCGAGGCAGACTGTCCCTGGGCACACTATCCCTTGGCAGACTGTCACGATCACCTGGCAGGTAGTGTGGATCGCGCGAGTCCCGCGGCGTCCACGGACGTCCGTCTCTATAGGCGTCTCTGTATCTGCCTGAGGGCAGTGGGGGCAGGGGCGACAGTGGTGGAGGCGGCCGCCTATAGTCGTCGTCATACTGTCTCCCAGCAACACCACCGTGCTGATATCTACTGCCGGCGCCGGCTACGCCAAAGTAGCCCATATGGGGGCCGGACAGCGGCAGTTGTGGCGGCAGATGCTGTGGCTGTTGGCGCACAGGCACCGGACGCTGCTCACGACTGTCCCACTTTGACTCCTTTGCAGGAGGCTGAGGCGGCAGCTGATCACCGCCGCCCACACTAGGCACAGATGACGAAGAAGACGATGACGATCTCAGCTCAGGTGTGCTGCTCACCTGCTTGTCCCATTTGCTCTGTTTGACAGTTGTTGGTGTTGCTGTTGTTGTTGTTGTAGTTGTTGATGTTACTGTCGCTGAGTTGTTATTGTTGTTGTTGTTGGTGGATGTATGAGTTGTAGTTGTGCCTGCGCCAGCGTTGGCGGTCGTCCCTGAAGTGGCAGCACTATTCGTGGGGGGACTGCTATTGGTCGTCGTCGTCTCTATCGTTGATGACCTAGTTGTATCCTGCAATAATTGTATTGCAGGTTGTGATATTGTTGTTGCTGCTGATGCCACTGTATTATTGATTATTGTTGTTGTTGTAGTTGATGTAGTTGATGTTGTTGTTGCTGTTGATGATATTGATTCGATGTTGCTCATTGCATGACATCATTGTTGTTGTCGACCCTTCTAAAATATATATATTATATAATAGTTAACTATTATCTCAATGTTTGTTATAATCGTGATAATATATTGTTGTTTATGTGAATGAGGTATATATATATATATTACTGTTAGAGATAAGAGTGAGGGATTGATTGAATGAAGAATGAAACGAATGTCGATTGGATGTGCTAACATTCAAATTTGAAAATTTGAAGTCTGTTGGGTTGTCGCTGCACAACGATCAGTTCCAGCTCAGAGTATTATCATCTTTATTCGTAAAGTTAAGTTTGTTTGGGATTGAATGGTGAATGATTGAATGATTGATTGATTGATTGACACATATATGGATTATCGACTTGATACCATTTGATCAACTCAGGAATACGGCATCATTGGTGTTCATATCCCATTGCAATATCTGGCAGTTCTTAAAGTATGGTAGCTTCTTCTCCATCAGATAATAGAAGAACTCAGAGTGACCAACCACCGCAATAGTGTTCTCCTGACGTGCCATCAGCCATGCCTTGAACTCATCCATCCTAGCCTGTAATTGATCTGTATATTAAGATTGATTGAGTATGGGTCAGTCAGTGAGTGAATGATTGGAATGATCCCAACAACGACAATAACAACAACATACCTAAGTTCTCTTTGTATCCAATTGTCTTAAAGTACTCTTGTGTATCGATGGACATGTCGTGCTTGAGCTCCTCGGGCAGATACCACCAGCGCTCTTGGATGTGAGAGAGGTCAAAGTCTGGAAACTCTTTCTGGACGATGGATCTCTCGCGGCCAGTGTCATCGCTGGTCTGTACGTACTCGGAGTGCAGTGTGATCACCTCCACCTTGAGCGCACGCTCTTTGATCGCCTTGGAGAATCCACGTCGTGTAGTGTCGAGTGCGCGACTCAGTGGCGACGACACCACCAGCTCGATATCTGTAAGTTTGGCAACGTGGTCGGCCAGTGAATTGGCCTGCTGCTCTCCTAGCTCTGTGAGCATGGCATCAAACAGGAATGGGTCCTTCTTGTGTAGTTGGTATGCAGCATTGAATGTACTCTGGCCATGGCGAATCAAATAAATACGCTTATTATTGTTGTTGGTGTTGTTGGTGTTGGTGGTGTTGGTGTTGTTGTTGCCGCCATTGATAGCGGTTGGTGAAGTAACATGTGATGCGCCATTCAGGCCAGAGATCTCTTGTGCAGTCATTATTATTATTATTATATAAGTGTAATAGTATATAGAGAGAGAGAGGGAGGTAGAAGGGGAGAGGTGGGGAGATGGGGAGAAGGGAGAAGGGAGATAAAGAGAATATAGAACAAAGAGATAAAGAGATAAAGAGAGAGATATAAAGAGATAATGAGAGAGATGTATGTATTACAACAGAGAGTGAAGTAGGGATAGAACTAATGATGAAGAGTACACAGTCATCACTTCATATATGAATGAATGAGGTGTTCCACCCTTCAGGTGCACCAACCTTTGATGGGTTAGTGGGTGGTGGTACTCAGGATCGGTAACACCTACCACTTTACATGTTATGTTGTCGAAGGTGAATGTGGGGGTTAGGGTTGGCCCTGGTTTGGTTATTATGAGTGTGTGAGTCGAAGGGCTTCAGACGATCAACCGAATCAAAACCGAGAATAGGCTCTCCCCTCGATGATCTGAACTTTGCAGGGTCTGTCGTTTGCAGAGACCAAATAAGGACCTATGATCAAACATCAAGCATCGGTACCAAAGAGTCAGATTAATAAAACAAACTTATTAACTTTTAGATTGATGAGTGACGAGATATATATATATATTATATATATACACTCGTATTGGATTAGTTTATTACAGTTACAACATGTATTTGGATTAGATAGTTTCTATTTAGATTCCAATTGAGCTGGTAACACCATCAGCAAAAGCGATAACAGTACCTGCAACTGCCTTGACAGAGGTGGTGATACCCTCAACTGCTGGTGAGAGATTCTCACCAATAGTCTTAACAATACCAGACGTGTTGTTTGACGATTGTCCAAATGATGATGAGCCAGAGCTCATTACTGAACCATTGCTAAAAGCAGAGGCGTTGAAAGAGAGGGAGGTCATGGATTCTAAAATATTATTAAAGTAGTAGTTGAGTTAGAAATTATAATTCATTTCCAGAAATGATTATTATTATTATTAAGTTACTTACTGATGATAGTCATTTTTGATTGATTGATTGATTAATTAATTGATTAATTGATTGATTTGATGATTTGATAGAAACCATGGTTTTAACTATTTATAGTTAACTTTGGATTTATATTTTGATTAATTTTAATTTAATTGTTCAAGGAATAATAATTATTATTGATTTGTTTGAAGTATATTTGTGTTAAACATATACAGATACTACTACATTCATAAATCTCACCCCCATTAGTCAATTAATCAATCGTACTAACCCACAAACTGTCAGTCAGATTAACAGTAATCAATCAATCAATCAAACAGATACCCCTATCAAGCTCACAATCATCCTACCCCATTACATACAATCTTTACACTCGGTCATATGACAAACAAGACTTATTCCGCACTCTCTTCCTATTATTTATATCAAATAATTAATGTAGTGTACATGATGTTACTACCAATTAGTACATCATATCATATCATCTTAATCATTCTATCACATGATGATTTGATTGGTGAAATGATTGATTGATTGTTTGATTAATAGGTGAATTAGTGTAGTATAGTTAAATTCAGTGATTTAATTAAATTGACAGATTGATTTACAAATAAATTAAATTGAGTGGTAATTTGTCTTTGGAATTGATCCAGATTATTTCAATTTGAATATTGTCCCATAAATAATGTTAATTTCAGAAACAATTGATTTTGGCGCCAAGATCTTGAATTTTTGGTCAATGAATGAATGATTTGAAATTGAGTAAGTGAGATCATTACATGTATTAGAGTAGAGCCAAACAGATAGATATATATATACACACATGACAACATATAATAGTAACAGTAACAATTATTATGATGGTGGTGGTAGTGTAAGATCATACCCATCATCAACATCAACATCTACACTTCCACGCACACCCAGTCGTGTCAACAACAATGCCTCGTCAACGTCGTCATCTTCATCATCAGTCTATCGAGGTAGCTCAAGCAGCGTCAATGGACCATCACAACCTTTGCGCAACCCTGTGAACAACAACAGCAATAACAACAACAATGAATCTTCGCTGTTGTTTGGCAACAACGATTCAACAATCTATGATGGCTCCATGCCAGGAGGTGCAAACATTGACGAATCAATCAACATCCCCTTCACCCCGATAGCACCCAATCGTGCTGCCAACTTGTCATCATCAAGGAACAACTCGGCGGCTGCATCGTCTTCGTCGTCGACCAGACGTGATGACCCCTCGCCCTTATCATCATCTCAGTCTCGCGGCAGCAGCAGCAACTCAAGATCGAACAACCTCTCATTTGCCAACACATCAACAATCAATGGTGGTGGTGATGATGACCTCAGTCAACTGATAAACTCTGTGAAGAAGACCTTGAGGGAGGACCCGCAGCCAGGCAGACACTACATCAGTAGCAACAGCGGCAACAACACGTCTACAGCATCAGCAACAGGAACAGGAACAGTACCAACTACTACTACAACACCAATGTATTCATCATCAAACACAACTTATGACAAGTCATCTTCGTCACCTGTGATGGTCGGGGACCAGAATGACATCAACAACTTGACAAGCTATCCCGTGGAGTATATCCGTCAGCTGGAGGATCACTCAAGAATGATGGACGATCGTATCCGACGACAACAGCACAATGGCATCGATGCTAGCACTGTACCCGTACTTCCATTCAATGTTGATGCCAACTCACCACGAACAACCGCCACAACTACACCCACGAGCAACAGCAGTGGTAGCAAGTGCGAGAAGTGCCCACGACTTGAGAGACAGATCGCAGAGTACATCAAGAACTTTGAGCAGGAGAGACAGTGGCGCGAGCAGGTTGAGCGCGAGCTGGACCAGGCGCTGGCCGAGAAGGCGCGTCTGGCAGAGTACAGCAGTCGCCTGCCTGATGAGCTGCGCTACCTGTTCGAAGAGGAGAAGCAGACCCTTGTAAATAGTCATAACAGAGAGTTGGAGACATTGGAGCGACGTGCCAACAAGTTCAAAGAGAGCTGTGAGCTGCTGGTGCCCCACATGGTCCAGTACGACGAGTTCAAGAAGGAGACGGCCGAGCGCGAAAGGAAGCATCAGGAGGAAATGGCGACCCTGCGCAAGCAGCTGGACGAGGAGAGACAGCAGCGCACATTGGCCGAGGAGTTCAGCCAGCAGCTCGAGACACTGAGACGTGAACACGAGTCGCTGGTCAAGAGGGCGAAGGAGATGCGTCAGGACCTGCTCAAGGCCAATGAGATCATCAAGAAGGAAAGGGCGGATGCGGCGCAGGCCTTGCAGAGTGATGCCGCTCAGTTCCAACAGATCCTCAAGACGAAGGACCAGGAGTTGGCAGGTCTGCAGCAGAAGTTGCGCAACAAGGATCAGGATCAAGTCAAGATGCAGAGGGACATGGAGTCAATGAAGCAAGAGTACCAACAGAGGCTCATCTCCAATGATAACCAATACCTTCAGTCGCAACAAGCCAGTGAGAAACAGATCAAGAGTTTGATGGAACAATTGCGAATCCAGCAACATGTGAACAACTTATCATCGTCATCCTCTTCATCCTCATCATCACCTACACAATCAATGTCACAATCACAATTACAACAATCACAACATCAACTTCCACAACAACTTCCACAACAACAATATCGTCAACAACCGATGCAACAACAACAACAACCTCAATCACCAAGTCCATCCATCAACAACAGGAGTTTGGGTATGAGTAGCTTAGGAAGCACTTATACACCACCAAGGATCACTCCAATCTCCACCAACCTACCACCAATGTCCTCCTCCTCCACAGCATCAAGAGGAACACCATCACGTTGATCATTCATTCAATCATTCATTCCCCTTTGTTTATATGTTTAGGGGGTTGTTGTAAACACCAACCAACCAATCAATCAATTGAAGATCTGATTGGCACACTGGAACTCCCAGAGTCTAAATAAAGATATACTCGCATATGCCACAACATGTTGTGTTACCAACAACACACGCCTTGCTTGCCACTCAATCAATCAATCAGTGAAGACCACATGGCAGAGGTGACCTGACCGTGTCGTCCATACCTAACACACAACCATCATCAACACTCATTCAATCATTCGTTCCAAGTACCAAACACAGCCCTCACCTCATCTCATCAACACAACAACATCTATCATTCAAATTTCAAACGGACATAAGACAGGTTATCTAACGGACAAAGAGAGGTCAATTCAAAATTTGAATTTGAATTTGCGCACACTTCACACAGCAATCACCCACCAATTTAAATCATATTAAATAGTTGTGTGTAACGGATCTGATTGAACAAAAGGATGTGCTGCTGAGTGATTGAAAGGCTTCATTATTCATTCATTACTACCTACCTACACCTACACCTACACTTGACTTTATTCATTCAATCAAGTCAATCAATACCTCCACCTATATTTCCTTCTTCGCTCACTCATTCATCTTGCGTTCGATCAATCATTGATTGACTTGGCGCACTCAATCATCACAACAATCGTATGTCCATTCAATTCAATCACATTACCAATCACATTAAACATGTTCTAACACTCAATCACTTACTCACTCAATCATTCAATCAATCAATCAAAAAAGACGGAACTATCTTAACAGACGCGTATAATTAGACGAAGGAACGAAGAAAGAATCAAATCAATCAATCAATAATGGCTACAATGAATCCTCTAAAGATGTTGACCAGGTCACATACTGTTGCACTGCCCACTGATGAGAATAAGGTGCCCGGTAAGACCATGGTCTTGGAGAAGAAGTCCCTCAAGACTGCACGTGGTGCACTATCTGAGATCACAAACAACACAATCATCCCCACGGGCAAGTCCAGCAAGTCCATCCTCACTGTAAGTCCATATGACCATCCTTGTCCATGTCCAAGATTACTAACATTCATTGTCCTATCTTCCATTTCCCCTCCCCTGCCCCGCCTTGCCCTCGCCCGCAACCCGATCAGACCACGACTATCATGCCAAAGATCACTAGAGCCAGGACTGATATGACTGGAATGAGAGCTGCCAATCCAATACTCGCCACCGCTGCCAATATGATCAGCCAACAACCACAAAAGTTCCAAAAGTTGGAGACGAACCGTGAGCAACCAATGTTGATCGATGAGTATATGGAGGATGATGACACCATACTCCACGACGACGTCCCAATGGTTGAGCCAGAGCAGCCCGAGAACATTGACCTCTACGATGCCCACGATCCCCAATGTGTCGGTGAATACGTCAACGACATCTTTGCCTACTATCGCCAAAAAGAGGTATGTTATTTGTTGTGATGGAACTATTCCAGCCCCCCCGCCCAACAACAACACTGACTAACACTCGATCAATTTTGAAGATTATTGATAAAGTAAGTCCAACTTACTTGAAGGACCAATATCACATCAATGAGAAGATGAGAGCTATATTGGTGGACTGGATGATGGCCGTGCACGTCCGCTTCAAGATGCTGTCCGAGACATTCTTTTTGTCGGTCAACATTGTGGACCGCTACTTGGAGCTCGTCCAGATCCCGATAAACAAGCTGCAGATCGTGGGCATCACCTCGATGCTGCTGGCGGCCAAGTACGAGGAGATCTACTCGCCCCAGATCAACGACTTTATCCAGACGTCGGACAACGCCTGCTCGCATGCCGACGTGCTCGCCATGGAGCGCTCGATCCTCTCGACGCTCAAGTTCCACTGCTCGACCGTGACGCCGCTGCACTTTTTGCGCCGCTTCTCCAAGGCCGCCGGCAGCGACAGCCGCACCCACTCGCTGAGTAAATACCTGAGCGAGATGTCCACCGTCGAGTACAAGCTGCTCAAGTACGCGCCATCCATGATCGCCGCCGCCTCCATATACGTAGCCCGTCGCATGACCCTCAAGTGCGGCCCCTACTGGAACGTGACGCTCGAGTACTACACCTGCTACAAGGAATGTGACATCATTGCCTGTGCGCAAGAGATCAATGAAGTCAGGAAGCGCGAGGACACCACCTCGCTCAAGGCCACCAAGAAGAAGTACCAATCGCCCAAGCTTATGGAGGTGGCTTTGATCCCTCCAGTTGACTTCTGAGCATCTGGCCCCGACTTCCCCGAGTCCAACTGTCCAACCAACAACCCTCTCCACGCGTAGAGACGCGCCAGTCGAGTGCGCGTCCATTTGTCATCATTGTCCCGATTCCTGTCCCCCATCACAACCATCACCCTCCACCAACATGTTTTATTTATTCCCCAGCCCAGTCCGCCGAGTTGGCCCACCCACCCCATTGACCGAATTGAGGAGCAATATTGGTTGGTTGTACAGTACCCACCATCACCACCACCACCATCACCATTGTTTTGTTCTTTATCTCATCCCCTTATTCTTAGGTGTAATAAGGATGTCATCTTTCTTGTCTTGTCTCGTTATCCAAGCTCAGCCAACACGCTCATCATTCACTCAATCAATCATGCAATCAATCAGGCCAACCCAACTCAAAATACACATACACAAACAAGGGCACTCAAGTAATCAATAAAACAACTTACTCTTAATGTCAACATGTTGTTATAACTTCATTCATTCATTCATTGACTCATCCTGGTATCCCAATCAATCAGAATCTGTTTCGTCTTTTCATCCCACACTCTTGTGTGAACATTCATTGATTCGAAAAGTTCAAAGAATCACTTTGTTTGAAATTGAACCAGCCACGCCACAAACAAACCAAAGAGTTAGAGAGATAAATACACTCTTTGACATTGACATTGTACATAATATAACACAACATACATTAGTAGTAGATAGATATAGATAGTAGTTGTTATCTTGGGGATAATGGATAGCCAGACATCATTAAAGATTGCGGTTGCTACTGCATCAATTGCCATCTCAACATTGATAGCAAAGATATTATATAATAGAGCAAAGAGTAATAGTACATCAAGTACATCAGATATACCTGAGAAGTATCCAGACGATTGGAATGACTTGTTAAAGTGGTGTTATCAATCAGATTATGTATGTTCATTCATTCATTCAAAGGGGCCCAAGGTCCAGAGGTCTAAGGTCCAAGGTCACTAACCCATTCATTCATTCATTGATTCATTCATTGGAATATAGGATAGTATATTCAAAGTTATAAGTGAGGATGATAAACAAACAAAGAATGACATTAACTTCTTGGATGCCAACAAATGGAATGCTCTCCATGTTGCCGTGTCAAGAGGAAGCCATTCAATAGTTGACCTATTACTTCAGACACAGATCGCTGTCAATGCTCAGAGTATGTATACATCCATACTATCAATCAATCACTTGCTCAAACAATCACTCACTAACTCAATCAATCAAAGATGATAAGGGATATACACCATTACATATTGCCGCATGTAATGGATTGTTGGCAATTGTAAAGTCATTGTTAGCTAAAGAGAACATTGTGATTGATATTGCTGATAATCAATTGCAGACACCTTTGTATATGGCTGCATCGAATCAACATATTGATATTGTAGAGGAGTTGTTGAGACCTCTGGACACGCCAGAACAAAAGGAGTTGGTCAATCGCTTCACAACACAGGGCTCCACGGCACTACACATGGCTGCACTTCGAAAGAACATCCAGTTGATGCAACTGCTGATTGATCATGGCGCCGACCTCGATGCCATCAAGAAGGATGGCAGCACGCCACTGCACATCGCCGCCGTCGTCGACTTTTACGAAGGCATCGAGCTGTTACTCAAGAATAACGCCGACCCACACATCACCAATCGCTTTGGCAACTCACCTTTACACGACGCGTGCATCAAGTCCAACCTGTTTGCTGTGCGCAAACTGGTGCTAATGTGCCCCGAGTTGGCCAAGCTTCCGGACAACGACATGTCCACACCACTTCATCTCTCGTGCAACTTGGTGGCTGGAACAATGGAGAGCCATCACGATGTGATAGAGACATTGTTGGCCGCGGGTGCCAACATCAATGCCAAAGACACTGGATCGGCCACGCCCCTACATGTCCTGTGTTGCAACGGTAGCAAGGGAGTGCCTTTGATCCAGTTCCTCCTGGACAATGGCGCCGATCCAACCTTGGAGAATGCCAGTGGCTGGACACCCCTGCATCATTGTTACAATCAAGACAATACTGAGGCGATTAGTATCATCAGAGAATGGTGCCAAAAGAAGTGTCCACAATTCCTCGACACGTTTGACGAGAAGAAACCAAGACAACAACGTGAGGAAGCCAAGGACGAGGTGACAGAGAGTGGCCAGGCACGTCTGGAGCGCGTTGCTCGCGATATAGCTGACGGCAAGATCAAGAATGTTGTATTCTTGTGTGGCGCCGGTGTGAGTGTGAGCGCAGGCATCCCCGCCTATCGCACTGAGGACGGCATCTACAAGCGAACCAAGCAGTTCCAGTTCACTTTGGACGCTGTGGTCAACACGCCCGAGACATTCTACGATGGTATCAGGGAGTATTTCTACCCTGTGATTGCTGGTGACATCAAGCCAACCCGCACCCATGACTTCATCTACTCGATGCACGAGCGTGGACTGTTGCTGCGCGACTTCACACAGAACATCGACCTGTTGGACGAGATGGCTGGCATCCCCGTCGACAAGATTGTTCATGCCCACGGTTCGTTGGCCAACTGGCTCTGCACGGGCTGTGCAAAGGAGGCCGAGGCCAGCGATGTGTGGCGCGAGGTGGGCCGCATGAGTCTGCCCTATTGCAAGCACAGACCGTGCCGCGAGATTCTTCGACCAGACGTTGTGTTCTTTGGTGAGGGTTTGCCAGCACGCTTCCATCAACGTGCCATCTCAGACCTTAGACAATGCGACCTGTTGATCGTGATGGGCTCATCGCTCACAGTGTACCCATTCGCTGGTCCTTTGCAATGATGTGTCGTCCAACACACCTAGGATACTGATCAACGCTGAAGCGACAGGTCCATTCAGAGGAGTTAACGATCTTGACCGCAAGAAGAGTGAGAACAACGACCTGGTAGTTGAAGCCCGTGGACCAAGAGACGTCGTCATCCTCGGACAATGTGATGATGGTGTGGAATATCTGTCAGACATCTTATTCAACAAGCAGCAGCAGTAGTGGTAGTAATCCAGTTTGAATGCATGGAGCCATGAGTTACTCACTCCTTGATCATCTAAGGACCCAATAAAGGGGAAGGATGCCCCTGGATTCAATGGTTGATCGGACAATGTATAAATTTAAATGACTTTTAGACCAATGTTGCAAAGGACAGGGTCTCGACTGACACCAATTGTTTACCCTCTCTTCATACTAGTACCTTCTAACGTTAATCGAATCTATTTATACATTGTGGATTCAATCAAAATCAATCAGTTGTAAGGTCCTCCACTCGAGTGGTGGTTTTGAAGTTGGACCCAACCGCGATATTTTCCTAACTAGTAACCCATCATTCTTTGCCCAACATCTGGTTTCACGAGGCGCCAAACAAAACCCGAAACGCTTCGAAACCGTCTCATCATTTATAGACTTTACAGTAATCATGTTAAGACATGTGAGGTGCAAGTGAACTTTACCGGACACATCGATTACTTAACCTTCCACAGAGGACATTCAATCACTTCAATCACTCATTCAATCAATTATACATATTTATACACCAAAGAATGAAGTTATCAATTCTTATTGTTTCTGTATTATTTATTACTGTCAACATTGTTGCCGGATATAGAATTGGTCAATCTGTTGACTATACTGGTTGGGACCTCTACTTTGCTGATGAGTTCAGTGGTACCTCCCTGAACACTAGTGTCTGGAGAGCTGAAAACCTGGCTTGGCCATACAGTGGTCAACTCGAGTACTACTCACCAGCCAACTGTCGTGTCACTGGAGGCAACCTTGAAATGACCGCCAAGAAGGAGATTGTTGGAGTAAGTATCTTAACCCCCTTCTCGCCCTAACGGAACCCAAACTAAGCCAACATTACCTCATTCTAGGGAAGAAACTACACCTCATGCCGTATCTCTACCGATACCAAGATGTTCAACTTGACCTATGGAAGGTTTGAGGCTCGCATGAAGCTTCCAGTTGGCAAGGGATTCTGGCCATCATTCTATATGTTTGATAAGCGTTCAGAGAAATGCAATGCAACCAATCCATCAGAGTATTGGGAGATTGATGTTATTGAGAACGTTGGATTCAATGACAATGACAACATCCATGGTTCATGGTGGTATGGACCTGCCACATGTCAAGATGCTGACCAGAAGATCGTCACCAGAACATCAACCATCTCCAACATTGACTCTGCTTTCCACATTTACAGTGTGGTATGGGATGTCGACTTCTTGATGATGTATGTAGTATAACTCTCAATCAATTAATCAATCAATCTATACCCAACTAACATGATCATATCTCAGCATGGTTGACAACATTCCATATTTGATTGCCAACAAGACCGCCAACATTCCATTCCCAAACAATGTACCAATGTACATGATCCTTGATTTGGCAATTGGTGGTGCATGGCCAGGTAGCCCAGACGCCACTACTATCTTCCCTTCAAAGATGATCGTTGACTATGTACGCATCTATAAGAAGAACCCTAACGTCCCAGTTCCTACTCCAACTCCCCAGCCATCACGTGCACCCTTGCCCACCTACGTTTACGGTCAGACTGTTGACTACACCGGATGGAAGTTGACCTTTAACGAGGACTTCAATGGTACTTCAATCAACAAATCTATCTGGACTGTTGAGAACCTCGCTTGGCCATATGGTGGAGAGCTCTCATACTACCAACCAGCCAACTGCCGTGTGACTGGTGGCAACCTTGTCATTGATACCAAGAGTCAGACTGTTGGCGACCGAGCTTACACATCATGCCGTATCACCACCAGGAACAAGTTGAACAATCTCAACTATGGCAGGTTCGAAGCAAGAATGAAGCTCCCATCTGGAAAGGGTCTGGTACCATTATTCCAACTGTTTGGTATTGAGGGATACCAAGACTGTCTCCAGCCATATTGTAGGTTGTTCAATTTGATCACTAATAGAGAGAACATAACTAACATAATTGAATGAGCAGATGAGTTCACTGTGATGCAGAACCAACCAGCTACCAATAATATTGATAGCCATTGGTACATGGGTTCCGATTGTAATGCTGTACATGGTGGAGAGGGTGCCAACACTGTGAACAACGTTGGTGGTTACCATCTCTATTCTATGGTCTGGGACTATAACTTTGTCATGTTGTAAGTATATCCATACCATCTTGATCATATCATTAGCTCACTAACTTATTCAACACTACTACACTTTAGCATGGTTGACAATGTTCCCTACTTGATCTCCAACAACAACCCAGGATGGACATTCCCCAATGATGCACCATCATTCATGGTACTCCAGACCTCTGTTGGAGGCAGAGCTGGTGCACCAGATGCCACCACCATCCTCCCAGCATCAACCTATGTTGACTGGGTCAGGATCTACCAGAGAGTCTAAGCAGTCCACACCAGACGCTCATTCACAATAAACGACTCGTTGTTTATTCATTTCATCTATATGTACATGTACTATTACTATAACTACTATTACTACAACTGCTACTACTTTCCAAGTATCACCTGCATGACCTTTGACCTCCTCAGTCTCTTGTAGTGCGAGGGGAAACGATGTTTGAGAAATAGGAGTGTGGACGGATCGTTCATGGCCTTGAGTGTCTTGATGTCCTGATGATCGATGGGTTCATCCGACGTGACGATACCATTGTCCAACAAGTACTCGGCCACTGATATTCGACACTTGAGTAGAACACTTCGGAATGTTCTCGAGCCAAAGCCCTCTGTCCTGTTGTTATGTAGAAACTCGACCACGCGTCTATGTCCATTGATCGCAGCTGCGTTCATTGCCACCTTTGTCGCGCCCTCCGTTCGATTTAGATGTAGGAATGACACAACCTCGAGATGTCCCTCCACACTAGCCATGTTCATTGCATTCGTTGTACATCCCTCTGTTCTATTATAGTGAAGGAACTTGACAATTTCGACGTATCCATTGAGTCTGGTTCATGTATGATCGTTAGTTAGTATGAGTGTGGGACGATCAATCAATCAATCGACTTACGAAGCATTGTCCATGGCATATGTACCACATCCTTCGGTTCTGTTGTAGTGAAGGAACTTGACGACGTCGAGATGACCGTGGGAAGCAGCCAGATTGAGTCCCATGACAGAGGTGCCCTCGGTTCGGTTCTTGTGAAGATATTCGACAACGTCCAGGTGTCCGTTGGAGGCTGCCATTGTCATTGCCATGATGCTGCAGCCTTCTGTTCTGTTGTTACAAAGATATATTACATTTGGTAGGTTACCAGCCGATGCGGCATGGTTGAGTTCGGAGAAGGTGAAGGGAGCGCGGGAATGCTTCGACATAAACTCCATCAGTGACACTGTTCCTCTCGCAGCAATGTGTGCCAGGACGATGGAGTTGTAGGGCTCCGTGCGATTGAGTGCCAGGAAGCGAATGACATCCTCATGATTGTTCTGTGCGGCCAGCTCCATCGCACGGTACACATAAGAGTACTGCGGCATGGTGTTGAACTGCTTGACATAGTCCAGTCGGCCCTGGGCTGCGGCGTCGTCGATGAACGCGTGTGTGGAGAAACAGACACAGCGTCGGGGGATCAAAAAGTCCACGACGTGCCATTGGCCCGCCTTTGTTGCCGTCACAAGCGAGGTGCACGTGCATTGATTGGCGTCGTCCTCAAGTATGAGCTCGAGCACGCCCACGTGACCACTGCCCGAGGCGATCTGCATCAGGTCCTGCTTGAGCAGGGTGAACACCTTGGGCTTGAGAGTCATGAGTAGACGCAGGGCCTCGACGTGGCCGCCCTTTACAGTGGCCACAAACTCTTGATAGTAGAAGTCGACCATGTTCTTCTGACATCGCTTGAGGAGGTAGGTCATGACGTCGACCTGGCCCGCCGTGCATGCGTTGAGGAACGTCTGCTTGGTGTAGCGCTCGCGTCGCCGCTCGTGGAACAGACGCACCACCCCCAGGTTGCCAGAGAGCGCCGCCGCGTCCTTGGCCTCGAACGTCCATTTGCCAATGTTGTGCTTGTGAAGATACTCGAGCAAGTCGAGATGTCCGTTGGTGGCGGCCTTGCGTACCGCCTTTGACGAGCAGCGCAGCGAATGATTGCGCTCCTTGAGCATCTGTCGAAAGTAGATCAAGAAGTGTAGACGTCCACTCGCACACAGGTAGTCAAAGGTGTCAGGTGTGTCGGCCAGGATGTTGAAGTAGCGCTGTGCCACCGTGACAAACAGCTGGAAGCAGCCACTGCGCTTGCAGAGATGTTTGACGGCGCGTCTGTTGAATGAGAGTGGACGGTTGTTGCTCAACTTGTCGGCCAACAGTGCAAAGTGGCCGTTGACACACATCCACGCCACGCAATCAATGTCGTCGTAGCGATATGACGTGGCTTTGTAGTTGGCATACTGCTTCTTGCCCCTTATCAACAGGCTTGAGAATATCATCTTTCTCAAATAGTCCGATCGCATCACTGTGAAGAATGGTTGATCTATTGCTGTTGTCGTCGTCGTCATCATCATCGTCGTCGTCGTTATCGTCGTCATTGTTGATGATGATGATTGATCTGGACATGTCAATGTCGCCAGCGACACACTTGGTTCAATTTCAATTGACATTGACGACATGTCGTCTTGATCGTAATATTGGGTCCTTGTGGGCTGCTGGCTAGTTGTCTGTATTTAACAATGACTACTGAAATTGATTGATTGATTGATTGATTGAATGAATGAATGATTATTAGTGTCCACTAATATAGATGCCTAGGCTTTGTTGTAATTGTGTAATTGTGTGATTGTGTTGTGTTGAATGAGTGAATAGAATTCAAGAGAAGTGAAGTGAGTGGATGGTCCACCAAAGTCACACTCACACACCAAACCTTCCATCAGTCTTCACACACTACCTCGCTGCTCATTTGACGAAGATGTGAGGTAGTGTTGATTTTGGACAACACCATCTGGAAATATGGCTCCAATGATAATATTGCTATTGTCCATTTGGGATCTGTTTATTGGGATTACGATCCCGCCATTCATGAATGCGAACATTGCGCTCCTCAATCAAGAGCTTCTGTAACAAACTGATCAGTTTGGATCGACGTACGAAGCCTGCGTTGAGTTTGTAGGTACGAGAGGATGAGTGGAAAATAAGGGACCAATCATTGTCCACCTTATATATCCTTTGTTCATCGAGGAAGTGCACAAATCTTGCATGTTGATGAAGTGTGTCAGCGATGTGATGAGCTCGTGACTCCCAGTCGTCCAGTAGATTGTCGCCATAGGACATTATATTGATTGAGTTCACGTGCATGTTAGTAGGCAGCGCATGTTGGTAAAGGTCCATCATCATGACGTCTGGATTGTTGGAAGTGGCTGCTGGTATTCATCGTCTAGCAATTGTCAAACCCACGCCACGAAATGATGGAATGGTTCCAAGTGAAGAATATTAATATCAAATTCCCATTAAACTGATTTGATTATTGTAACCGTCATTCAAGTGTTTGTATAACCAACTGAACAGTTTGGACCGATGGATAAAGCCGGCGTTGAACTTGTGGTCACCGGCAAGGAGCCTGAGCGCTAGCGTCCACTCACTGTCCACCTGATATATCGATCGTTCATCATTGAAGTGTACTGATCTCGCATGTTGAAGTGTGTCTACAATGAAAGTCACTTGTGGCTCAAAGTCGAAAACAACATTTTCCCAGGTGGAGTAGCTGGGCAGAATGTGGATTGAGCCAACGCGCATCCCAACTGGAAGCTCAAGCTGGTATCTGTCCGTGATGGTCAGTTGAAGTGAATCGTTCTTCATAGCTGGAAGTGGTTGCTGGTAATGTTCGTCCAGCATCAGCACTTTGAGATTGGCCACCAGTTGGACATCGCTCAGACATTCAACCAATGATTGATTGAAAGAGTATCCAAACTCGAGATGAGTGACCGAGCTGGGGATGGTATGTTTGGCCAACGGTTGATTAAATGCACAGTATAGATCGATGTGTGTGACAGAGCTCGGGATTGAATCTTTGACCAACGGCTGATCAAAGGACATGGCCAGTTTGAGGTGTGTGACAGAGTTGGGGATGACTCCAGGATTGATCGGCAAATTGCTTGCAAACTCCAGCTTGGTAACACTGCTAGGTATGTCACCGTGCTCCAGCTCGTGTGCCATGCCATCCGGCAGACTAAGATGCAGCACACATCTTGGTATCCTTGATAGATCCAATTCATTGAGATGCCAATATGGTGAACTGTAGTGACAGTAGTTGTACAGAGTAAGCTGGGTCAGAGATGCAGGAAGTATGCCGGGCGGTGGCAATGATCTAAGTTGGTTGTGGATGACAAGTGACTGCAGATTGGAAGGAGGGTCACCAAGCCAAATGGAAGAATGACGGGACTCATGGAAGGTGGATCCATCAGGTGTGAAAACCCATCTTGACCTTTCGCAGACCAGTTCAAGGTGCAGCAGAGTCGGTGGAAGCACGTCCACGGGAAGAGGACCCATGATGGAGAGGTACGACTTGGTGAGAGATCTTGGCAGCACACCGGACCATTGCTGCATGACACAAGTACTTTGGATAACGAGGTCAGTGACTGAGTCGGGGATGCATCCCGGTACCAAAGGATGTTTGATGTTATTCAGGTGTAGTGTAGTGACTGATGGTGGGATGACGCCAGGTGCTATGGGGTGCTGGTATGATAGGGGTAGGTATAGGCTGGTCAGCGCTGGCGGGAGTTGACCCACGCCAATGGGATGTTCGGGTTTGAAGTCGAAGTCGATGTCTGTGAGCGTCGCTGGCAGAGAGCACTCTGAGAGGGTTCTTTTGAAGCTTCTGGACATTCTGAGATAGGTGAGTCCAGCGGGCAGGATGCCATCTGACAGATGTTGATTATAATCATTGCCCATTATTACGATGCTGACAGACTGAGGGATGGCACCTGGCTCAATGGCGTTATCAAAGTGGTCACCAAAGACCAACAATGAGGTTGTCTCGGGAACTACTCCTCGTTTGAGAGCATCTTGGCCATCCCACTTGAACAAGTCAGTTGATGTCACTGTGAGAGTGAGGGAGTGAGAGAGCAGCATGATGTTGGCGGTGGTGATGTGTCAGTAGCACTGATGATGAATCTTGATGATGATGATGTTTGATGCTGTTGGCTACACACCAATTACATAACATACATACATTGTATTCCAAAGTACTGGGTCGTGAGTGAACGAGTTAATACATCTTTGTATGAGACCAGATGGAAATGGTCTGACAAAAAGGTAGGCGCAACAGAGGTGAAGTAACTGGCACTGTTCAGCAAGAGGTAACTGTCTCGCTCACGATATAATCGCTTGCATGACATGCTGAGAAAGATACCAGTGTGCAACTTCACTTCTTCATCAACATATCCAATGACCTTCTTGAGCAAGAGAACAGGTAACTTGTCCATTCTATTTCATTCGTTCGTTCACAACTTGGTTGTATCTTGAATATCTGTATCTGAAGCTGTATTTTACAAATCATTCAAAGGTCGCATGATTGATTGAATGATTCCCGACAATTTAGTAAGTATGTTGATCGATCCCTCATGTTGAGGTGTGTCCACGATGTGTGATCGGGAGTCACGGCTAAGTCGACAAGCTAACTCTTCCAAGTAAGAACCCGTTAACAATGTCATATTGATAGAATGAACAATGAAGTTAAAGTCGTCCTATTCATTATATCAATATGACATATGTATCGGGTTCTTAATGAGTAACGGAGGTTGTCAACTACTCTACGTTGGAATCCATCTTCCACTCTTTGAAGTCCTTATCCCAAAGTCAATCATTGAAATATTAGTCATCATATTGTTGTTGTTACTGTTGTTGATTGATGTAACTTTGATGTTGACAAAGGTGCTGTGTTCCAATACGATCAATCAATCAATCATATAAACAAAACAAATAATTATGTATATATATATATCTCCATATTCCTATGCCTATTCTATTTGTGTATCTTTTAATGAATGGTCCGATGAAGATTCACAACATCATCAAAAACAACAACAATAACTTCATCATCAACACTAGAAGAGGTTATAATTATGATGCCTATAGTATCTCTTTTAATCACAACATTAGACACTGCCAGCTGAGAGGGTCCTACTTTGCCAAGGTGGGGTCAGTAGCCTCCTGCATCCTCGTGAAATTTCTGGAGAGGTATCATTGTGTCAATGATCGCGTGGACACTCGGCATTAGTTTTGCTCTTTGATCACTTTTCATGTCCAGTAGGAAACTTACCCTGAAAACTTCGCTGTGAGGAGCTTTTTGACTTTGTTGATCTGTATTTCTCTCTCTCTTTTTGCGAAAGGAAACACCAAGGGCATGCACCTTTGCACTCTTGTCTTTGATTTCTCACACCCTACCTCCGGGGCCTAACACCAACATCAATACCTACTCTGATCTTTTCTAACTCCTTCATTCTAAACAAATAACTTACTTACTTATATATATACATATATAACTTGGATATCATTTTTGAAGTTGTGATCACAACTTCTTCACTGACCTTCCATCTAAACAATCACTCACACGCTCACACACTGATCAAAACAGGAGTCTTTGCATCACACCCCCCCCCACGATCACAATCGCTCACTCATTCACTCCTCAGTCACCATCACTCACTCCCTCGCACACTTTCAAATCTTACCTCATAGCAAACAACAAATAAGGCTCCAACCAACTATTCAAGTTCCGATCCTTATTCCATCTTCATCAACTACCTAAACGCACGCACACATACAGATAGACAACAACATCCACATATAGATAGACAGACAGATAAAACATGTTGTCAAACACACCAACAGACGATGGCGAGATCGACCTGGAAGTCAGAGGTAAGGGCGATCGCATGCCCTTGCTGAGGCGCAACAGCCAGGATGAACCAGTAGGCGACACACCATATTACAGCGGCCCCAAGCCTCAGATCGATGTGCAGCGCCGTCTGACAATGACCGAGAAGATATCCTATGGTCTGGGCGAGGGTGGTCTGTCCATCTACCAGGTGATTAAGGGATTCTTCCTCAACACCTTCTTGCTCAGCGTTGCCAAGCTCAACCCGCTCTACTCTGCGCTTATCCTTTTCACAACGAAAGCCGTCGATGCTTTCTCTGACATCTTTGTCGGATCCCTCAGTGACCGTACCGTGTCACGTTTTGGACGTCGTAGAGTCTGGATTCTCGGTGGCATGTTCCCTCTGGCTATCCTCTATACTGCTCTATGGTATGTTGTCAGCTGACAGGTTGCAGTCCACGGCCGGTCGACCAATCTTGCTAACATCATGTGTCCAATCCATATCCTCCAGGTACGTCCCACCAGTGTCTGAAGTGGCCAAGGTCGTATATTACCAAATCATTGTAATTCTGCTGAGTATTGCCTACACATGTGTGGCCATTCCTTACTCTGCCATGAATGCAGAGATCACAAGTGACTATGATGAAAGGACTTCCCTGGCAGGCGTATGTCTACACTCTTTCTTTTTGATTGGCAGTCACGTGATTCATCATCGGTCACGTGATCAATCATGTGATAAGTCTTCTAACGTATCCATCCGCATCCAATCTAACAGTATAGAATGATATCTATGATGCTTGGAGGTGTGGTGTCATCTTTCGTACATTCGATACTCATCAATACATTCACAGAGACAATCGATGGTGTCAAGGTCACAGACTATGAAGCCGGTTATCTACTCAGTGGTGGTGTTTGGGGATCAATCATGCTGATCCCACTGTTCATCACATTCTGGGGCACCAGGAACATCAAGACTGCAGCACTCTCCGACTCCCACGTCCCATTCTTCCAAGGACTCATGGTGATGTTCAAGAACAGAGCATTCATCACTGTCACATTGCTTTATTTCTTCTGCCAGGTATGTGTTTGCACCATTCTCATCCATTGTCTTGTCCATGACTAACTCGCCCATCCATCCATCAATCCACACATGCACACACAGATTGCCGTTCAATTTGTCCAGAACAACTTGTTGATGTACTGTACCTATGTGGCTAATGCCGAGAAGGACTTCCCATATATCTTGGCCACACTTCAGATATCGGTCAGCATCTTCATCGTCTTTTGGAGCAAGATGTGCCAACTTCTTGGCAAGAAGACAGTGTATTATATCGGTGCAGTGTTCCTGCTGGTGGCATTTGCCAGTCTATACTTTGTGCCAGCCAACAACAAGGCACTTGTCTGGGGTATTGCTGCATTCAGTGGCGTAAGTATAGTATACCTCAGCCCGGTCCATACAGTCACGTGACCAGTCATACTCACTCATACTCACTCATACTTTAGATTGGTGTATCTGTTGCCTTCCTGGTACCAATGTCTATGTTGCCAGATGTGATCGAGCTCGATGAACTGAAAACTGGAGAGAGACGTGAGGGTCTGTTCTGCTCGCTGTTCCTCTTCTTCCAGAAGCTCGGTCTGTCGGTCGGTCTGGCCGTGTCCAACTTTGTGCTCAGTGCAGCTGGCTACACGGCACCAGCCAGCGTCGATGGCGACAGCAATGAGATCATCGACAACAACAAGGAGAACGCAAGCGTTGTCTTTGCCCTGCGTATGCTGGTCAGTGTTGTTCCAACAGTCATTGTATTATTTAGCTTTGTCGCTGTCTTCTTCTATCCGATCACCAAGGAGTCACACAACCAAACCAGAGAGTTACTACGCAGGAAGAAGGAAGGTGCAACTGTCATCGTCGAGAATTAATCAATTAATATCTCGTTCCAACTCATCAATCAATCATTCAACCAAACCAAGGTATCAATCATTCAATCAACTTTCCAACCCAACATAACAATCAATCACCACTTCCTCCACTTCCACCTCTTACTCCAACCTTTGCTTGGTGTTGCACCGCCTCACTCTCCCTCCTCGCTAACTCTCATTCCATCCAAATATATATAAGAAGGGAATCTGACTAAGATTACCTTTGTTCGAATAAACTATTATATATATATATAATATAATATATATTAAACGATTAATTATACAATGTTTCGTCAATTCCCCGACAAAGACGTGTGAAAGGTCAAGCAAGGCTTGAATGATGAGGCAAACATTAGTTATCATCATTCATTAATTCATTCAATCAAACAACATATATATACTTAAGATATGCCTCCAAAGAAGTTAGCTACCCAGGTCAAAGTAACAACTGGTGCTCCACATCCACCAACCCAGGTCCAAGTAACAACTGTGGCTCCCCTGCCACCAGCTACATCGTCAACTATCACAAACATGATGACCAATTATAATACAAACCAAACTGGTATATGTACATTCTGTTTGGAAGAGATTGTTCAGACCAAATGGATAAATCATGTATCAATATGTTTGAACAATGCCAAGGACCTCTATCCTATTGTTGTTGTTGGAGGTATGTGTATACATTCAACTCAATCAATCAACTAATGACCTAACATTACATGTCAGATGAGGTACCATCACCTGCTTCCAAGGTGTTCAAGGACAGATTCTTACTCAAACAGATACTTAAACATGTTCCAATATATACTATGTTTCCCAATACTATTCTGAATAGCAATAATGCATCATGGAGACAAGGTACACTGTTGCTGACTGCTAGTCGCCAATCTCAAGTATCATACTGTTGGAGCTCAAGGAGGGTCAGAAATCTATCGAATGGATTCATCGCAAAGTTTGGCATAAGGATGGGGAAGCCTCGGACTACAGAGGAGGCACTGGGTGATGGCATGGCCTTTGTTATCCAGAATCACAGTCAACAAATAGCTCAGTCTCGTCTAATTGGTGGCAACTCTCTCGGCTATTCAAACATACCCAATAGCTTGGCCATTGAGTTTGATATCTATGCCAACGACAATTGTCAAGATCCCAATGACAATCACATTTCAGTACATACCAATGGACAGGGTAACAACTCATCGGAACATAGATATTCGATTGGCGTAGGCACGCCAACATGTCAGATGAATGACTACCAGTTGCATCATGTGATCGTCACCTACAATCCACATGTTCCAGACAAGCAGATGACCATTAGCTTTGACGGTGTCAACATTGTCCAGTGCTCAATTGTCCTCCACACTCGTCTAAAACTACACAATGATGATGAGGCATACGTTGGATTCACTGCTGCCACTGGCCTGTATCATCAAGAACACATCGTAGAGTACTTTGAGATGCATAGACTCATCAAATCATACTATTAGTGTAATGAATGAATGGAAGACGACTCGACGAATGTATTCAACTGAACTTCATTTGCATTGCTTTGCGTGTTTGAGTGATGTGCATGTTGTTGGATGCTACTGTTACTGCTGTTACTGCTGTTGCTATTGCTGTTGCTGTATTCGCGCGCATTGATTGGATTGATTGATTGATGTGTTATCTTGGTGGTGATTGAGTGGATTGCGTGAGCGATGTCTTGACATCATAGTCGTCTGTGCGGCGTTCCTCTGAGGACGCCCATTGAATCGTTTGCGACTCGGTCAGATATGGTGCTGAAGAATCTTGCTGCGCGACGCCATTGCTGTTGCCATCGAGCTTGATCTTCTTCTCGGTGGGCTCGTTGACGCCACTCTCTGTTTGCAGGACGGGCAGACCACCGATTGGGATTGTGCCGCTGCCGCCACTGCCACTTCCTGGTGTGCTTCCTACTGGTGCTCCTGTGCTACTTACGTCACCATCGTAGTACCTGTCGCGCTCCTGTGATCTGGATCTTGATCTCTTGTAGCCAACGTCGCCAACGCGTGGTTGATCTGGATAGCCGCCAGTACCAACGCCGACACCACCGCCTCTACTGTCTCTAAAGTCGCCACCTCGCTCGCGATAGAACTCGTCTCCACCACCGCTGCCGCCGCCGCCTCCTCTGTAGTCTCCTCTGTAATCTCCTCTTCTGCCTCCTCTGTCGTCCTCGCGGTAATAATCAAAGTCTCCTCTGCGATCCCTGTATTCTCTGTCTCTGTAGTCCCTGTCCCTGTAGTCGCGTCTTTCTCTGAATTCGCCTCCACCGCCTCGTCTGTCTCTAAACTCCCTGTCTCTGCCGCCACCGCCATAGTCTCCGCGGCCATAGTCGCCACGGCCGCCGCCACCGCCACCTCCAGAGAAGTCCTTTCTCCTCGATGGGCTTGGACTGCGGCTCTTCCTATCTCCAAACAACTTGACGTATAGTGGCTTGGATGGGTTGTGTAGATGCATAAAGTTGCAGAAGCCACCTCTGTCGCATGTGCCCAAGTCAAACTGTCGACATCTAGATTCGTTAAAGTCGGTCACAGGTGAGAACTCTGCCACGATTGGACGGCCTGTATCAAGATTGATTGATTGATTGTGTGTTAGTATCCAACATTCCAACATCCAACGCACTCACTACACGCGCACTGACAACATACCATCATAGTATCTTCCTCTCAAGCCTTCACATGCAGCTGCAGCGGATTCCTCGGTGGAGAACCTAACATATACATTGCCAATGAGATGGTCGCCAAGGTTGGCAGTGACGTAGAGGAGCTCAACCGTGCCGTACTTGGCAAGGCCCTCGTGAATGTCCTCATAAAAGTCGTCAAAGTGCTTCTGGATCTCCTCCTCGGTGGCCTGGATTGGGGGCAGGTTTGCCGGTCTCTTCAAGTAAGGGCTCTGATAGAGGTTGGGCAGGATGATCGTCTGGCTTGCCAATGGCTTGTTGTGCAGTCTCGAGCATCTGTCTCCATGTCTACATGCTCCAATCTTCAAGTAGAATGGGCAGTTCTGCCTTTAAGTATGAGAGAGAGTTATAGTGATTGATTAGAAGGTTGTTTCAAAGTTAATATCCAATGTATAATCGTAGTGTTACGCATGATATGATCATTGTAGTGTTGTTGATTTGGATGTCACGTCGACGCGTGAAGATAACAAGTTATAACTTCTGCTGCTGCTGCTGTGCTAGATATGTTGTGCTGTTCTGTGCTATGCTGTAGTTGAGCTGCGCTCTTATAATATGCTGTCCTGTCGACGCTAGATATATATGTTTGTATGTATGTACCTGCTCCTGCTGCTGTATGTAGCTAGAGCTAGAGGTGGAGTGGCGATGATGGTGAGGGAGCAGCAGAGAGAGAGAGAGAGAGAGAGAGAGGAGAGACAGTTCAAATACTACAATCACACACATATATTAAGATGTTTAATAATAAAGAAGATCTCACAACAAGTAAGTGCTAAATGCTAAAATGCTAAATGCTAAATGCTATATGCTACATGCTAAATGCTAAAGCTACAGCTACAGCTAGAAAGAGAAAGAGGACAGACAATATTAAGAGATACATATTGTTTGTTTGTTTGTTTGTTTGTTTGTGTGATGATGAATGGTGATTGATTGTTTGCTTGTTTGTTTGTTTGATTGATTGATTGATCGACGCAATAGTAGACATTGTTTGTTAGGTTTATCCAATAACTTACTGATCCTTCTCTGTTCCAAAGATTGCAGCTCTTCGTTCGGCCATCAATAACTATATATATATTTTATAAGGTACAAGAATACTGACTTTGTATATTTATAATGTATATATATATGTATTCGTATATAAATAAAGTAAAGAGTAATAAACAATAAATGAATGAATGAATGAACTTTTGACAAACAAAATGCTTTGTTGTGAACAATGCTGAGTGGTCGAGGTGCCAAAAATAATTGGTTGAGGATACGAAGTGGAGGTAACACAGAAGTGTCCAATCAAAAACAGAGTTAGAAAATAAAAGTATTATATAACTAAGTCTTTTCAAATATATAATAAGAGATTATAATTGAAATAGTATAAATAAATCAACTATAAATAATAATATTAATAATAATAACAATGAAATAAAAGAAATACTAATTTAATTAACAAAAAATCAAATCGGTCGCTTTTTTTGTTGATGACCTAAGCACAACTACCCCACACGACAAACAATCATTATTCATTCAGTGTCAGTGTAACAGTAACACATCATTCATAGTCATACCAGTCAACAACTCGACATTACACGACACGACATCAGACAGACAGACAGACACCATCACTGGATGATTTGATCATTTCACCAAAAGTGTACACTTTACCTTATACTCAAAACATACATAATACATAATGCCGACAACGACGCCACCTCAACGGCAGCAGCAGCATCAGCATCAGCAGCAGGATACGACCACAGCAGCAGCAACAGATTTAACACTTGATCAACAACAGATACCTCATCAACATAATGTATATGAAGAGTCTACAATGCATATATCATGGGATCATTTGGATCAACGCAAATATTATACATACAACCTATTGTTTGCAGGCGCAATCGACTCGATGATGTATCCAATGGATCTGCTTCGAACGCGTCTGCAGGTCCAGGGCTCGTCAGTGGTCAACCAGACCTATCCACACTATTCCAGCACTTGGAATGGCTTTAAAAGCATCTTTCGACACGAGGGCTTTCGAGGCTACTACAAAGGCTTCCTGGCCTCGGAGAGTGGATATCTCTCAGCCAAGCTCATCTACTATGGCTTCTACGAACAGATGAAACAGTATCTCAATCACAACGACTTTGGATCTTACTCACGTACGTTTAACTTAAAATCACGTGACATCAGATTGATCACGTGATCGGATTTCGAATGTCACGTGATCACCGTATCCTGTGATCGGTCGTCCAAGTTACCAACACCTCGATCTATCTGTCACTCCAATCCTTTAGCATTCATCGCAGGTGGACTTGCCGAATTGTCTGCCTCGGCACTGACCGTGCCATTCGAAGTGATGACGCAAAAGTGCCAGATCCAGGGCCACATGGGAGCGACCCTAAAGGCCAGAGAGATCTTTCGAAATACATACCAAGAGGCAGGCATCCGAGGAATATACAGAGGCTTTGGAATCACAGTCCTCAAGAACGTGCCGTACTCGGCATGCTGGTGGGGCAGCTACGAGCTCACCAAGCATTATCTGTTGCAGTTGGACATTCGCCAACACCTGGGGTTGAAACCGCGACAGAAGCAGTTCCTGCTGCTGGAGAAGGGCGACACACTGCAGCTCGAGAATGAAGACGCACTTGTACACACGATAGCCGCACTGGTGGCAGCCGTCATCAGCACGACGGCCGCCAACCCACTGGACGTCATCAAGACACGACTGCAAACTACAACAATTTACAACTTTGACAGCGCTGGCATTGGACTTTCATCGGGAGGTCGTGCAGGCGAGGCAATGGCCACAAGCACATGGCAGACACTGTTGAACAAGTCACACTTTTTGCGAGTAGGCAGAGATACCATCACCAAGGAAGGCTGGCGAGCACTCTGGAAAGGACTGGTACCATCATTGCTAGTTGCTGCGCCCTACTCTATCATCTCGCTCGTAGCATATGAGCAGGCAAAAAAGCTATCACTTAAAACATAAACACGCTGTATGTTGTTGTGTATGTGTGTGTGTCCAAAAAAGGGAAAGACGACAAGTCGTTTGTGATAGAATGTGTAGAGTGTGTGGGGTTGGCTCATACATCATTCGTGAGAAGGATCATCAATCAATTAACATAGTGACCCATAATGAAACTATGAGTAACGACAATGATGACTATGACCTGTACTCAGACTTGACAGTGGCGGCCAAGTCTCACGAAGACGATTCGATTGATGAAGACGACGATGCTGATCATCACGACAAAGAGTTGCAAACACTCAAAGACAAGATATCCGCTCTAGAACAGTCCAACAAGAAGATACAACAAGACAACATCGATGCCAATCAACAGATCAGTGCACTAAAGACACAAGTATGATTGATCTCGATTGATTGATACTCGCGAGATGGAACTAACTCATACGACACAAACACAGGTCCAACAGACTACGAGTCAGAATGAGAACCTTCAGAAGATCAATGAGATATTGATGAAGAACATATCATCGTTGTTCAAGACTGCTTTGGTGGAGATGCAGCGCAAAGACAAGGACATTGAGTCTCTGAGGGAGCAAGTAAACAACGCGCCAAAGAGGACTTATCGATGACCTCTTCCATCATGTACATTAGCCTCAATAAAGTTCTGAACACTTGTAAGATAGATAGATTGTTGTGTATGAATGTATGTATTGATTGTGTTGGGTTGTTGGTACACTGCCGAATGCTGTTAGCATCAGCCGTCTCGTTCGGTCTGTCTTATAATGTGTCCTTCTCGCTGCTGTAGAAGAAACCATTGTCGACCAACTCCTTGACACTGCTCTCAACGACGATCACAGACTTGAAGCCCTGCTTGGTGAACTCGAGTGCAGCCTCACATGCAGCGGGGTAACCCTTCTCCTTGGGTCCCATCAACAGCACCATCGACGACTTGTCCAGAGCCTTCAGGGTCTCGGCAGAGAAGCCCTGCGCGGAGGGGAAGTTAACGCTGCCCATAACAGCCTCTTGCTGGAACTGCTCGGCGGGACGCACGTCGATCAGATAGTAGTTGAAGCCCATCTCTGTGACACGCTGCATACCCTCTGTTGCCAGACGTGGGATGTGAGCGTACTGTGGGAACGATGGTGACTTCTGCTTGTTTGGGCGACGACCTCTCTGTGGAGATGGTCTAGCTGGTGGTGCTGCTGTGTATGATGCTCCCAAGTTATTCGTCTGTGGTGCAGCTGTTGACATCCATCTGCTGTTATTGCACAGTGTTGATGATGACAACAATGATCTTGTGATAAGCTGTCTTGTCGAGTTACCAACCTGTTGTTGTCAATGATGATGTAGTTGAAAGAGTAAGTGAGTGAGTGAGTGATTGATTGCCAGTGTGCTATGCTCTCTGTTCGCAACGTGTGATGGTCCATCAATCAATCGATCTCTAAGTCGCAGTTTAATTATCGCTATTGATAGACAGTTTGTGGCGTTTCGTTCAATGTAGTCGACTTTAAACAACACCTTCATTCATTCTTGTCGGGTCCGACTGATTGCCCATCAATGATTGATTGAGACACATACGAGTGTGAGTGATCTTCCCAACATCCTGAATCTTGTATATATATGTGTATTAAATGAATTAACTTGAGTGATGGCTATTGATTGATTGACTTAGAGATTCCTTCGCGAGGCGAGGATTGTGTGTGAAGGGAGCTCAAACACACTAGAATGAACATCTTTCAAAAAAAAGTAGCTCATTCGTCTAATTCATTCTCAATCCTACACATATAAACATACATTATACCTACCTCGAATGAACTTGAAGTATATCTCAATCGAATATTATTATAGAGATAGATAGATAGATAGAGATAGAGAGACTCATACATAAAGATAAATATATATAATAATTTATAACGAACGATCGAACTAACGAACGAACGAACGAGGAAAGGAAGGATGGATACATTAACATCACTTCGGCAAAAGGTGTTGCTGTCAAAGAAGAAGAAGGAAGAGGAGAAGGAGGATGGAGAGATTGGTGGTCATGACTTTACAATGATATCATCTACCTCTTCAATATCCCCTTTGGCTCCATCTCCAGGTACACATTCACCCATACTATCAATGAGTAGGGATAGAGGTGCAGGCAACAATAGACAATATAGATTCGACTATGTATGTGTACAACATTATCACCATTGATTGATTGGTTGAACTGACTTGAGTCTAATATTCACATTACTTAAGGATGACTATGAGAGGAACTCACCGGTCGACATGGACTTGACGAGTCATAATGAGATCAATGATGATATGTATAGACAGGCAGCATTGTACGAGGGTCAGAATGGTGCATATAGACAACAAATACAACAACAACAACAGTTCGGTCACTTTATTACACAGCCACAACAGTTCTACATTCCTTCACAATACAACATCAACAATGATAGTATGATGACAACTCAACAACAACAACTAACTCCACCACTTCTGTCTGGCCTCTATCTTGGTAACATCAATGTCAATGGTAGCAATGGTGGCATAGGCATTGGTGGTGGCATAGGCATTGACAATGTGAACATGGCCCCATCACCTCCAATCGACATGCAACAACAACAGTTGCAGTATCAATATCAAATGCTTCAAAGACTCAAACAACAACAACAGCAACAGCAACAACAACATCAACAGCAACAACATCAACAACAACAACTTTATCAACCTTCAGTCGCGCCTGTCACTCAGAAAGTAAAGGGCAAGAAGGAGAAGAAAGAAAAGAAGGATAAGAAGAAACAACATCAACACAATCTTCATCTGCAGCAACAACAGCAGCAGCAACAGCAACTCATACTTCAGCAACAGGAGCAACAACAGCAACAGCAACAGAAGCAGCAGCAACAACAGCAACTCCTTATTCAGAGACAACAACAACAACTCATACTTCAGCAGCAACAACAACAACAACAGCAGCAACAGCAACAGCCACCACAAAAGACAATCATCAGTACAAACAATAATAGTAATATGTTACAACAGATGATTATACATCCGTTTGACGAGAGTGACTCGGATAGGGAGGAGTCTGGCATCAACTCGTACGAGTTCTCTACTGACGACATTGTAGACTCGTTGGCCAATGCCAAGAAGAAGGAGTTCCACAGCACTGAGATGGAGGACCTAAAGAAGCAGATTGCCGCACGCGAGGAAGCACTACTACGCAAGAAGCTGGAGGAGCGACGTATCAAGTCTGTGCCATCGCCATTCATGATCAACACGGCTGCCCCTGGTCAGACCATGCCACCGACGCCGCAGTCCCTGCTCGATCAGGAGCAGGAACAGGAGCAAGAGCAAGAGCAGGAACAAGAGCAACAAGACGTGGCTCAGACGGACACTATGAGCACGACGACACCCACTACAACGACGACGACGACCAAGATGACACAAGATACCCAGATTCAACTGGACATGAGTGAGCTCGAGCTCACCAAGAACGAGATGAGACAAATGACATCGGACATTGTCAAGACAAACAGGTTGCTGATGGAGAGTGAGAGTGATATACTGCGCATCGAGCTGGAGATGACATCGACGGACTGCAAGAAGAAGGAGTTGGAGCTCAAGATCAACGAGATGAAGCTGCGCATCAACATGTTCCAGACCGAGCTGGAACAGGTCACCAAGCAGAACAAAGAGCAGACGAGCAAGCTGAATCAGTTGCGATCAAAGAGTGAGGTGCTCCAGACGAGCTACATGGACAAGGTCAACATGATCAATCAGAAGAAGCGCAAGTTTGATGAGGTCCGCTCCACCTTTGCCATTGACCCTCTGCAACTCTCCATCCTGGACACCGTGTCCAACACCGTCATGTTAACCCCAGAGAACCGTAAGATCATCGAACAGGGCACACCAGCCGCGGTGAGCAATCATACATCATCGGATGGTCCAATCACCAACAACATTGAAGGACCACCTTTGATAACAAACAAGAAGGCGTCAGAACAGTCCACACCACTTGCTCAGAATGGCAAGCAGCAGCAGCAGCCGACTACAGATATGTCGGAGGAGTCCAAAGACCCAATGAACATTGAAAGTGAACAACAGGCCCCAGCCAAGCGTGTGGCACAGGCTCCCCGAGAAGACAACTCAGACAAGCCAACGCGGACACCCGTTGTCGGCACCGCCGCCACCACTACGACCACAACAACAACAACTACAGCATCTCGACCAAAGAAGGACAGCAATGGAGCACAGCTATTCAATATTGAGACAATGTTTAGCTCGGGTAGTACTGCCAACGATCGAAAGCCACAGGAGAAGGTGGCCCATATATATACCGTGGCGACACAACCAGCCAAGCCAAAGATCAATGTGTTGCCAATCATCCTTCAGGGCAGGGATCTGGACTACTTTGTCAAGACCATCCTGGAGGAAGGACGAATGGTCGACAAGAACGGTGTCATAGTGTCATCATCGTGGTTAAGGGCTGACAACTCAGCACTTGAGTTGGAGCAGACCATGTACAACTCTGTGTTGAGAGATAACTTTGCCGACAGGTGGGAGCAAGCGCATGAGTCTGACCTGGCCATGCGACTCGAGTCGTTGGCGGAGCCATTCCAACGCATCCCACCTGGCAAGTACGTATCGTCCCTGATGTGTATGAGGTCATACCGGTTCTCGGCCATGTTCAACAAGCTCAGTCCATTCCAATTGGCTTCCATCCAGTACTCTACCAAGCTCAACTCTTTCAAACGACTCTGTCGCGAGGAGCTCGAAGGAGTATGCACTGATGTCAATTGTCCCTTCCAGCATACAAGGGACTTTGCCTTTTCGAGTAAGTGCGCTACCTACCTTCACTCATTCATTCAATCAATCACTCACTTACATCAATCAATCAATCAACAGCGGATGACACAATCGAAGACATCTTCTCATATAGCAATGATCCAAACTTAAAGGCAGAGGTGCTGAACATCATGGGAGAGGGCAAGCCAGACTCGTTCCAGACTGCACTCAGGAGGGTGCTCAAACAGGTCATCGCGGAGAACAAGACGATCATTGTGGATGTCAATGAGTCAAGAAAGAGTGTATTGGACGATCGTGTGAACGAATTTACCAAGAGCATCAGCAGCAACCCAGAGTCCTCTACAAAGCAACAGCTTGAATCAAGTCCTACTACTCCTCGCAAGCCACGCAAGACTCATGTCGTCGACGTCAAGGACACAGCAGACTACATTCCATTACAACGCCACGTTGATGTAGATGACGAGATGACAGACACGAACAACACATCCATCATCATTCGCCCATGCAACAGTCAAGATCAGCAGCATCAGTTCGTCAGCACATACACCATTCCAAGCAATGAGTTTGATCACTATCAGCAGTACTATCTAGTCACAAAAGAGGAGTACCTAAAGAACCCTACCAGCCTCCAGCAATGCTTCTCCTATCTCTGTTCCTTGGTATGTCTGCCAGCCAACCACCCAATCAATCAATCTTACTGACTCAATCAACCAAACACAGAACCCGAGCTCACAAGACATACTCTCTGACGAGAAGAACAGAAAGGACTTGCTCAACATGCTCCACTTGATTATCACCAACAACAAGGGCTCAGAGCTGTTGTGGAAGCTCTACATTGAGGTGTTCTCAAGGAACTTTAGCAACAGCCCTCGTGATATTGAGACACTCATCCTCGCCACGCCAATGTCCAGCAACTCCATCCTCCTGGACATGATGCGACTTCGTCTTCCAGGCTCCCTAGCCCGTACCATTACCATCTGCGCTCAGGCATTGAACCAGTTGTTTGGCCAGACCACATCAGCGTCCCAGCTGCTGACCAAGCAGGAGAGCTCATTCTGGTCGCTCGAGTTCCTCTTGATATATCTGCGCAGCATGCTCGAGGCTGGCCATCGTGACTTCCTCGTCAAGGAGTTCCTGATCCACTACAACCTCGACAGCAACGACAAGTTCGCCGCGTTGTTCGTCCCCAACTACCATCGCTTCAAGCATCCCGACCCCTTCATAACGACCAGACACACCTCGCTCTCTGGCAACCTGGACAACCCCGAGAAGAACCAGCTCAAGATTGTCTTCCTCTCCTTGCTCGTCTTTAATGAGATACCCGAGACGACGCAGCTCTATGAGAACACGGCGATGCACACCATCCAAACCAAGACCCTACTGCTCAACTGGAAGCAGTTCTTTGACTCTAAGGCATTCCTCAAGAACAACCAACCATCTCAGATCAGCGCGCTGCAGACAATCTTTTGCGAACTCAGCAGCGATGACTCGTCGGACTACATCCTCAACCAGCTGCACTTCCTGTCGTTCGTCGTACCATTCAAGAAGCACGTGGAGCTCACGCACAATGTCGTGCAGATGTATCCCAAGAACATCGATGTGTGGCTGTATCTGGTCGGCAGGGACACACACAACGACCATCTCACCTCGGCGCTGGCAGCCAATCCCAATTCATTACGCCTGATCAAGGCGATGGTCATGCAGGACATTGCATCCAACAATCACTCTGCCTCCATTACCAAGATCAACACCTTCCTCTACAACATGTTTGCAATCAATGAGGCCCAGAAGAAGATCATCAAGGAAGAGAAGGTCAGTTCATACACCATGTTTGACCTTTTGCTCTCCAAGCAAGTTGGTCAAACATACAAGAGAGAGGTTCAAGAGTTGAAGCGTATGTATACCCTTTGAGCTTCAGTCCAGTCCATGGATGGTGAACTCAGTCAGTCACTAACTCCCACTCATCAACCAGACACACCTATTGACAATGCTGAGATGGTCTATGTTTGGATACTAGTCTGTCTATATAACTTCCTCAAGAAGAACTACCTGGCAGTACTGCCAACTCTTCGCGAAGCACTACGCACAGTCAATCTTGCTCACAAGAAGTTACTTTGGAAGGAGTATGTATACTTGAGAGAGAGGTGTTGATTGAATCACAGTTGGCTAACTCATTGGCGAATGAATAGACTGTTGTGGCTGGCAAGCAAGTGCCTCAGCACGAGTGAGTTTGAGACACTGGCCGACGAGTTCTTCCAGGAGTCTCCAACCGAGTTCTACTATCCACTGCGACAGTACATCTCGAGTATACCGGCACACACCCCGGCAGCACTCCTCTCTGCCCTAAAGCCACTGGCACTCAAAGTACACTGTCACCTAACGCTACACGCAAGCAACAGTCACGAGGCACTCACCTACTTACATTCTCCCTTCCCTTCCCTCCCTTCCCAACCCCTCCACCATACTCATCTAGGACTACTCGCTGCACAACCAAGTGTTGGATCTCTATGGCAAAATGAAGAACTACCCGAGCAACCTGCTTCGCAAGTGGGCACTGATGCTGCCTGACAATGCATACATATTTGCCAAGTTGCTATTAGTGCTTCCAAACATTTGACCCTGCCCGCCACCTCATCCACGATCATGGAACTAACCTTCTTTCCCCTCATACCCTTACTTACATCCCGCACAAACATAGATACATCAACACCATTGTCGACAAGGATCCAGCTGAGCTGCGTCAGACCATCAAGCGCATCATCAAGTCCATCGAGCCCGCCAGGGATGTTCCCTTGTCAATTTGGAAACTGTATGACTCATCCAACCATCCACTCTCACATCTTCCATCTGCCCTGCTCACGTTGTAACCATTCAATTCACGCACCCTCCCTCTATCCTACTCATCAATACAGGGCAATACAAGCATGCTCACGACGACAGAAGGAAGATGAGAAACTCAAACGAACGGTCCGGAAGATGTACAGCACTGCACTGGAATACTATCAATTCAACTATGACCTTTGGATGCACCACATACTGCTGGAGAAGGAGCTTGACCCTGATCTGACGGCGACTTCCACCGCCAAGCGTATTGAGAAGGCAGCATTGAACGGTGTCAACCTTTGGGTCCCCAACATAATCAGTTAGTTAATTCTATCTATGGTTATGATCTTAAGTATATTAACCTCATCCACTCCTCCCTCTTCCCTCCAATCTTCAATGTCCAATGACCTCAACCAACTGATATGATATATATTTATACACACGATTACGACTTGATCACACGACACGACACGACACGCCAACCGACATATTCATCTCTCCACATCCCATTCTTTCATTACCTCACGAGAGCGAACATGGAATCATGGTCCCATTATTTAATATATATCTAAACCAAGTCCGGACGTAACACCTCTGGTAACAAGGTATTGGCCGATTGGTCAATCCAACAGTAGTCATACCCGCCCGCAATAAATGACAATCAACTTGATTACTTCCCAAACCATCATAATCCCATCAGGATCAATCAATCAATCAAAGTCAATCAATCTTGTGTGTGCCCTCGTGGCAACAAAGGTGGGGTTGCAAAGTTGAACTTGCATGCATTCAATCATTCATTCATTCAAAGTTCATTGTTGTCATGGCATGAGATGATCGGTGAAGAGTTAGTAACATGTCTGGACAATCATCACCATCACCTCCATCTATGAGGACGATGCAATCATCAAGAAGTACAAATGACATTGCATCATTATATAGTAATAACAATAATAGTTCAACAACGACGACATCATCAGTTGGTGGAGCAGCAACAAGTTCAAGTATGACCTCTTCACAAAAGATGAGCAATAGTGGCAACTCAGTACAACTACCATTGAGTGTTAGCAATGGCAACTTGACCACATTGATACCTCAATCAATGATCAAACAGTACGATCAAGAGGTCATCCACATGTTTGAACGCAACTCTCCAGAGGAGATGAAGAACATAGAATCATCGACCAGATACGAGATAGAGGATAAGAAGAGACAGCTTAGAAGATTGATTGGGTATGTTTGTCAACTCAATAAGGGCCATCTTCATTCATTCAATCATATGACTTACCATGCCTCGCGCGCACACATACAGTAACAAGTATAGAGACTTAGTTGAGGGATCAGACTCGATTGTCAAGATGAAGAAGTCATGCATGACCATCACTGAGAAGATTGGCAACATGCAATCAAGTCTCAAATCATTCAGTGAGAGACGTCTGAAGCACAGCAGTCTTCATTCAAACATCACCAACAACAACACAGGCAACACAGACACAGACACAGACACAGATAGTACATCAGCAGATGAGGATAGTATTATAGCGATATCTAGACACGCCAAGTTCTTGATTGAGATCACAGAGCGTATATGGAGAGCAATCGATCACAATGAGTTCTATGAAGCGGTGGTCCAGTTCCTCAAGGCGAGACATCTGTACATGCTGATGACCGCCGACAGCCAACCACAGACAATCAAGCGACTGATCATCACCATGCCCCTGGTCGAGACGCAGTGGCTGACCATTCAGCAATTCCCCGCAAAGACAACACTGTCGGCCAAGGACTACATGAAGAAGGCCAACCTGTCGATCGAGCAGTACATTGGCTGTCTGTCCACACTCGTACTCTTTGACAACATGACTCTGGACAACGTGATGCAAGAGTTCCTCAAGCTACGCTCATCGTTGTTGGGTGGCATTATCCAGCATGGCACGTCGCAGAAACAGCCAGTCCGCATAACAGTCCAGCGCATGGTCGACTCAATCAAGACGACACTACTCTTTGTTCTCTTGATGTTCTATCCTACATCATCAAGTGATGGACAGCAGCAGGACGATTCCGACTCGTCAACCGAGGTGGACAACCTTGCACATCTGCCCGTGCTCACTTTCACATCGTCCATGCTTGAGACCACATTCACATGGAGTTGTCCGTACATGCACAACGCAATCGACTACTTGGATCAGGTGGACAAGGGCAAGGGCGACAGGAACAGATGGGAGCGGGAGAACAATGAGACAGCACGTGTGGACAAGCGATCATCCACTCAAACGACACACTCGAGTGGCAAAGCAAAGCAATCATCAGCCCTTCACCTCCATGTGAGCGAGCAAGCGATACATAAGCTCACGTTGGAGTGGCTCGATCAAGTTGTTCAGACGATCCGAGCAAGATCAAACGAGTTGTTTGCGCCAGTGACCAATGCCAAGGAGCTGTCACGTCTGCGAGCAGAGGTGTTTGAGGAGCTGGCAACATTCAGAAGTGTCGTGGACAAGTTTGGCGACACATCCACAACAGCTACATCAACAGCCACATGGAACAATGTAATCAAAAGAGTTGTTGGGGTGGACACACCGTGCATCATCGATGTGTTTGAGGAGATACTCTTGCTCAAGTCTGAGCAGATCATAGAGACAGCATTCTCATCGATCAATCTGACAAGCCTGCTGCAGAGCAAGCTGCAGCAGACCAAAGCTGAGGACAAGGACTACAGCGACTATCTGTGGGCCTACCACGACGACGCCACTCAGTCCATCAAGAACAAGACCAATGGAATCACACCCCAGATGGACCTATTCTTGCAACAAGTGGGCCAGATGTACTCTGGATGCATCAGCGACTTCCTCGACCTGTTCCCCGCTTCCTCTGGTACCGCCGCCGCCGCCGCGAAGGAGGCAGGCAATCTCATATCACCGACTCAGTCTCGAGTTGCAAGCAGTCGATTGCTCAGCAAGAGGCAACAACAATCACAGGAGCAGTCAATCGTTGAGAAGTACGAGCTCAAAGAGAATGAACTGCGACAGTTCATGCGCAAATCATTCCACAACTCTATTCGTCAGTTCTGTACCAACAATCAAAGCACTGTCGCCGCATTGGCCACCAGTGCCATCAACAGTCTGGTTGGCTCTGGCATTGGCAGCAGTGGTGGTGTGAGCAGTTCCAAGGCATCATCGTCATCGTCGGCGTCGTCCAACATCCAGGACATCCTGTTCATAGCAAAGACATCCAAGCTACTCTATCGACATATTCAACAACAACCCCAACTCTACTTTGTAGCAAGTGCATCAGAGTCCACTGGAGCCACATCGCCAACATCAAACAGACACAACAGTCACAGCAGCAACAGCAACAACAACAACAGCACCAACAATAGTGGTCACGAGACTCTCATATTGCAACTGGTTGATGAGCTGAAAGAGGTACACTACATTGGATTCATTGCTTGGGTCGAGTACATCACCACACTACATTGTCAATCACTCAAGCAACGAATGAACTCTGATACCATGGTATGGGAGCATGCCCAACAATTAACCAGATCATGGGAGAGTAAGTGTACTTGACTTGGACTTGGAATGGAAAGGACATGACTTGACTGACACCTTATCCCAATTCAAACAGGACACACGATTCCAGGAGTTGAACAACAACCAGACGCCCAGGTGTTGACACCATACCAACCATCAGCATACATCCTATCACTCCTATTCGACATATCACTGGAGAACAACAAGATAAGCATCAATACTCTGGACAAGGTATGTTTGGTCAATTGCATTGAGGCACTGTCCACATACTCACGCCAACTCTATCAAATAGAACATTCAACAATATATCGCATTGACACTCACGAACAAGGTGTACAAAGTGGTACAGTCATACTTGGCATTGAAGACTACAAGTAGCTTCACACCCATTTGCAAGGAGGGCTATCTACAGCTATACGTCGACTTTAAGTATCTTGGATGTATACTCTATGGCAACAAGAAGGCACAGCCTATCAAAGACCCTGTGTTCAACAAGGCCAAGGCCCTCTATGATCGCAGCATTGTATCATCATCATCGTCGTCCAGCACAGACACGACTACACCATCAGCATCGAATAGAACATTCCAAGATATACTATCATTGATTGAGGAGAAGGTATGTGTTGTGGATGGATGCGCGTGGAAGGATGACCTGATGACTGACCAGCCGACTGACGCCCATCCTTCCCTTAGATTGACACTGTGGACATGATACTTTACAAGGACTTCATCAACAGATTCGTCGAATCAACATACTCCAAGACATCAACCATGTTTGGATACTTTACCAAGTCGCACAGGTCGATCATCAAACAGGATCAACAGCAATCGAGGCCCAAGTCAGCGACGAATGAACAACCAAGTACCATGCCACTGGCACGCTGTAATGCCAAGTTCCAACTATTCTCCATTGAATCAATACCGAACCAGACACCACCAGCCACTCCAGAGATGAGGCGTGCAGTAAACAGTGGTGCTGGTAGTGGAATGATGAAACCATCACCAATGTCATCATCAACTACATCACCATCACTTGGCAGAGCAAATGCCACTGGTACCAATGCCACTGCTGCACCGTCTGGAAGTGGATCAACAGGATCAAACAACAATGCATCAAAGTCATCTTCATACTCACTGATGGAGCAGATGAGCAAGAAGATACAACAGCAACTAACAAACATTGGAAAGTAAAGGCATCCATTCATTTTGTTTGTGATCATCACAAACTCGATCAATCTACCAATCAGTCAGTCAATGGATGGAAGAATGATTAGAAGGATCCATGACCATCAATCATCGTTAATGTGATCTGGTCACGTGATGATGTACAGGTCTTGGTTGCGGACCGACAGCCAGACAGATCAAATACTTAAGTATTAATGTGCCGACCAATCAATCAATCGAAGACTCAGACACAGAGTGTCTGTCTTTCATTGAACGAACAAGTACAGATCAACACTTGACATGGTCACATGACCATAGATTGATTGTAAGTATGACCTTGTGTATGTCTGTAGGCTGCAGCTTTTTACGATGAGTGCCCTTGACCCGTTGGACTTTAAGGCAAGCGGTTTGATAGAGAGAGAGATATCTTTCTCCAAAGAAGAACATCTTCATCGACGATTTCCAAAGATGATGGATCACCTTGGATGATGGTATTTGGTGTTGTTGTGGAAGGCCCTTATGTGTGTGTTATTGTGGTGTCAGTGATTGGTAGTTGGGAGTGCCCTCAATAACATCATCAACCAAGATTGCGAGTTGGAGTTAGTGATGCAGACTGAGTGATTGAGTGAGTTGGAGAGGGTGATCCCAAGCCTCATTGTACAATCATCCTTCATCACTTGTGGGTGTGTGTGATAACCTATCAGATGACATGGTGATGAAAGATGCGGGGCTTATGAAACAGGGCGATGGCCCATTACCCGAAGGGGTAATCAGTGTGGTTGACTTGCAAGCCCACACTTGATGTGTGTGTTAGTGTGTTATTAGTAAATAGGCACTCTGACAATCAATCAATCAATCATACACACTACCAACCTACTTACCAATAACATCATCAACATCATTCATTCATAGAGAGAATGAATGAATGAATGAACCGGAGCAGTCAGATGCACTCTCCATTAAATTTCAGTGTGCAAGAGGCAAGAGCTGAAGTGAGCTCCAATCAACAAGGTGTACATTAATAGACACATAATGCGCCGACATCTAATGTTATGCGGGGAGAATGCATCGTGGTAATTAATGTTGTAGTATGTGTATAAGCACATTAACTTTGTGTGTTATAAGTTGGCCCTTTGGAAGACCCTTCAACATACACACACCATCCAACCATCTCCATCACCATCACCATCATTCATACACACACACACTTATCACACTTATCACACTTACATTACATTGATTGATTGCCCACACACACACACCTTATTTCCACAGTTGGTGATGATCATAGTGCCTCCAAGGACTCACTCAATCACTTGGACATACCAAACACAGACAGACAGAGACAATCTTAACTCTATCACCTGCTCACTTACTATCTGTACATAGATATATACATAAATCAAACAAATACATACTTTGTCCAACCATCAATCACTCCACCTCACCCTCTGTAACATACATTCATTCATACATCTTTGTACATATCCATACTTCCATATATCCATATCCAATCAATCAATACCAAATAAATAAAAAGATGGATAACAATAATATAATGTTTGATAACTTCCTGTCGAGCTACTCAACTCAGGCCTACCACCAGTTGCCAACATCGCCAGACTTTAATCAACTACAGCAACAGAACCAACTGACACCAACTGGCAGCAACAGCTGTAGCAGTCTGGACGATTGCCTACTATATACTACCAGCTCTACCTACAAAGAGGACTGCTATAAGGAAGCCTCCGACGCATTCTACTCGGCCACCACCATGGCCATGTCCATGTCCATGTCCTGTCCATCGTCGGCCACCTCCACCACCTCACTGTACGACTGCTGTGATGACCAGATGCTGGACAGGACATCCCAGGACTCATTCTACTCCTATGAGTTGGACTTATCGACTTCGTCCCTCATGAACCATGACAGTGGCTGCAGCAGCAGTGTCCAAACCACGCCCATCCAAGGCTCATACCAACTTCATCAACAAATACTCCTACAACAACAACCACTCCAACAACAACATGTACAGCAGCAGAAGCAACAACAACAGCAACAGTTCAGCTTCCTGCCTTGGAACCAACAACAACCATATATGTTGTCATCATCTGACATCGTCCCGACACTTTATCCCATTAGCCCCATCGAGACGTTCTCCTCGCAATCACATGATACTCTCTCGGTATATGATCTAAACAACACGCTCAAGCTGGTCAACCATTGCACCAGTGACGGCTCCTCCGACAACCAACTACTCCCCGATGTACCATTATCACCCTCCGAAGACTCATCCTCCACCTCCTCCACGCCCGCCAACAGCAGAAGTGGTGCCGCCTCGCCAAAGATACCCGACCAACAACAACAACAACAACCGTATACCATATCGCCATCGTTTGTAGAACAACAACGTATGGCACATGAACAACTCTGCGCCTCACCTAAGTCAGAGGTGCCCTCGCCAATCCCCGAAGCCCCACTCAGCCCATCCAAGCCAAAGAAGCTAATAGATATCTGTGACCTGTTCATCAAGGAGCACACGGCCATGGTGAGAGACGGTGGCAAGCGACAAGTGTTCATTGATGCCTTTGCACTGAAGCACAGCGTCGACTTGACCAGGATGTACTCGATACTCCATGTGATGAAGTGTATTGGCATCATCGAGAAGCGTGGCCACAACTCCTATCACTGGCTGGGCATGAACAACATTCGTCCATCTATCGAGGCCATCTTCCACTCGACCCACAACTACCTCACTGGCGAACTCGAGTTTGTCTGTGACAAGTGCAAGGCCAACTATGAGCGCAAGCTCTCTGGACAGTCATGCAACACCGAAGGCTCTGGCGCCTGTCCATCCCCCATGAACGATGCCAAGCTCAAACAAAACACCAAGCTAAGTCTGATATACAAGCAGTTCATCAAGTTATTCTTCCTCAATGTATGTTTGATTAACTGGCAGCCTTTGCTCCACAGTCACTGACCCTAATACCTACTCACTCATACATAGGATACTGTCTCTTGCAAGAATGCCAAGGAGATATATCATACTCATTTGACAACGGCCAAGTCCCGAAGACTGTACGACATGGCACTCATCTTGGACAGTATTAATTTAATTACCAAGACTGTTAGTCCAGGCAAGAACAAGATCCAGTACTACAAGTGGAATGGATCGCCCACCTTGGACGAGTTGAGAGAGTCCAGTTGTCTGCCCTACCTCAACCAGACCCTTTAAATAGGGGGTCTGCTGCTGACCAGTGTCCAACATCCAATCCGACCATTATATATATATATATACACTTCCATTAATATTTATTACACATATCGATACTTATACATTCTGCAACTCCACTAATATCAATCCAACAACCAATCAATCAATCAATCAATCAATAATACCAACTTATCTATCTATCCAATAACAATACATAGACAATAACCAAATAACAATGAATAAAGTTCCAGAAAGGATGGTGACCATCAATCAATCATCATCAATCATCAACCATCATAACAACATTGATCGTTTGAATGGACTATGAATGTCCCTGTACATTCATGATTTATATAATAAGGTAACAACTACTCTTCGGAGAGATGTTGAATAGACTTGTTCATATAGATGATGGCTGGAACTGTAAGGAATGAACTGGCCAGGAAGAGGAAGTCGAACCACCGATGATAGAAGTTGAACTCAATGTCACCAAGAATCTGTGTGATTATCACTCGGTAGTCTTCATGGAGACTGGTTCGCATTAGTAGCACTGACGAGATGAAGTACATGCCCATGATCTGTGCCAGTACCAGTACAATGTTGTTCGATGTAATGCTGCTACTATACTCATGGAATATCTTCATCAGCTGATTGAGGAAGCCACGCACAGAGCTGGCCGTCATCAGTCCAATCATCAAGAATGAGATGGGTTGCGACCAGAACTGCACGTCCACCTCAATGTGCAGGTATCGCAGCATGATATCAAATGTGCGACTAACCGGATCCATGCCGCCACGACGATCATACACAATGTTGAGCACGCTCATTATAACCTTGTACACGCAGTAGCCAGAGAAGAAGTAGCCCAGCCAGTTGTAAAATCGTCCCAGTCTTGTCGTCGAGAAGACGATGCGCTCCTTCTCCAGCTTGAGCTCGTGCAGCTGGGAGAACAGATCGCGGTTCAAGTCCTCCAGTATCTTGGTCTCTGATTCGAGCTGCTTGATGTCGTCCGTGGGCTGTGACGTTCGATGGACGATCGATGTGAACCATGACAAGAGTGTGGCGGCGCGTGGCTGGCCAGAGCTGGCCGACATTGAATTGCGCTTGAGCATCTCCTTTCTCGCCAGCAGTATCCTTCGCTTCTTGCTGAACAGCTTGTCGAGTGAGTGCTGGAGTTGTCGTTCGATCTGTGTGATTGTGCTGTCTTTGACGGGCCGCAGGAAGTATGTAATGTAGAGGTAAGGTGACATGACGGCACCATAACCCGAGAGCAATGCCATCACTGTCACACCAATGATACCAATCCTACCAATGCCCATCTCAAATGATACCGTTCCATTATCCTCCTTCAATATTGGGAATGGATTACCAATCCACCAGAACAACATCAAGTATAGACCAAGGCATAATGAGCTTAATATATGTGTTCTTAACTGTCTACCAGCTTGACATAGATTGATTGAGTGAGTGATGGTGAGTGAGTGGTTGGGAATCATTCCAAGGTGTTTGATTGATTGATCACGATCACATACTTGTGGAGAAGAAGAGATAGAACTGATAGTACGGCAGGACAATGACAAGGTCTACCAGCATCATGAAGAGATCAAACTTCCAACACATGTATCGCCAACTTGACAATGTACATGTAGGTTAGTGGCTGAACGAGGAGGCCAACATCAACAACATACTTACTCTCTATCCATGATATCCATGATCTCAAAGATGATCAGCTCAAACATGGTGCAGGAGAGAGCGAACATCATTGAGAATGATAGTTGTACGGTGACTCGCTTGACTTCATAGTCGCGAAACAGTATCTTTAGGAAGTATATCCAACCAAATACAAAGAAGCCAATGAACGACAGTGAGAACACTGACGTATTATAAGTATAGCTTGATATAGTGCTGACAATCCTTGACGATGATACTATTGACCAGTAGCCATTACCACCAGCTACTTCTGCTGCTGCTGCTGAAATCGCGGCTGCCTCTGCCAAAGTTGCATTCATTGTTATTGTTGTCAAAGTAAGTATTGAATGAACATTAATATATCTTTGCTGAACTTCTTGGTGATGGTTGAGATTGAAATTTCTCAATTTCAATTACATCTTCACTGGTTTCAGGAAGATTGTAACTGCATCTACCTCCATTGATAATATTAAATTGTCATGCAATAGAATACCAATGTCAAATAATTAATATTGATGATGGTAAAATTTTCCAGCTAAAATACAAATAAATTAACCGACTTCACTCATCATATGCGCATGTGGTCCAATGGTAGAATGTTTCCCTGCCACGGAAGCGATCCGAGTTCGATTCTCGGCATGCGCACTCTTTTTAATGTTTATTCATTCTTTGGAGTCGGAATCCCCCATTGATCGTCGGGCTCGTCATAGCCCTGCTGCGCGGCTCCGTGGCCAGAGTCAGCGTCAACTGCATCATGATGCCCTGCCCCTGGACAGAGGCACCAAGCAAGGTGACCCTCCCTCCCCGACGCTCTTTGTTCTGGTCATCGAGGCACTGGCAGCAGCAATCAACGCCGACCCCTCCCAATTGTGGGTCTGCCTGTGTCACCGCCCCTCGACACGTTAGTCGACGGCAAGAAAGTCTCCACCGTCCGCAAGAAGGTCAAGCATCATGTTACACACTCTAGTAAAAAAAAATAAAAATAGGGTTTGCTCGATGCAGGGATCGAACCTGCGACCGCGGCGTTATTAGCACCGTGCTCTACCGACTGAGCTAATCGAGCTGATGGATCCTAAACACTAGATTCAACTCTTTTAGAGCGGAATTTCGGTGGGTTTTCTGACCAAAAGAAGGAGTATCAATCTTGATGGACTCCGAGTTTGGAATTCCAAACCAATACTCATACCACGTAAAGACAATCCTTAACAAAGTAGGGAAGACAACCGAACGACAAATGTTTAATTGTCTTCCCTACTTTTTGTTTTAATAAGATAGATTATTGGTGGAACCAATCTACCAGATAAAGGAAATTCTTATTTTTGGATTCGTTGTTCATATAAAAATATATTGATTTAATAAAGGATTAATAAGTATTATTTTAAGTTCTTATCCAGAACAAACATGATTAATTGCCCAGGTTAACTTTGGTCAATAAGTCCCCCTACAAAACGTCATTTTATAACCCTGTCGACCCATAGGCACCAGATAACCAATCAATTTTCCTGATTTGGTGGGCCACATTAATGGTGGATTTCCCACTTGGTCACGGGTTTGACTGAACAGCGCATCCCTCAGGGACCTCTGCCCCATTGATAGTGGGCGACTGGTGAATGATGGATACTTTGAAGATGGTTGATCTTAAAGTCTTGTGATGATAAGTTGGGTAAAGGTTAGATTAGGAGGAAGCATCTTCTGAAAGATTCCATTAATAGATTTTCAATGTTTGATTTGTTATCGTTTCTCCAAGATCAAATTAAAAACAAATATCTTCCCCCACAACCAATCACTCGTGTGTCGGTTGGATTGGTGAACCAATTATTATTATTATTATCTCTGTTGGTCTCTCTCCCTCTTTCGACTAGATTGTATAAGTATAAATAGACAAGACATTATCATTCCAAATGTAATATATATAGTAATTTATTATAATATAATCAATCATCTTCTATCTCTGTGATACATATATATACCTTAATATATATATATTCACAAAGTTGTAAAATCAATCCAAAATAGGTTTTGGTAAGTAATATGAACATACTTCCACTTGAATTAAAATGGAGCTGGAATCTAACATAGTCAACCTTAATGTAGTAGAAATACTTGAAGCTCCAGAGCTATCACCACTCCCACTCACCATGTCACTTGTCCAGAACAGCTTGGTAGTCTCAACTGGCACCAATGGCACGACTGTAACTCTAAAGTTGCACTCCTCCTCTGGCAATGTTGCCATCAAGGCCCTGACTGTGGCCGTCCGTGATTCGAACGGAACCAACTTGGACTACCCCAACGCCAACAACGTCACTGTGTCCACCTCGCTCTACACTTTCACCAGCACCAAGGTCCTCCAGCCAGGAACCTACACCATGTTTGGTGCTTACCAGACCAGCAATGGTGCATGGTCCAGTTTTGTTAGCCAAAAGGTCAGTGTGTCCAACACCATTGTACAGGAGTCCCTGGAGTTGACTGAGAACGGTCCCAATGTCACTGCCGTGCTCAAGATCAACAGCAAGCCAACCCCAACAACCTTGCAATCTCTCACTGTTGCCGTGCGCGATGACAACAACAACAACCTTGACTTCCCCAACCTCTTCAGCGTCAACGTTGGTACATCAACGTACTCATTCAATGAGACTCAAAGCTTCAACCCAGGCACCTACACTGCCTTTGGAGCATTTGAGCTCAACAATGTATGGGTGAGCCTCCCCTCGCAGACCTTTGTCGTGTCGGGCTCCATCACACCATCTCCCCCATCCAACCTTGCAGTCACTGGAACCACCGACTCCTCGGTCACTCTGTCCTGGAGTGCTGGCAATGGTACCACCACCTACAATGTAGTCCGCGATGGCTCCAACATTGCAAGTGTTAGTGGTTTGACCTACACTGATACTGGTCTCACCCCGGGCACTTCCTACACCTATGCAGTGGTTGGTGTTAACTCTTCCGGTACCGCTTCGACTGCCACCCCATCTGTCATTGCTACCACAACTGGTGTGAACGCTGGTCCTGGCACTCGTCTTGGAAAGAACAACGTCTTCTGGGATGACTTCAACTCTGGCTCCTTGAACACTACCAACTGGACCCTCAACAAAACATCGTCCTATACCAACAACGGACCCACCAACGCCAAAGACCACAAGTTGGACTACTTGAACCCCAACTGCATCTCCTTCAAGGACAGCAACGTTGTGTTCACCGCCCAGGATGCTGGCTTCAAGATCTCTGGTTTCCCTCAGGGTGGCAGCTTGGGTGCATGGTACACTGCGTTCATCACTACCGAGTTTAGTCCAAACGGATTCCAGGTAAAGACCAACGACTACTTGGAGGGCAAGTTCTACTTGCCACCCAACATTGGCGCATGGCCAGCCCTTTGGACCTGGAAGGATGGCAATGGTGAGATCGACGTCTTTGAGTACCACCCTGACAACCCCAACCTCTTGGAGCTCTCCAACCACGTCAACAAGGCTAGTGAGTACTACACCAACGCCAGTACTATCGCCCCCAACAAATGGATTACCATTGGTGCTTTGCTCGGCGCCAACTCGGTCAAATGGTACGTCAATGGTGTCAATGTTTGGTCTGACAACACTGGTGTTGGAAATGGATTCCAATCCTACATCAACTTGAACCTTTCCCTCGACGATGGATACCCCGAGAACAATCATCCAGGCCCAACTGCTGGACAGATCATCACCTTCTCGACAGACTATGTTGGTGTTTGGCGTTAATACCACATTGTACTCGTTCTGTCCAACCTCTCAATACAATATGTCTAATCATCATTGTCACCCCCCAAACTTCATTATGATTGTCTGTCTCTTTCTCTCTCTTTCTTTGATTGGGCTGCCTTGCTTGCCAACTTGATGTTGGGTATTGTGTACACAGTGTGAAGCCTGGCAATTATTGGATGAATGAATGATTGAATGAATGAACGGAGGTGGATTATTTATCAAATAATATTATTATTTATTGGTCATGACAATCAACAACAAGGTCCAATCTTGTGTTTCAATTGCCAAGATAAAGGTATGATGAGACACTCGTTAGATAGAGTGAACGAATGAACGCACGCATCAAAACAAGACAGACTTGGATCGGCCCAATCTCTTCTTGATCTCCTCCTCCTTCTTCTTTTTCTCCTCTTCCTTCTTCTTCTCTGCAGCAAACTTGGGATCATCCATCTTAATATATGCCTCCAAGAAACATTTTTGCTATAATTGGTTGGTTGGTTGGATGTGAGAGGAGCAAGAGTCAGTCAATCAGTGTCTGGATGATTGTTTGTTTGCTTGATTGTTACATACTGGGAAGCATTCAAAGAATCGTTTGTAGCCTCCAGAAAGCAGGTAGGTCTCTGGATAGTGAACATTGGGATATTCATTAAAGGTCCTGTCCAAGTCTCTGAACTTGGTGTAGCTGTGGTGGAATGTGATTGTTGGTAAGTAAGTATAAAGTGGTGATACTGCCTGTGGACTGACTAACAAACTTACCAATCGGGTGCTCTCTTTGAGGAGAATTCACAGTGGAAGATGATGATCATCTTCTTCTGATGCTCCTTTGGCGGGAAGAAGTACTTCCTGAGGGCCGACTCGGAAGCGCTGGGTGGAATATTAATGGCGTTGTTAATATGTCCACCATTGTATTCGTAGGCATATCGGCAGTCGATCACAGTTATGTGTTTATTTACATCGTCCATCAACTCTGATAACTAATGGTTGTGAGAGGGTGGGATGAGTGTTAGTCCATGTCCCCTTTGACCATGTCCATGTCCACGAGATCTAGTACTTACAGTCTCTGGTAAAATATTGTTATAACCTGGCTTTCCATTGCAAATTGGCAACTTCAACTTGTAGTCATCTTGGTCGAGAAGGCAGCCAGTGTCTGCACCATTGAGACAGTCGTCGCTCAAGTTGTTGGTGCTGTTGTTGTCAAATGGTAGTGGCTTTGACTTTGGCGACGCCTTGATCCACTGACTTGTGGTCGTGGTGCTGGTCGTCGAAGTGGTCGATGTAGTCTTGTTGACATTGTCCTCATTGTTGTTGCAGCTACCATCAAAGTAACCGCCACTGTTGCTGCCACCCTCGAGAGTGTCGCCTGCCAATGATCGTTGGTCATATCTCGTCCTCTTCTTCATCTTGTTGATGCCTGAGCTGTTGTAGCTCTTCAATGAGTGCAAGATGTTCTGCTGGTTCTGCGAGGCCTCTGCATCGGGTCGCGGCACATAGCCAGAGAACGATTTTGACGAGCTGCCAGTGGACTTGGACAACATGTTCACCTTGGATGGTGTCTTGTAGGGTGAAGCCTCCACGTTATTGTTGGCCTCAACAATGTGGATGTTGGGCGTTGATGGTGGAGGAGAGGAGGCTGGTGGCGATGCCTGGTCCGACTCAAGATGGAGGAAGTTGGGCGCCTGCACAAACTTGACCGGTGTACCTTGGTCCTCGCTCGTATTGAACAGAACGGTGGCTGGAGAGGGCTCCGGGCTGCGTGGATACGAGGTCAAGAGGAAGGAGTTGGGCGCACTCAATGAGAACGGCTCAACTCCCGGCGTGGGCGACAGCCTGTTGGCACCCATGTGCGGCGAGGGCGGTGACGAGATAGAGTTCTGGAACATGACGCCACTGGCAGGTGAGTGCTTGGCTCCGCTATATGAGCGACGATCAAAGTTGAGCTGCTTGCTGTCGCGTCTAAACATCTCGCCGCCATGACAGGAGACGGAGCGTGGCAGCAGGTCCGAGTCGCTCAGATCCATCTTGGGCAAGTCGGACACCGATCGTGACAGTGGCGAGTTGGTACCCTGATTGATCGAGAGATTGGTGAACTGCGACAGGTAGATGTTCTGTGAGTTGCGATGCTTCTTCAATGGCTTGCCATCAATGTCGCACTCGGCTTCGACTCCGCCAGCTGCAGCATCTGCGCCTGGACTCTTGATGGGTGTTGGTTGCGACGCCGACTCTGCGCCACACTCCTCGGTGATCATTCCAAACATGCGGGGTGTTGTGTTGGGTGTCGAGTGTTGTTGTTGTTGATGTTGATGTTGTTGGAAGGCAAAGGTCAACGATGGCATTGACTGGCTCAAGATACTGTTAGGTTTGAGTGGCTTTAGATGTGTGGATGTGGAAGTTGAAGACGAATCGGTTGGCTTGGCGGTGTAGGTTATCGAGTTGCTGAATGGATTGGTACTGGATGGTATTATTATCTGTGGTTGTTGTTGTTGATGATGTTGATGTTGTTGATTGAACAATGTAGAGCCAGTCGGATAGCCGTGATATTGTTGTTGTTGTTGGTGATGTTGGTGTTGATGTTGGTGGTGATTGCGTGGCGACATCCTCTGGACTGGTGCCATTATTGTGGTGGTCAATGGCGGAGACAACTTGCCGATTGGTGGATGGGTGGAGGAAAGTGATATGATGTTGTTCTGGTTAAAGTCATTCTCCTTGTTGGAGTCACCCAGGTCAGCAAGCGAAAGTTTCAACATCGTGTTGTTGGAGGTGGAGGTGGCGGCAGTCACAGGTGTTGAAGTCAAAGTATCTTTGTTGTTTGTTATGACCATGTCGTGTCAGGTGATTGGTTGATTGATTGATTGATATTGAATGAATGAATGAATTAAGGATATGCTCGAGTCTCGAGTTGGTGTAGTTTGATTGATTGATTGAATTATTGATGGTGTAGTTGTAGTAATTGTTGAATTGATGGTTATTGTATGTTACTCTCTCAGCGCGGATGGGGAATGATACAAATGATGTAATTGATTACATGTGAATCTTTGACAAAGAATGATTAATTGTAATGATGATGATGATGATCAAAGAGTTTGTTTGAGTAGTTGTGTATAAGCCGGCTGTAGTTGTTGTTGTTGGTATTGGTTGATTGATTGGTTGATTGGATGGTTGGATATGGATGGATGGATTGTTGTCCAAGAGTGTGGAAAAGGAGAGTGGTAGTAGGTAGTGGTTAATTAGTATTAGTATCACCAGGTATATATATATTATCATCAACATCATCATCAGTCATTGGAGAGAGTGTGGCATTGTCGTATTTGTGATGGCGAGGCGTGGAGTGGCAAGGGCGTGGAGTTGAGTTGAGTGTAGAGGAGATGGAGATGGAGTGAATGAATGATGGGAGAAATATTGGAAATGTGATCAACATGTTGGATTGGACGCGTCGTCCATTGCAAAGGATATAAGTAGTAGATGAGGGCAAGTGAGGTCCAATTCGAGTGAGTGTGTTTGAAGTTGAGCGAGTTACATCACATGATGGAAACAAAAAAGGTGTTTGTTTGTTTGTTTGTTTGTTCGTTGTTGCGATATCTTGGTAGGTGGTCCAAGCGATGAGGAGACTAGTCTAGCACCTACACCCCCGACACCTTGGATTGGTGGCAGGGTGGCAGGTGGCACTGCCCATCACATCAATCATTCATTCATTAGATAATAATAGCTTCCACACTTCCACACACACAAACACACTCAACAACAAGCTGCAAACGACAACAGGCCCCTACCTGGTTAGGTCAGATGTTTGTTTGGTTGTTGTTTGTTTGATTGATGGTTGGTGTTGGTGTTGTTGAGATGAGTAAGTGAGGTGAGGTAAAATGGGTCCAAAGGTGAGGTAAACTTGAGAGTTTAAACTTTCATACACACAAGTTGTTGTTGTTGATGGTTGATTGATTGATTGATTGATTGAACATCTGATGAATGGATGAATGGATGCATTGGTATGAGAGGAGAGAGAAGGTAGTAGCCTTGGTGATTGATGGTATTTACATCGTTTGTGATAAATGTGATGCTTAAATGAATGAGGAGGCGCGCGCAATTGCAAACTTTGTAGATTGGTGGTGTTGTTGTTTGTGAACATGAACACACACTCTTTGACAAACAAACAAACAAACAAACATTTGTTGTTGATCAAGTGAAGTGAGCTGGTCCAGATGGACCATTGATCATTGATCATTATCAGCTGATGATTGATCATCACATCACACTTGTATACACGAGTAGTTGTTGGAGGATATACCCGACATCCATACCAAGTGGGCATGGAAAGGGCATATATATTATTTACATTAAGTGTATAGTGTATGATTGTTTGTTTGTTTGGTTGATTGATTGATTACAATATAATATGAATATATATAATAAATCTAAATACAAATCCAATTATTATTATTATTATGATAAATAACTGGAAGGAAAATGAATTTAAAGATTGTGATGTTGATGATGATGGCGAAGATGGAATGTGAAGTGTAGATATGCTTTGAAGTCGTTGTTGGGCACTGGATCGTGATATTGTCATGTTCGCATCGCATCGTGTTGTTGGTGGCCATATGCAACTGTTTGGTTGGTGATGGGCTGGATGTTTATGTGTGTGTTGTTGACAGACCTGGAGAACTTGTCATCAAGGGTGGTCATTAATGCCATGGTTGGCTAACCAATCAGGCCGGCCGGCCATCATATTATTAATTGGACCGAGGAGGACACACGCACATACGCACAACACAAGAGGGTGACTATAACAAAGAAAGGGTGCATGGGAGGTGCAGGGAGGATGGTCATGTACATAGACTGGGTCCTTGTCATCAAAATGATGTTGGCGCGTAAGTTTATGGACAAGCACACACAAGGCGCGACGTCCCAAAATAGTGATCGTATGCCTTCTGTGGGGGTGTGATATACCAAAAAGAGTGGATTGCAAATTCAAAAAACCAATTAATTAAACTCGATACACGGCTCACACTTCGCGGTGATGTGGTAGTGGTGTCAAAGTGTCGGTGAAGTGCTCGAGTGTTGTGGGTGGTGTGACAGTGTGGTGCCCTTTAATTTGCCGCGCCAAACATTCAGTAAGTCAGTCGACAGAAATACCCTTCTGAATGTCTCTTTGCAAAGAATGAATGAATCAATGAAAGGTTTGGCAGATATACAGGTGTACAGATAAACAGATATATAAGGACACGAACCATCATTGAACATCATACGATGTTGAACGATCATTCCTGAATGAATGATGGAGTGATGTGAATGAATGATGTGGAATGAATGAGTAATGTTGAATGATTGTGATGGAGAATGAGAGTGTAGGTGGCGAAGGGGAGTAAATTGAGTATTACCTTTGAACGTTTAATGAGTCCTTCTTTCAACCTGTATTCTACTGATGCTGCTGTTGCTAATACTACTGTTGATGTATGATATATATATATATTGTATTGTATTGTATTGTTATGTATTTTTTAAGGTATTGTTCAGTAATGTAACAAAGAAGAAGACGAGTGGATTGTGTATGATTGAATTGAATTGAATTGAATGACACTCGTTGTCGTCGCGTCAGATGATGGATATGTTGTGTTTATGTTTGTGTCGGTAGTGTTTATAAGTGTGGAGTGAGTGAGTGAGTAAGTGTGTCAATGACAAGAAAAGGTCGCAGAGTGTTGTTGTGTTTGCAAAGTAGATCAAAGTTAGTGTGTGTCGTACGATAAAGGTAACAAAGGCAGCAAGCAAGAAGGCAAAAATATAAAATAAGAAATGTTTGTTTGTTTGTTTGTTGGTGTTGTTTCTTGTATTGTTGTTGTTGTTGATGTTGTTATTCAAAATGAGTTTGTTTGAATATGTGATTCCGCCGCCGAATACTGCTGTTGGTAACTGAAACAAACAACTTTAAACTTGCAAGTTAGAAAGTAGATATGTGTGAATAATTGATTGATTGAATGAATTGGTTGGTTAGTTTGTTGAATGAAAGATGAAGAATGAAAGAGAGGCAGGTTGATTGATTATGTTGATTATTATGGATGGATGAATGCGCAATGTGGAAGAAAAAGTAAGGTATCCAACTGGATTAGATTGTTGTGGTGTCCTGTCGATTTTTTTGATGTTGATGATCAATCACCTGATTCAAAGTGTGTGTGTGTCATCAGCATAAATTCAAATTGTTATTGTCGATAAACCCAAATGAGGGTTTGATCTGCAGCCAGACAGGCCCAGCCAACACGCAACGGAACAAGCAACGGACATGTCCTTGTATGACATTGTGGCGCCTTGCCCCTTTCTCCACCACACACCAAACAAATCAAGATCGCCATCATACAGACAGGACCAAATGATAGGTGGTTGTGGAGGTGATAAAGGGTCAGCTGACGTCCGTCCTATCTCTCTGCAACTCGCTCTCACTCTCTCTGTTGTAATGCAAAGGTCGGTCCCAATACAAACGTGTGATCACCTTGTATTGTGTGTGTTTTGATCATGTTACATAGTGCATGTTATGTGAATCCAGTTGTATTGTAAAAGTTGTCAGGTCAGTCAGTTGTTATTGTTGAAGTTAATGAATCAGCGGGGTAATAAAGTCTAGATGACCAAGCTCGATAGTAGACCCGCCATCAAGGCCTCAAAGATACTATTAATGGAATTCTAGAAATGATTGACCTTCATCAAACACACTTGTATTGATGTTCATTCATTCATTCCTTCATCCAACCACACCCTTTTACTCAACAAGATAGATAGATAGTTTGATGACTGACTTGTTAGGTTGACGTCATCCAGCCACAAAACAACATAACCAGATCTTTAAGAGGTCGATCGAACCCTTCATCAACAACACCATCGATAGACCTGACACATCATCATCATCATCATCAACATATGTTGACACAAACTAGATACATCACCTATTGAATCTCTAGAACCCAATTCAACAACAATGTCAATAACTACTACCAGAGAGCACTGACAGCCAAACAAGTGTTCATTGATCTTACTCTCTCACCAGACAGCGATGATGATCACATTAGGATGGTACAGTGTATAATGGGAAGCATAGGGATCTGGAAATTTCGAAGTTTTTGAAAGACATCTATGCCATCCTCTGGAAGGCAAAGTAGAAGTGATTGTAGGGTTGGTCTGTGCAGGAGTTGCCACAAAGAGTGCAGTCAGCGTCTGCTCTCATATGATTGATCGGGAGAGTATGGGAGAAGAACCTGAAGAGGGCGTTGCGTGAAGAAGGTCCTCTCAGGGTGCTGATGACCTTGAAGATGTCTGGGAGCTTGAGGCCGTGGAAGACACTGAGCTGCCATTGACCCTCGGTCAGTCTGATTGCGCCATACTTTGCCTTCCAGAGGATGGACATGACTGGCGAGAGGCGTCCGATGAGGCGGATCCTCCAGGAAAAAAAAAAAAAAAAAGTAAGAAAAGAGAAAAGCTATTTGAGTGATGCAGGGATCGAACCTGCGACCTATTGGTTCGTAGCCAATCGCACTTCCACTGTGCTAAACACCCTTATAATCTGAAATTGATCATTGTCCATATTTGAGCTGATTTTGCAGCTCGAGTTTTTTTTGCTCTAAGATCCCTTTAGTGTTTAGGACCGTGGAAGTCATTGAACCAAAATTTCCAGCTTCTATATTCGTTGTTTATTCAATCCAGGACCCAGTTCCATTTTTCAGTTACGTTTTAAAAAGCTTTAAAGTAGGACTTCAAACCTCCAAACTACTGATGGTCGATCAGGAAACTAATTTAGTGAAATTATTTATTATTATTATTTTTAGGATGTCCAAATAGATAGGAGATATCATTAACGACCCCAGAATCCGAAAAGACCCTTTGATGTTGCCTTCTTTCTGGCCTCTAGTGATGGGAATTGACATTGGTTAAAGGCCAGATCGAAAAAGAGTGGCTTTGTTGGGACTGGCTGCAGAGGTGGACAGTCGACCAAACGCTTCTCGGCCAAGAAACCAGTATCAAAGTTGTCCAGTCCGCTGATGAGATCCTGCTGCTGGCCCTCGCTCTTGGCGCCACCACCACCGCCAATTGATTGAAGTGACAGCTCGCTCATCTGTTTCTTCAGTCCGTCGTCGCTTGATATCTGCTGGATAAAGGCATTGGCGTGAACCTGTGATTTGACACTGGCTCCACCCGCCTCCAACTGTTGGACGGTCTTGAGCACCTCGGCAAGGTTGGGCTTGTTGGCCAGGGTCTTCTTGGCTGCTGCCAAGATGGTTTGTGAGCGCTCCAGTGTGGCCATTGACTCGGACCACTTCTTGGTGCCGGCCAAGCACACAGAGATGTAGTGCAGACGGGCCGCACGCACCACCTGCAGTTGAGCGTCCAGTGTGGGGTCTGGACGTGTCTCATTGCGGTTCTCGATCATCTTACCAAACACCTTGACCTGGTTGGTGTAGATGCGAACGACGTCACGGTAGGTCACCTTTGACTTTTTGATCTTGACGATGCCCTGGTCGCGAGCGGCACCAGACTCTAGAACCTCGAGATAGGCGTTCAGGAGAGCCTGGTTTCTTTTGTACAGTTGGGAGAACTTCTGATAGGTGATGTATGCCAGCAGGGCCTTGAGATCAGCCTCCTCATTCTCTGACTTTACAGTCTTGGTGGTGATGTTTGAACGGACAATGTTGACCACTTCATTCCTGACAATGACCTCGGCGTCCAAAAGGTGCTTGACAATCTTCTCGTACATCTGGAAGGCCTCCTCTGCTACCTTTATACTGCTCTGCTCCTTGACCAATTGATCCTGTGCCACCAGGCGTTCTCTGACCTTCTCCGACGACACTCTCACCTGTCTTGAGCGCCACGAGATTGTGGACATTGGTGCGGCGCCACCACTCGAGGTGCTGGTCGCACCGGTTGATTTGATGGAGGATACCAGTGGGTCGGTTCTGGCCTTGGCGGCAGCTGCCACCTTGGGTGGGACAGTGCTCGATGCTGAACCGCCATCGAGATTACGAAGATTGTACATGCAGTATCTGATGGTTGGCTCGGCATCTTCGACGCGGTGTGTGTAAAGATCGCGCAGGGTGGGCGTTCCATGTGCAGCCATCTCCTCGTACAGCGTCTTTGAGACGATGATCTCCTCCAGTGCCTCGAGCCACTGCTGATGTGACATAAAGTTGGCACTCTTTATAAATGATGCGTAGGCGGTCGCCTCTACCTGCGTATAGGCATCAGCAACCTCTTTGCAGAAACGTTCCAGCTGAGCGGCGTGAACGGCTGCCTTGGCAAATCTAGAGTTCATGTGAACCTTGAGTCTTGGTGCGTCCTGCTGCTCATAGTCATTCTTCAAGGCGTTGGCGTAGGCCCATGCTCTCTCTGTCTTTATCAACACAATGAGCAGATATCTAAAGTCGATGATATTCTTTGAGTCGTTAAGCTTGGCTATATAGTTCTTCTTGCCAATATGCTTCTTTAGTGTACTTCTGACACGACCCAATCTTCTCGTGCAATACTGTCTGTATCGAGTGTAGTCCTTTTGTCTAAGACCATTCTGTATTTGAGATGTTTGAGCAATATTCAATACTATATAGTATTGTTAGTTTAAGGTTATTATTAATGATGATTAAACTAAAGGATCATACCATCGAGTGAGAACTTTGTATGTGGAGCAATGATTGGTACTGAACCAGTGCTTGTGTTGATTGATGTAGTATCAGTGGTCGATGATACTGTTGTTGTTGTTGTATCCTGTGGTTGATTAGTTGATGCCATTACTATATATATATAATATAGAATCAAACGAGTGATATAATATGTATATCTGTAATAATATATATTATGATGTGTGAACAATAAACAAGTTGAAGGGTAATGAGTGATTGATCATTGATCGTGTGTGTGAAGGTGACCCACCACACAATCAAAGTCAAACAAAGTTGAAACAAAGTCAACCAAGAATGAATTTTTTGTTGAGATTCACTTTTAATCAATTTAGTTAGAAGAGATAATTAGTTATATATATGTAATAATGTCATCTTATGCTTGGTCATTGATAAAGTTTGTTGAAGACTCTGTATTTAAGGTATCATTCGATATCTATGCATCGTTAAGAAACAATCATATCGAACAAGCTATAGAGGCAGTATCCGAATCATCGGATCTAAGTACAAGGACAAAGATTAAAGATGCTCTGTTCAATTCACTGAGGCTTGCCGCCAACAATAAGATGAACATATTCTTGTTGTCCGTTGGTGGTGGCGCAGCCTACATGTATCACTCATCATCACAACAACAAAAGAAAGCAGAGATGCAGTTGACAGAAGAACGGTATGTTGTTGTTGTTGTTGTTGTTGTTCATTGAGATAGAGATAGAGATGGAGATATGCTAACAAATATATAAATATATAAGAATATCAACATTCTTTAATAATACTCAAGCTACATGTGATCAAACTACCATCTTGTTCCTCAAGCAGAACCTTGAGGATAAGCTAAACAGCGCCATATCATCACCAACTACTGCAGAGATTAGGTCAGCACCACCTGAACAAAGACATCAGTTGATGGATCAACTAAAGATAGCAAGTAAGTGAATGAATGAATGGAATGGTTCAACAAAGACTAACAATAACATTTATTAGCTTATACCAAATTATTGGCTACACTATATATAATGCCTCTATTGTTGTTATTCATTAGAGTTCAGATCAACTTGGTTGGACGATACTGTTACCTGGACAGAATACTTTGCCAAACAACAACTGGCGCATCAGCCGACAGTGACTCTCAAACAGACAGTCGCCCCATCGACATGGAGACTGAGAACCGTTTCTTCTCAATCTCAAAGATCATCATTGAGAAGCGCTTTGATGAGTTTGTACAGACAATCAATGAGCAGGTCACCTGCGTATTACAAGAGTATGTAGTTAGAAGAGTGTGGCGGCAAGGTACACAGTCATTAACCTCATAGATGTGATGATTCATCAGTTATAGGATCGATCAACAGGTAGACTACGAGGAGTTGTTAAAGATCTTTGTAAAGATTAGATCAAAGTTTGAGAACAAGCAGGTGTTATCATCGTTGGACAATGCCGATTGTTTAACCAGGTATCTGATGCCAGACAATGACGAGTACTATGACTCATTGTTGTTGAACGAGGCCAAGAACATATTCGAGAACAGAAAGTTCAACGATGTGATACAGGAGAGCATCAATTGTACATTCAGGATCTTCTACGACATGCTGAGGAACGAGATTGGCCAGCAGCGAGTGCACATAATCTCGTTGGTGCCAAGGTTGATCAAACTGTTGGACCAACTGATCAAGAACGACTTGGACAGTACTGTTGGCCAGATTGTTGCACAGACCGAAAGCATCAATCGTTGCAACAGAGAGATACTTACAAACAATGCAGTTTGAATGATAAAGTAGTAGGATTAATCAATCTGTACATTAGATGATCTGGACCAATCGTGTCCAGTGTTTGTGATCACTTTCCATTTATTGATGTATCACAGTTGGCCATTCATTGATTGTTCGACCGACTTGCCTTCATTTTTCTTTGCTTGGATACCAGCTATATTGAAGTGATCGAATGATGATATACTATTGTAAAGGAATAGATTGGGAACGTCGTCGTCCTCATCAGTATCACTGCTTTCCTCTACTTCTTGTATAAGTATTGTTGATTCTCCAGCTGCATCTGCAGAGGATGATGATGATTGTTGTAGTTGTTGACTGAGTGAACCATATCCTTGTTGCTGAGATAAGCTATATCTTTGACTTCCACGACCTGTTGGTACCTTTTTGAATCTCTTCGACTTCTTTTTCTTATAGTATCTACAGTATAGTAGTAGAGCCAGTACCAGTAATAAGAATACCAATACAATACCCATGGACATTAATAAATAATCATCATCCATTCCATTTCCAACTGTTACATAGACCTCCTGTGTAAAGTTCTGGCCTTCCATTGGCAACTCATCAGAGTATACCAGTTGTACTGAACATGGATTCAGTGTAAAGTCATCATGTAAATCTCTAGAGAGAGACGAGTGATTGGTTTGATTGATTAGGTTTGTAAGTGTGAGTGGAGTGTGTGTGATCAGTTTGATGAGTGATCGAATCCACAGATATATACAACGATCAGTCAATCAATCACCTCATCGTACATACATTTTTAAAGCGTTGATATAAAACTTAATACCAGTAACATATTGTCCAGTGTTTGTAATCTCTGTTGTACAAGGACAGTTATCATCTTTACTGTTGGCGAATAGTATCTCATTCTCGAATATAGTCTGGAGTCCAGTGGCATTGGTTATAATACATGGAAATGAGTATAGTTTCTGGTTATCCATAAAGTCAATACTACTCCAATTTCCATATTGTTGTTGTTCTCTACAATGCATACTGGCATTCTATTTATATCTACATAGTAAGTATATAAACTTTCAAACATCACGCTTAATCCTTATCCTATCTAACCAGTTTACATACAGGGTACTTGTCATGTGGATCGAATATAAGTTGAGGAAAAGGTACTGGTGATGACTCTGATGGATATGCTGGATTGAGTTCTACAAAGCCATTGAAGTATCGACCTGTGTTCTTTACATTGGTGCAGTCATTAGGACCTTGTGAGTAAACAACTCCAATGTATGTTAACAAGGTGATTATGATTATTAGTTTACTCCTCATACTAATAATCTAAATGTTTGTATATATAATTATGTATATCTATCTGTATCAAGTAATATATCTTAATTAAGATACAAGCGACCATTGGTTGTTTCAAAACACAATGGTGGGCCTCCGAAAAAGATAAGATATTTTGCAAAACAGAGTACCCCAAGATATTTTAAAAAGACTTCCATCTTTAGCCAAGATTGGGAACGACGCCAACATCCCAGAGTAATAATTGGATGACCATCCATCCCTGGTTACCAACGAGTTGAATCAACCAACGAATGGATGGACGGACCCACTGGGAGGGAGAAATCACCGCCTCACATTGTACATGATGCAAAGGAAGGGGAGTGAACCAATCACTCACTTTAGTGATTTACTATTGTTGCGATTGATGATGGCTTGCGTGGTGTTTGCTACGACTTGGCGGTCCTGTTGCTCCAAAACATTCGATATCCCACTCGGGCCAATTGTTGACTGGCACGGATGACTTTACAACCTCCTCATAGAGCGATTGAACGTCCACGTTGGTTGGCTGTCCCGCTGCACTACGATGCAGCTTGATCGAGACACCCAGCGCCAGGAAGTACTCTCGTTTGATCTCCTGGTTCTCCTTCTCGATGCGACCACAGTACTCAGAGGTGGAGGCGCCATGCAGCATCTCCCTGAGACTTTGAAAATTGTATACACTCTCATTCAGCAGCTTCTCCAGCTCCTTCAGTCTCTGATCCTTCATCTCCAGCTTAACCTTGTTGTCCGTCTCCAATCTCTTGAGCTCAGCTGCCAAGAAGCTGTTCTGTGATTGATGAGCCAGTGCTGACTCGCGTAGCTTTGTTACATCACCTGATACAGAGTATCTTTGTGATGACTTTGAATCAGACTATTAATGGAAAGTGATTGATTGATTGAGTGAGTGAGTCATCTTCTCCTGACCAATCGCACACACAACTTACTCTACTTCTATCAACGAGCGAGCTGATGTAACGATCCTTCTTCTCGGTCTCCTCGCGGAGCATCTCATTCTCGCGTCTGATCACTGACACTGCGTTCTCTTTAAGCTTGAGGTTGGAGCTTAGATCATCGACACGCTCGTGAAGTGCCAGGATTGTCTTGTCTCTGTTGGCAATCTCCTCAGCCCATGGGAAGTCTGATGCATAGGACCTCGAGGACTTGGTCAGCTCTGCATTCTGGTTCTCGAGCGATACAACTTTGGCCTCGACAAAGACCAAGTTCTTCTTGAGACGGTCGATCTCCTCCTCTCTGAGCTGAAGGTCCAGCTTAATACTTGTCTTCTTCCTCTCGTCCGAGGCCTGCTTCGTGATGATATCCTTTAGCTTCAGGATTTCATTCTCCAACTCGGCTCGACGTTGTCTCTCAATCTCCAACAACTCCTCCTGTTGAACAAGCATCCTCTTTGTCACCTCCTCCTCGATCGTCTTCCTATTGAGTTCCAAATCGATCTTCTTTGGGCTTCTAAGTGTTGGTGATGTGTCCTCCATTGTTGGTGTAATAGTAATACTTTGTCTCCTTGTAGTGTTGTTGTGGTTGTTGTTGTCGTCTTGGTTTATCTTCCTTTGCTGTGTTGGTGATTGATGTGATGGCTGTGCACTGCTGTCAGGAACTGACGAGGGGACAGTGGTAGCATGGGCAAGTACAGACGCCTCACCAGTGTGAGTAACCTGTTCATGTTGCGCGTGTTCAATGTCCTTCAGGTGATTCATCTCCTCCTGTATCCTCAGCTTCTCCATTCTTTCACTTTGCTCCTTGGCTTCCAACTCTCTTGCTGCACGCTCTCTCTCCTCTTCCTGTCTTTGCTTTAGTTTGTCGGCTTCCTCTGCTGCCTTCTGCTGTTGCTGTTGTTGTCTCATGGCATTGTCCAAAGTTGAAGGTCCAGAGTAACTGTTTGATGAGGCTGTGGGAGGTGCCACATGGATGGATGTGGGAGGCTCAGCCATGGAGGCCTTGCGGAAGTCTCGAAGTGAGCCGCCACTGGCTGAAATTGGTGCAGTGTCGATGTTATACTCGTTCATCATGTTGGTCATGCGTCTGAGATCGCCAAGACTGCCGTGAGTGACCGATTGGTCCAGGGCTGTGCCTAGCTTGAGGCTGTTCTGATAGGCTGTGAAGTACTTCTTGTACTCCTTCAGACCTTCGGTCCAGTAGTTGAGGTCCGACGGTTTGAACACCTGCATCACATAGGTGCGGCCAGGCGTCACCAGCTCAAAGCCAGTGTCGCTGGTCTTGACATTGAGCATGTCTGGCAGGTTGATGAAGCCATATGACTCAGTGTCACCTTCCTTCTCGTAATAGTACAACTTGGTGTCCTTCTGTTGGAACCATCGTCTCTTGTAAGTCTTGACTATGCCCTTCTCGCCCTGCTTCTTGAGGTAGCCCTGCAGGAGAGGTGGACGCTGTGGCTCGACCACCTTTGGTGTTTGAGGCTGGCCTGCCAATGCACCCTTCTTTGCCTCCTTACGTTTGTCGAGCACCCTATTCGTCTCCTCAGTCAACTTTAGTTTAATCAGTTGCAGTGTATCCTGTCCCTCCTGTGTCTTGCTCTCCTCATTCGATGATATCTCTTTATACAATGGCAGTATTGATTTGACTATGTTGTACGATTGTTTGATTGATTGTTGTTGGGTCAGTGTCAATCAGTCAGTCAGTCATTCATTCATCAATCAAATCAATCAGTCAATCAACATACGTATTGAAGATGCCTTTGATACCTCTGCTGATGATCCATTGTCTATTAGCTGATGCACCTGATCAAGTAGAGCAATGACCTCATCAAACTGCACTTTGATTGGATTGTTTGAGAATGTAGATGGTGCTATGTATGACATGTCTCTATCTCTATCTCTATCTCTATCTATCTCTCTCTATTACACAATTTAGTACTTATTACAACTACAAATTACAACCACATTAATGTTAATGAATGAATGATCAAACTCTTAATCTCTAAGATGGGGGTGATTGAAAGCAATGAAACAGATGAAGGTGGGGGTCTTGTTTGGTCAAGCTTTGAAAGGTCGGAAGAGTAGTTCACGTGTCCAGCATGCACGACACAATACAACATGGATAAATAATACAACATTGATAATAATCTATTTACTTGTTCTAGATTTCTTGGACTTGGTTGTTGGTGATGGATCGGATTTCTTTGTTCTCTTCTTATGTGATGGTGACTTGGTTTCATCGTCGTCCTGATCATCAACAGCATAGTTGTCTTCGTCATCACTGACAACGATTGATGATTGTGATTGTGATTGTGATTGATATGGTGTTGAGTATGGTGAGTTGTTGGCACTCTTCTTGCCTCTGCCACCTGATGATGGAGGAGTTGATGCTGGCGTCTTCTTTGCTGATGCCGTGGCTCTTGCTGGTGTCTTCTTTTGTGCTGATGTCGGTGTTTTGAATAATGCAGTGGTGTCGAATAGGCCATCATTGGTGTCGTCTTCATCGTCGTCATTGTCGTTCATTGCTCCAGATGCATGGTGGTGATTGTGGTCCTTGTGCGAGTCCTCATCGAAATCGTCGTCTACCGCATATTTGTCCTTGTCGTCTTCTTCATCCTCTGTGTCTTCACCATTCGCTGCTGCTCCCTTTTGCTTTGCCAGTTTGCCAAAGACAGGTGTCATCATATTATCCACTGCCAGCACATTCAAAGGTAAGTTCTCCTCAATGACCTTCAAAACATGAGCCTGATGTGCATCCTTGACATCAACTTTCCTCCTCAAGAATTGTTGTGCCTTTGATATTGCCAGGTCTGCCAGACTACGTATGTGTTGTGATATTGTTAGCGAGAGGCACCACTGGCCAGAGATGAAGGGACATATACATACGCAAGTATTGAGTCACTCTCCTCTTTGTAGACAAAGTTGTGTAGCGCGACCACTAGGTCAGGTTCGGAAATGATGCTGAGTCGATCGGCGGCAGTGTTGTTTAGGAACTCGGGAATGAAGTCCTCCACTCTGATCGTTTCATCCTTTGGTGCTGGTTCCTTACCCTTTGGTATGACGACGGTAGACTTCTTTCTCGTGAACAACAGGATGTCGTTGGGATTGGCCACCTTGCCAACATAACGTTGTCCAAACTTTTGTGGATTGGTCGTGCTGTAGCCTGTGTAGTCGATCTTGAGACGAATGAGCGGCAGCATCTTCTCTGTGGGCTTGCCCTGTGAGCGCTCGGCGGCCAGCTCGATCATAGAGTCCACCTTTTGTGCAATGTAGTCAACCACCTCGGTTGGCTGTGCAGGGTTGATCTTGCTGTCGGCCAACACCAGATTGTCGAGGATAAAGGGGCGGACAGTGGTTAGCGGGTGCGTCTTGAATCTGAACTGGTTCTTGTACACCTCGAGCAAGCCGACAAACTTCTCCTTGGACTCGCCCTCTGAGAGGGCTGTGGCTACAGACGATCCGGGTTGTGTAATGTGGAACTCGCCAACGGCCGACGCCTGAGGATTGATCAGACACTCGTGCTCGTGTCCCCAGACGACAAAGTCGATAAAGTTATCAATCATCTGCTCGTGTACATAGTTCTTGGGGTTGTGCGCCACTCTGTTCTGATGCAGCACCAGAATGTTGAACCACTCGTCCTTGGACTCGATCGGTCGCATCATCTTGACCTGCTGCTTCTGAAACGTTCGATAGAGTCGCTCGTCTCTAATGTTGCCCAATCCATAGATTGCCAATTTAGTCTCGCCCTTTGAGAGCAGCAGTGGGTAGACAGAGATATCATCAATGTCCTCTGTCTTGCCAAAGTAGTTGACCAAGTTTGATACACTGAGTAGATCCAATGCTGCCAGTCCTCCTTCACCAGTTGGGTCATCATGATTGCCATGAATAGAGAACACTGGTAAAGATATATTGAAGTTTGGGTCCTCATAGTTGACTGTGTGGAACCTGTTACAAGAGTGAGTGTGTTAGTTGAAGGGCAGGGATGATGTAGACAATGAGCAGGACGTACTTGTTACAGAAGTTAACGGTTTGATCACTGAGGAACTGAATCTTGACGGGTGTATCACCTAGACAGTACTTTCTGAAGAGTTCAATCGTGCGGTATAGACATGACCTCGATGGTTTGTTGTCATGAAAGAGATCACCACCAAGTAGTACCATATCCACCTTAAGCTTATGTGCATACTGTAATATCTCTTCGAATGAATTGAATGAATCATCTCCTCTAATTGGATCCTTCTCCAAGTATCCAAGATGATTATCTGTCGCTACCAACACTCTCATAATCGATGACTTCCTGTACATTTATTCATTCGTTTGTTGTGTTGTAGTGAGTTAGTTATTGTTTGTTGTAGTTATAATGTGTACAACATACATCTTTGGGTCCTCACTCATATTGTTGTTGAGTGTAGCCTTTGGCTGACCTGAAGAGGTAGGTGCAGCTTGTGATGAAGATGCCTTCTTTGCTGTATGTTGACTTGGCTGTGAAGATACAGGAATGTCCTGATCTACAGGTTGTTGGTCGTCTGTGTCATCCATATCTGTCTTATTATCTATATGTATTATTATTTATTATCAAAACAAACAACAAGTATCTTTTGATCGATCAAACAAGTCAAAACTTGTCAAACCCAACCAAAATTGCCAATTTCTTCGAAGTTGCTAATTTCCTTGACTTCGCGAAGTTGGACAAATTAGTCGACTTGTTGATCATCGATGACAACTTGACGATGAAGTTGCGTGTATTGCTCATAGAATGTTTGGATGAGGTTGGTACTGTGTGTGACGTCTGCAACGCCAGAGGTCTCTCGAATGCTGTGCATGCTTAGTTGTGCATTGCCAATGTCGACTGTTTTGATGCCATACGATCCGGATATGATTGGTCCAATGGTCGACCCACATGCAACATCATTGCGTACAAGGAACTCTTGGATTGGTATATTATTGCGACGTGCCAACTCCAATATGATGAATGCTGATGTGCTGTCGGTGGCGTAGCGCAGGTTACTGTTATACTTGATCACTGTGCCGCGGTTCATAAGTGGGCGGTGCTTGGGCTCGTGTTGCTGTGCGTAGTTTGGATGCACGGCGTGTGCCATGTCGGCAGAGATGAGGAATGACTTGCGCGTGCTCATATCTGTCAGCTGCGTGACGGCGTCATCTTGGTCGCCGGCTCGGGCAAAGCAACGATTGATTCGTGTGATGGTGTCAATGAGCAGTGGCGCACATGCACCCTGTGGCGACGATGAGCCAACCTCCTCATTGTCAAACAGGACGGCGGCCAGCACACTCTCCTCATTGGCCAGATGCGCGTCGTCCACATTGGACAATGCCTCCATCACACAGTACGACATGTTCAGATTGTCCAGTCGCGGCGAATGTATAAACTCTGAGCTGGCTCCGCCAATGGCCGCAGGTTGTGTATCACACACACATAGATCAAAGTTCTGGATGTCGCCCACGCTGCAGTTTAGTTCCTTTGCCAACAGGTCCAGTAGTATTGGGTGGTGCTTGGACTCGAGTCCAGTGCTAGGCTTGTCCTGTACCTTACTGCCATCGCCTCCATTGCCTCCATGGCTGCCATTTCCAGTGTTGCCACCGTTGCCGCCATTTCCACCGTGTCCGCTGTTTCCACTATTGCCACTGTTGGCAGCCAACTTCCCAACGATCTGATTGGCGAGGATTGGCACGACATGATTCTGAGTGTTGTATTTGAAGCCATCAGTGTTGACACTGCGATCCAGATGGATGGCCAGTGAGGGTATCCTGAGCAGTGGTCGCTTAATGTGTACCAACTTAGATTCGAAGCGATCAGGTGCCGTGCGCACCATGACCCTTCCAGCCACACTGAGATCACGATCAAACCAAGTGTACCAAAGGCCGCCGCCATACATCTCGCAGCCCACCTGGAGGTAGCCAGCCGAGTCAACCTTGGAGACGGGACGAACTCGCAGGGTAGGGCTATCAGTGTGCGCAGCGGCAATGGCGAACGGGTTGCCACCGACGAACTTCTTGCCAACGATGAATGCCGATATACAACTCTGATTGCGGATGAAGAGGTATCGCTTGCCAGGCTCCAGTGACCATTTGGTTCGCTCTGACAGCTGAACAAAGCCACACGATATCAACTTCTGAGCGAGTACCGATACAGCATGATAAGGTGATGGTGATTGATCAATGAACTCTATCATTCTCTTTGCCTGTGGGAGGAATGTATCCATTGATTGATCCAACACATCTTTGGTCGAGTCCTTTGGTGATGTTGATGTTGATGATGATGTGTTCATGGTAGCATAGTTGAACCTCTGCTGATGGTCATACAACGTATTAACTGTCATCATTGACATCTTTGGTGATGATTGATAATCCTTCGTCAAATGAGAGATTAAGTATGGATTGATTGATTTAGTTGATGTGGCAACAGATCGGCCACATACATTTCCAATCCTACATAAGTTCCTACTGTTTGTCAACATATCTTTGTTAGTTGTTGTAATAAAGTATGTCAGAATGATGTTCAATGCCCCAAGTTCACCAGTTTGTTTGGACCTCCAATTATTTGTTTTTGTTTCCAACACCAAGTCAAGAACAAGACACAGAGGGTGAATGAAGCTAAAGTCATTTGATCACACATTCACCTTTACAACTAGTTATACATATACAGATAACAATTTTTAAGATACTATATCTCTCTTTTCTGGACTCGTTTAATCAATCAATCAACCAACCAATCAATCAAACTAAACATTGATATTGGGTGTCAAGACCCACTCACCGGACAAGGACGACGACGACGACGACCGACCAAACACAAAGACAACGAAAGAACGAACGAAGGATCGAAGGAACGAAGGAACGACACAAACAATGCAAGAGGCATACTTGAATACAAAGACGGTGGCACAGCTAAAGGTCATTATTAGGAACTATGAGAGTGCCTCTCAGTTATCATTTAAGATGCCTTCGAGGAAGCTTGACATCATTAAATTGATCATCAGTCATAATATGGTATCAATGGAGGAAATAGAGAAAGGAACAACTATGAAGAAGACAACTGGAAAGAGACCATTTAATGATGACGAAGAAGAGATTAGTAGTGATGCTGATGATATCGACATTGCCAAAGGAAGGTTGGATGGAATGGATGGAATCAGTGTTGATGACGATGATGTCATTGATCTAGACAAAGACGATGACAATGAAGATGACGAGATGGATGATATAGACATGTCAAACAACAAGACAACATCAACGACAACGACGACGACGTCGACAACTTCGACCACATCAACTGTTAACAACAGCTCAAACAACAACAATAATGATCTTATGTTGTTAGACAACAACAATATCAATGGTATTGTTGACACTTCAAACATATGGTTCATGAATGATGAGGAGACAACACGCAACAAGAAGTACAAACTACGGTCATTCAACAACTTTGAACAAAAGTTCAATGCAAAGACGACTATTGACAACCTCTTCAAACATTACTTCAACGAGAAGCGAACATTGGACCAGTTCATCCTTGCAACCTATCCCCATTGCGGCACCGTAAAGTGTTCAAACTGTAAGTCACTCGCTCAATCGATCAATCAATCAATGAATGAACCACTAACTCTCATCCATATATCATCTCACACGACGTAACAGACTTGTTCAGACGATGGTACTTTGTTTGCCTGACATGCTCGAGTGTAACCACTCGCTTCTGTATAGAGTGCTTCTTGAATGGTAAACATCGTGAGGAGAATCATAGATACTCGTTGGTGTACAGTCCTGCCATCTCATGTTTGTGCGACTGTGGCGATGCTGATCTGATGAGTCCAAACGCATTTTGCAAGAATCATCGACATGGCGCAGACGTGGCCATGAAGGAGCGATACATCAACGCATTCCCGAAGTCACTACGCGCAGGCTTCCAGACATTCTTTGCCAAGCTCATTGCCATTGCCGTAGACATGGGCGCAACACAAAAGTCGTACAGCATCCACGAGTCTGAGATCTCACACATCATCACTCATCTTGGCAAGGCGGCATCACTCTCGCCTCTATTCGTTCATCTGATTGCCGAGGAGTTTACTCAGCAGCAACTCAGTCCACAAACGTTTGACCTGATGAACCCCATACCACTGCATGCTCAGCAACAACTACAACAAACAGCGACCGATCAGAAGCGAGTTCAAAAGCGACAAAGAACAACAGCATCATCATCATCATCCAACAACAACAACAACAATACATTGGCAATCGATCAACCTAATATGTCGTCAATTGGAAGTAACACACCTCTTGGCACATTGTTCACATCTCATTTGGACTTCTCCACCAAGTGCTTCTATCTGTTCGCCGTACTATCCTATCACCACAAGCAGTTTGGCCAGGTGTTCTTCCAGCACTACCTCAAACACTTTACACATTTGATGCGGCCACAGCCTCGCATCGCCGTTGCCGAATCATGCTATCATCTCCAACACTTTTATCTCAGTCCTAGCTCCATCCTCATTCCCTTTGCCACTGGCAAGTCGCCACTCAATCTATTACAAATACTCGTCAAACACTCTGTATGTAATCACGATGATCAATCAATCAACTCAATCAATCATACTTATTCATTCATTCGATCACCAACCTTTTAGAAATCAACCATGGACATAATGCACGCGTATTGTATAAAGAACAATATTATGTCACTATCATATCGATTCGAGTCAAAGATGTTCCCGCGTCTAATGTCCAATGCACAGTGCGCCACTTACTTGGCAACTAATAAGCCATTGCTTATTGGTTTCCTCGAGCTGTGTCAATTCTTGCACTGCTTTGTCACACCAGCATTCAAGTTTGACAACGTCGTGCGTGAGCTGAAGGACCTGATCCACCTGGAGTTCTGTCTGGTCAACAGCGTCAACCACATGCTTGCCAACCAACAAGGCGCAGACACACGCGAGCTCACTCAGTTCCTCATAGTCACGGCAATGGGTCTCACCAACACCATCCAATACCCGCCAGTGCACACACATCAAACCAACAAGAGTCGTGGCTCACGTCTCATATTCCCACTGCCGCGCATCGTCTCATTGGCCGTTCTACACAACAAGGAAGAGAACATCGAATACTACATCAACCTGGTGCGCAACACAAACTATGGCACCGCTCTCAACGACACACTGTTCAACATCTCCTACTTCCGCGTGTTCTACTACGCGCACTGCTTTGGTGCACGTGGACACAATGTCGAGGACTCACACGTCATTGCCACGCCCTCGGACGTTGAGAACTACAACGGCTACTTCACCCAAAAGACAATGATGCTGGACTTTTTCACATTGCAGCTTCTGCTAGCGGCCATGGGACCGCGCGAGTTCCTCCTCAAGCTAATCGACGACCCGTTCAGCACGTTCAGCAACAAGACCTCAAACATCGACCTGCTCAAGACGATCTTTGAGCTCCTGATCAACATCCTGCAGACCAGAGCCAGCCTCCAGCTGACAGATGATCAGCTGCGGTACCACTATGTACAGGCAGCGGCCTCTGGCTTCTTTTACTACACCGAGATGCTCGACTTTGGCCAGATGTACAGCAAGGTGCCTCTTGAGAAGAAGAGGCGAATCCTGGCCGAGGTGTGCAACGACACCACCGCGCTCAAGATGACTTTGAAGCCCGAGCTGTGGAACCAATACGACCCCTACTACTGGGGCTTCGAGTATAGCTTCAAGATCAGATTCCTGGATCGTTCGCGCAATAATCTACTGGCCTATCAGAAGGCCAACAACATTGCCGAGAGCCATCCATGGTTCCCCATCCAGGCGCCACCCTTGGACGACAGCCTGGCTGGCATCAACAGGATCTTTGAGGAGACGACTCTGTTTGAGCTTCTGCATCACATCATGATGAAGATCCTGCACACCAACTTCAACTACTTGAAGAACCTCGACCACAAGGTGCTCAACAATCACTTCCTCTTTGGCAAGATCTCAGCCACCTCTGTTGTGGTCATGAACGACATATTCTATCTCTTCCTGATGGCCCTGCAGCACTTTGACGCAAGCTGTCAGACGATGGGCGACGCGGCCCTCAGCGGCATCCACAAGACCATTCAGGAGTACTTCCAGATCGCTGAGTCAGCCAAGCCCTCAAAGCGACTCAACTATGATTGGCGTGGAAACAACGCCGTAGTGAACATACTTCGTGCTCACTCACCTTCATTCTCTGGCGTGCGCAAGATACAGTGCACGTCCATCCTAGACAGCCTGTTGCACTATTGGAAGAGCAACACCGATGATCAGAACCCACTGCTACTGTCCATTCTCAAGCGATTGGCACTGTTCGACACCAACATTGATCACTACATCAGAGCGCAGGGAGTGGTGATACATCTGCAGGAGCAACAGGAGCAACAGCAAAAGAACAACGAGGACGAGGAGCGGGAGGCAAGGAAGCTGATGCTGGCCAAGAAGAAAGAGGAGATCATGAGGCAGATGAGAGAGAAGCAAGCACAATTCCTTCAAAAGTCATCGCACCAACAGCTCTATGACGAGACTGATATGCTCTCTCCTGCCTCCTCCACAACACCAGACAGCACAACCAATGGCGGTGCGGCCACACCACCAATCACCTCAACAACGACAACGACAACGACAACAGAAGCGAACACATCAACAACACCGACATCCACAACGACCACGACATCAACCAAACTGACAACAATACCCGATCAACAACCTCATGTACATGAGGACGACATCAAGATATGCATGATATGCAGGGATCGCGACAACACGTCTCCGCTGTACACTGTGGCCAGACTGACCAACTGTACGTTGGTCATGAACCAACGCATGGTGGCACTCAAACAGATACACAATGATATACCCGACTCGCCAATCAGACAGATGATTGGCACATTCCTCGAGCATGCAGCCACGCCATCCTACAAGAAGAACGACGACAGGAACGCCTTCTTTGACAAGCGACAGCTGCCACCCAAGGTGCTCAAACAGTTCCCGCTGATGTCCGAGTTCTTTGCATCTTACTATGAGCTACCCAGCTATATCACCTCGTGCCTGCACTACGCCCATCGCTCGTGCATATCCCAGTCGATCCAGAACTATGAGTTTGGCTTCAGCTGCCCTCTGTGCTCTGCGCAGTCCAACATCCTGGTGCCGATCGACGTCAGCAACCTGACAACCGAGGAAATGGGCCGCTTCTTCCTCAACTTCCAGGACCATGACATTGAGGAGGTGTACGAGCGACATCTGTGGGGCATGGTCTACTCCAACCTCGAGGTGTTTGAGCTCAAGTCCCGTCTCATGTCTGAGTACGCCGTCGACGAGAAGGGCCCCTACTACATCATGACCGACCTCGAGTTCAAGCAGGAGCTGGCCACACTGCGTCTACTGTTCAGCACGATCATCAGCTGTGAGGTGCCGCCCTACTCTGAAGACATGATACCAGTGGACGACAATCTACTCTATGGCATTGATCCATTCTTCATGTCCACCTATCTCATCTACCTTCGTCGACATCTCGATCCAAAGGACACCGTATTCAAAGGACTGCAGAGATACATCTTCAACTTCATTGTCATGCGATCACTCAGCACTGAGACCAAGTCTCACACTCAAGTTGCGACAGCCATTCGTGCAACTTACAAACAGTTGCTTGGAGATGATAATGGCAATGACAACAACAACAACAGTGACACCATCAGCAGCAGCAGCAGCAGTGGTGAACAGTCACTTCGTCGAACACTGGACAACTACCTATTCCCAATGCATCGCAAGATGTACTTGTTCAGCTGTTTGGCCAACTATAAGGAGAACCCCAAGTTGCTCAACACATTGACACTTCAGAGCTACTCATCATGGCAGTTCATCGCCGATGGCTTGGCACTGCCCTCACTGGACAAGATATTGGACACAGACACATTGGAGGATATGATCAAGTCTATCTCTCAATGCAAGAAGAACTCAATCTACATCCCCTCGTCCTACAATCACACGCCAAGATTCATGCATCTACCAGAGAGATATATTGTAAGTTATTTGATTATGAAGGTTGTTTACATCATATGATACTAACTCTCTAATTCATACATATATAAGGACTTTGTTCTCCGGAACATTCCAAAGGCAGTCAGTGAGGAACCCAAGCATCTTTGTCCACAGTGTGAGAGGACCAAGACATTTGCCTGCATGAGCTGTGGCGAATTGACCTGCTCATCAGATTGTCCATACTCATTCATATCGGTATGTTGTCGCTCACTCACTCTATCACTCAGACACAATCAATGTTACTAACCTTCAAACAACAACAACAACAATAGCATCCAAAGAAGTGCGTCAATGGACTTCACCAAGTGTTTATATTCATAGACATCACGACCGGATTACTTAAAGTTGTGGATCTGGACCGCGACGTTATACTCTACAACAATGACAGCTTTAGCATCTATTTCAACGACAGACATGAGCCCAGTACCATGACCAACAACTCCATGACCCTCTCCAACAAGAACCTCCAACAAATCTATCGCAAATGGATCAAGATGGTACCAACCAACACTCTACAATCAATGGACTTGGATATCCCGCACTTTCTGAACCTCTAAGTTCATTTGTCTTCAAGACCAATCCCATAACATGAATTATAAATAGAAGTAGCAAATCATTTTTGTTTGGACTCAAAGCGGCACGCACACATCTCATCGACCACGTCAATGTTACACACTAACTCCACTCACTAACTTCCTCACTACTTAATATTTCTCACTTTGAGAACAATGATGTAAAACACGTGTGGTTGATCTCTGTTGAATAAGTCTGACTCCCTCATTATTGCACTTTCGCTAATACAACAAACATACATTCATACACACAATACTGTATTCCGTAAAGACACCTCCTACTCTGTTAAGTTCAAACACATAACATCAAGCATAAGCATTGGTTGTTTACACCAAACATATAAATACACACATACCAATTATTATATATATTCTAGAAATTAGAGCTTAGCTCATTAGGTCCATCATCAAAAGTATTACTTTTAGATTCATCATTGTTGTTATCAACATATAAAATACATACAATACAATCATACAACATATCATATCAAAGACTACATTGTTGACTCCAACAACAGTCATTATATAACCAACAATAACAACAACAATACAATCACTTGCATCAGTTCTTAATTCTTTGTTATAACCGTAATGTTTAATCTACTATACGATGAGAATGATACCAAGAGAACACATACAAGAAGACTCAAAGAGAACCTTTGAGGAGGAGTTTCCAACTCTCAACGACGCAGCAGCAGCCACAAACAACAAGAGAAAGGGTGGCAAAGCTAGAAACAACAAGAATAACAACAACAATCCACTCGCAACATCGACTGAATCGTCAATCAACAATTCTGATCTGAGTGCCTCATCAGGTGGAGGCCGTGCAAAGAGTCCCCAAGTGGACCTTACCAACTACATCGACTTTTCTGATGGCACCACGGACTCGTGGAAGAAGAGAGACCTGCTATACTACTGCTTCGTACAGAGACATCACGAGGTGCGATTCATTGCAGAGTTTATCGAGGAGGTGGTTCAGATGTACCACCTACCAACCAACAACCTACTGGATATTGGCTGTGGCCTTGGAAGAATGTTCTCCGAGTGGGAGGCCTCCAAGTGGGACTCGATCGATGCCGTCGAACCCGACGCCGACTACTTCCTGTTCTCGCTGGACCACGCCAGACACACCTGCGAGAAGGTCACCGTGCACAACTTTGGCTTCCAAGAGCTGTGCGTCCAGGAGAAGTACAATCTCATCACATCGATCAATGGTCCATTCCAGTACCTCACCAGACTCGAGGAACGTCTGATCGCCATGAGGAACATGTACAACGCGCTCACACCCGGTGGCGTCCTCATCATTGACGTGTCCAACTTCCTCGGTGGACTCGCTCACATGACCTCGCACACTGCCGAGCAGATGAAGCTGGTCAACGGCGTGCCCGTCAAGAGGGTGTCAAACGTTCAGGTCGACTTCCACAATGCCATATGGAGTCACAACGACATCTTCTTTAGTGTGGACGGAGGCGAGAGTGACCCAGATGGACTGGGCACTGGCTATGGCGATGGCAGCTACGTAGTGGAGAACCGTCAATTCTCCATCCTCACACTGCCTGAACTACAATTCCTCTATCTCTCGTCAGGCTTTATTAACATCCTCACCACGTCCAAGTACTGCTCACGATCACTTCGAACTGGAATGGCGACCAGTGAGAATGAAGGTTCCAGGATCATAGTCATTGGCCAGAAGCCTAAATAGATCATCAACATCCCAACTTAGTAGTGATATGTTTGAGTGTCGTGTATTGACATCACACCTCCACCACCTCAACTATCTTACGCTCCCCATCTCCCCAACTTCCTACTCCAACTCCCAACAACAACCAATGTATATATATAAACAGTTCACACTTAATAATAAACAACTTCAAACTTAAAATAATCTATCTATTCTCCTTTAACTCCAATGACCATTGGCCAATGATCTATGATGTATCTTAAATTATTATCAAAGATGCGTGAATAGTGATTGGCTTCCACAACACCTTTCGGAAAGATATTATTAGGGGTGGGAAGATCAGGTGACCCCTCCGTTGAAGCGTCGTTTAATTAAATATGAAGTTTGACGAGTCTAACGAGCTAAGTTGATTGATTGATTGATTGTTCAGTAAGGGTCACATGATCATTCTCGTTATTTACTCCCACACATACCAATACCTAAACACAGATATAGCAACCAAACATTGACATAATAAGACAATAACAGACATTGACACACATTAGATTGAACCCCATCAGCTGAACAAATAACACTCTTCCCAACTTTAGACAAGTAAGAATCAACCAACCACTCTTGCTACCTACTACCACTCGCATCTAACACACATAAGCAATCAATCAATCAATCAATCATTCACTGATACACACCAATCAATCAATAAACACACATACTCTCACACACACTAAACACTACTTCCTGATCACATTTATCAGCCAGGCACAAGCACATCACCAACACGCGTTCAATTTATATTATGTGTTGAACAAACAAGAAACAACCTAATTATAACACTTACAAACAAAGTCAGTCAGTCAGCAATCAGTCTTACCTCAAACGGCATATTCAGGATTAATCACAAGACAAGTATGCTCGTAGTATTTGTATTCCACAACAATAACTTCACACTTTTGTCTCACTTTTATAATCACAAGCATTAATTTCCAACACCATCGTTGTTCTTGTCTTGTCCTTCCTGTCAATCACTCAATCAATCAATCCATTAAACATATTACAAAATAGGCACTTGGTATATACCAACATCGATCGTGATCAAGAAATCACTTGGCTTTAAAGTACATCCAACATCTTATAGCTATAAAGGTAATTATTATATTTATATTTATTATTATTATTATCCATCTATCATCCATCCAACAAATATTATAATCATCATAATTGCGAATTTATTGTTATAATAGCCATCCATTTATCCATTATTGATTGGTTGGATGGATGGATTAAAGATCGATCTCATCGCATCACACTGTTGATGTTAATGGGTTGTAGTGGTGTGTACCTTTTGCGAACAGACCTCATTATCCTCGAGAAATTCAAAGAGTTGTGAACAGGGTGTTGTGATCCTTGTGGGGAAGGCACATGATAATAGCACACTCGCACACACAAGCACCTAAACTCACTTGGATTCCATCCTTCGATCCATCTCACTCGACTGCCACTCAATCATACATTACCTATCCACCCAATAACAACAAACATCCATGGTACACCTCGTTGGCATTAGCTCCTCTTCAAGACCAAACCCATACTTACATCTACTTCTTCCACTTCTATTCATTCAATCAATCAATCAATCAATATGGTATGAATTTATTTAGTTTATTAATAATATATTTGACATCCATCCATCTTGAACATTGAAGGAAAGAAGGATGGCTAGTATTATTAAGAAACTAAAGAATTCTCATAGTGAGAAGAAGAAGAATAATAATCATCATGATGAACCACATGAACAAGTCAAGCAACTACAACATCAACATGGACAACAACAAATAACTTCAATTATACCTATTCATTCACGTGGAGGACATTTCAAATCTAAATCTTCTACAACAGCAGGTAAAGATGGTGCCAGCAATCATCAGCTAATTGAATACCATCCAACAACAAATGACCAGACCTCAACCAGACAATCCACATCATTGTTTGATCTATCACATCCATCAATCTCAACCAACACCACCAGACACATGCCAAACTCAGTGTCCATGTACATACCATCACAACAGTCTACTGCCACTCCAACTTCCAACACATCCACCTCATCACAGCCMCAGCCACAACAACAAAATAGACCACACGGATTGACCAACACATCCACGAGCAAAAGGAGTTTCCTGGACTTCACAATCAACAAGAAGAAACATCAACAACATATCCAGAATGCACAGAATCAACAGATGGCCAAGGACAATCAGGAGGAGTTGGAGAGACTGAGGGAAAGGGTCAGCCAACTGGGTGCCGCGAATGAGAAACACTCGCGCGATAGACACAGGAATGATGAGGAGGTCGAGACGTTGATCGCAAAGAACAGGGATCTTGCTCAGAAGAATGATTGCTTGATGAACTTGCTGCGGGACTACCAGAGAGACAACGAGTTGCTGCGAAAGACCATCGAGGAATTGACTTCTGTTGGATATCAGGATGCTGTGCAGGAGGAGGATGGGGCACAGGACCAAGATGGTGCCGACACAACTTCGACGACGAATGACCAGACAGTGATGGTGGAGGACGCCATCGCTTCGATCGAGGATGCCATGACCTTTATATTCACCAACCAACATCCAAGACAATTGCTGAGGAATAGGAGCTTCATCCTGGAGAAGATTGAGACAGTTGTTGAGCCACGCGAACTACAATATCCATCGTCATCATTGCAAACTATTGAGGAGAAGGAGCGCAAGACCATCGTGACCTTTAGCAATCTACTCAGTGCCAGCATGAAGATGCCATCGCCCATTCAATCACCTCGATCGCCCCTCGTCAAGTCCTCTCCAAGATTCCCCGCGCCAGTAGTGTCATCGGGCACATCCTCGCCACAGATCACCATCGTCCAGGCACCGGTCATCCAGTCCTCTCACCCCTCGCCAAGTTCATCAGCCATGTCCACTCCCAAGTCAATGTCGGAACTCAACTCACCTTGCTCATCATCCATCATCGACTCGCCCGATCTATCCATGTTGAACAGCTCTTTCGGCACGCCTATCCGACCGCACCTCTCCCCGCACAGCCGCACCAAGTCTCTGATCATGGCGGTGAACAGTGGAGGGGGCAGCTTCCCCTCGAGAAAGGGCAGTAGCGAGGACCTGTCGCTCTCGCTCAACAGTGCCACGTCGTCACCAGACAGCAAGCTAAACAGGAAATTCAACACAGTAGGTGCCAGCAAGCTTATGTTCAGTAGCAATGGCATTTGTAATGGTGTTGGCAGTGGTAGTGGTGCAGCGTTACTCAGTCCAGGTGGAAGTATAAACAAGAGAGCATCAATACTTGTACAAGGATCCAAGAGTATAATATCATCGTACCAACCATTATCAACATCATCACGACCTGTACTCAAGACACCGTCCATGCCAATCAGTCCACAATTCGATCCAGTCAAACATTTCAAACAACCAACCGAGTTGGAATCATTGAAGAAGTCATTCAAGCTGTGATACTGCTGTGATCGAATAAATGAAAAGTTGTTACTTATTTATTATTATATATCTACATATAAATGGCTTTTAATGTCATCACTCAGATAATTATATTAAAATATCTAACTTATTCTGACAATGACAAGTGAACATTCTATTCTGTTCTCTTCCTTCCTGGCACAACACACCTCTTGCCTTTGGTTGACCAAAGATGGATTCATTCGAATCAATGAGATGATTCATGCCCAACTTTTTTATTATTTTTTTAGAATTGGGAACGAAAGGTCATCGATGGGACAAGCAAGAGAATCCTCCAATCTCCCATTCTCACACAACCACCATCCAATCTCTCTCACTGCATTCACTCACTCACCAACTCCCTCCCTTTGTTCATAAACATACTATTAACAATTATTATTATTTGTTACTTACTTTTGTTATTACTATTGTAAATCTCTATATTATACTTAATAACATAATATATCTAACATAAGTGTAGCGAATAAGAAGAAAAGTAAAGATGGCGCGAAACAAGAATGATGATTCAGAAGGTGATATTGAACAGCAACCACTGTTACAACAGAACGATTATAATGATGATATTGTTGTAGAGGAACCACAGAAGGAAAGCGCATGGAGGACACAGTTTAATGCATTGAAGGCATCGTTGGGCACAAAGGAGGGTATCCTCATCATGGTCTATGCTCTATGTTATATCTTCTCTGGTGTGATCAACTCTGTTCTACTCAAGTTGACAATGAACTCATTCAACAACTATGGTTTCTTTTTGAAGTAATTATCATTCATTCATTCATTCATTCAAACATCGACTTCAATCATGATTGATCGCAGGACACTCAATCAATCAATAACTTGGAACAATCAACTGACTGAACCCTCTTACATCAATCACTTTGTTGTTTAGTCAATTGACAAACTATGGATTCATTCCAATCTTTGGTTCAGCAGCAGCTTACAAGTTATTTTTCACAAACGATATCCCTAAAGAGACTCGTGACTTCCCAATTTATAAATTCTTGATCATGGTAATGTCCAATCAATCAATCAATCAAACAATCCAGGATCCATCAATCAATCAACTAACACTCACTCACTCATAATGTAGGGAGCACTTGATGCAGTAACAGGTTACTTTGTAGTTATTGGAGGTATTGGTACATCAGGTCCAATGCAACAACTACTGAATCAGGCAATTATCCCATTCACAATGTTGACTTCATTGATATTCCTCAAGCAAAGATATACTTTGGTACAGGTACTAGGCGCATTGGTCATTATTGCCGGTGTGTTCATCTCACTGGTGCCAGCGCTCATTGGCAAGTCTGATGCCAACAACAAGCTCTTCTGGAACTTCTTCTTCCTGTTGTCCATGATTCCATTCGCCGCGTCCAACGTCTACAAGGACATTGGTTTCCAATCGGTCGAGGACATGGATGTGTGGTACCTGCAGTTCTGGGACTGTTTCTTCCAGGGCATCGTCGGCACATTCCTTTTCCCAATCAATGACATCCTGCCACCACCCGCCACCGTCAAGTTTGACCAGGTCATCCCGTCGCTCAAGGACGGCGCTCTGTGTCTTGCCGGACAAAACTCAATCACCAACGCCACCAACCCATTCTGTTACGAGCCCTCGGCCACCATCCCCTGTGACAACTGCCACAACGCCTACATTATCGTCATCTGCTACCTGACCATCAACATCGTCTACAACGTGTTCATTCTGCTGGTGCTCAAGCACGCCGGTGCCACCGTCTACTCGATTGCCAACACAGTCAGACTGCCCCTGACCAACATTGTGTACTCGATGAAGTTCTTGGTGCCCGCCTCCATCTACCAGCCCTTCTCCCTATACTCTCTGGGTGGTCTACTAGTCATCCTTACGGGCCTGATCACCTATCGTGTTGGTTCCATGATCAAGAGTAAGAACTCTGCTGCAGCCGGCGAAGTGGAGCAGCCGCCCAAGTTCATTCCTGGTATCGGACCAGCCGGAGTGGATGTTCTGCCCGCTGGACCACTGCAGAAACCATTGATAGAGCCCAAGACACCGGCCTATCTTCGTAACCAATTCTTTGGTAAACTAGGTATCCCCATTCCCGAGAGTAGATATAGCGCTGCCAACAACAATAGTTCAATCAATGACGTCGAGGAGTAATCCAACCCTCATTCGGTCCGGTCCGCTCCCCTCCCTCCCCTCACCAACCTAATTAAACGTAACATATATATATTTATATATAACTCTCGCTTTCCACTATGGATCTTCATTGCAACCATTGGCAAAGCACGTGATCAGACACCTAATAGTGATGATGGATGGTCATAACAAACATATAACAATGACAACTAACTATTGACAATGACCATGTGATCAGTGGACAACGATGTCTTTGCTTGATCATACCTCCTATGATCTGCAAACTTTATTTGATAATCTACACGTGTTCTGATCAAATCAGGACAAACAGTGTCACATTTAAAAAAACAATGGGAACCACGATCACGTTTAACTTCAAAACCGAGTTACCCGGTCCTTGTGCACATGTCCATCATTTGACATATGTCTTTCGTCTTCATGGTATTGGACATCTTAATGTCAATACAGGATCACAACAAACGATTATTATTATCATTATCCATAATTAAATATTCAAACAAATAATAATGAAATACTCTAATTTAATAATATTAATATTGATATTTTTCGTCTTTTCCATTTCAGATAATATGTAAGTGTTTGAAAGAATGATTAATCAATTGATTAATAATTAATTAATTAATTTTATTTCCATCTTACCTTTTATTTTTTTGAATTAATCTGAACAGATGTCAAGCTCAGTTCCCAACATTGTTATCATATAAACATGACTCTATATCAGTTATAACAATCAATGGACATGACTTCCTTGATCAACCTACAAACATCATATTCGGTACTCTGAACATTAGTGCACCAGTACCTCTATCCTCTACTCTACTCGTCGTTCCCTTGCCCGCTGATGCTCGTAACGGTCCACTATATCTTGTGACTAATGGTGCCAGTTCCAACATCATCGATGTCAAGTTGACACCATTCATCAACAACGTATCACCCTTGCTCAACTCAATCGGTGGCTACATGACCATCACTGGCTACTTCTTGAACACACTACGTTCAGACTACCTGCCCACCAACATCTCGGCCAAGTACCAATGTGACTTTCAGTTGTCATACTACTGGGATCGCTATACCTACAAGTATCAGTTCAACGCCACGTCCAACCCAAACAACAATCAACAACTGGTACTTGTCTATCCCCAAGGTGTTGGCAACCTCACCGGTCAGCTTGCCATCGATGGAGTCAACGCCACCGGTATCTTCACACCCAACTATGGCAACATCACAGTTGTGTCCTATGAGCAACCCGACGTCAACAGTCCCAAGACCATGGTGATGACTGTTACCAACTTTGTTTCAACTCTGAGTTGGATCCAGTACTACCCTACATCGAGCAGTAGTTCCAACTACCGATTGGACCTTAAGTGGATCAATGCAACCTCATTCAACTTCACGCTCGAGCCATCGATCTACAGTGGCTACACCTACTTGTTCCACTCACCCGAGCGTATCAGACTGATCTCTGGCAACTATCAACCTGATGTGATCATCTATCCAAGGTCATCACTCAATGTGCTAAGAGGTGTATCGACCAAGGGTGGGCTGCTCCCAGTCAACGCAACTATCTTCTCAATGCTAAAGTCATGTACCATTGGCAGCAAGACTGTTGCTGGTCCGTTCGATGGCAACAACATCACTATCCCTGCTGGTGTCGGACTACAGGTGCCACTCAATTGCAATGACTCTGTTGGCAATGCTCTGCTCACCACTGTCTACTTTAATTATGGTCCATTGATTGGTGCTATCAACCCAGTTGGTAACAAGTTGGCGATCACTGGTGTCAACTTCCCTCAGTCAACATTCATCAGACTCTTGCAAGATGGAACCCAACTCAATGCCACCTCAGAGTCCACTCCAACACTTGCCAGCTTTGTAATCTCACCTCTCACTCCCATCACTGGTACACTCAACCTCACCAGCAGTGGTATCACAGTTGGACCCTACCCATACAAGGGCAAGCCTTGGATTGACTCCGTTGTCATCTCACCCATCTACTCGCCCAGCACCATTGTTGATGATGCAGTCCAACTTACATTCTCTGGATGTTTCCTCAACATTGGTACCTACAACTACAGCGTCACAGTTGGTTCGACAACATGCATTGATGTCAAGAACTTTGGAAATGGTCAACTCACATGTGTCATCCCAATCCCATCGACACTTCCCTCGTCCCTACCCGTTGTCATAACAATCAACTCAATCTCAAACGACCCTTACACACTCCAAATACCCTTGTCATCACCTTCAATCACCTCCATAACACCCAACTACACACTATCATCCACAATCATCAATGTACATGGTAATGTCAATGGTGCCCTCTTGGTCAATTCAAATGGATTCATTCAACAATCATGCTCCCAAGTCTCACCCAGATTGATCACTTGCACTCTCAATGGACCAGATCTGTCAGGCAGTGTCAAGGCCTACATCCTCGGTCTCTACTCTGCTCCAATCTCGTTCAACTTCAACTCAACAATCACTGGTAGTTCATTCATCAACGATGGATCATCACTCACAATCACTGGTAATCAGTTCTCGCCATATGCCTACTTCACAAGACAAGGTGTCAACAACTTGTATCCAACATTTGTGACCTCCAACTTGTTGGTGATCACCCTTCCACCTTCGTTCCAGTCTGGATCATTCAACGTCGCCTCTTCAGGATACCAATCAAACTCACTCATGCTCACACTTCAACCAAATATATCAACACTCTCATTTGATCAGTATGGCATGTTGATCACCGGTCAATACCTTGACTTGAAGTCTAGTGATAGCAATCCACTTCCATTCAACCTATCCGTCAACTCAGTCCCCTTGACAGTTGTGTCGTTCAGCTCAAACCAGATCAACTTCACAATCCAACGCCCTCTTTCCAGCAGCAATGGTACACCACTTGCAATGATCACAAAGTTGTCTGTCCTTGGCCTCACATCAACACTCCAGTCCACTCTCTCATTGCCCTTCATTCAAACTTCAACATACAATCATATAGATCAATCGGTTGTATTCACTGGAATGAACATTGACATGTTCAATGTGATCATTGACAACAATGGAGTGTCCTCTGATCACCCTCTCAATTCATGGAATCAATCATTGAGCATGATCCAGTTCCAGGCCACTGGAGAGTCCATCTTGTCCTTCACATTGACCTCAGCCAACAACACAATCATTAGTAATACTATTACATTACACGTTCTCATTCCATCGATTACTACAGTATTGATCAATGATAACAACAGTGTCACAGTTCAAGGTAATAACTTACTCGGAGAGTATGTTCAGTTTGGAGGATACCATCCAACCCATTGCACTGGTGGAGGTTTGAACACATCCAATCCCTTAACATGTGACCTTAGTCAATGTAATGGATGTCTAGACTCTTGCAACTTCATGACCTACAATAATGGTATCACCAATTATTCAACTCCATATTCTTCCTGTAAGTAATACCAATCCATCCACATTCAACCAATCAATCATTTAATGAAGGCTCTAACACTCAATCATACACATAGTGCCAAAGTTGATGAACGCCACTTCAAATGGAACATTGGTCAATGTAACTGCCAACCTCTCTTGTTCACAGTCTAAACTTCCAAACCTATTATCATTGTTATCCATCAGCATTGGAGGTACTCAATGTCATTCAATCAGTTACATCGGAGACAATTTATACACATGTCGATCCAGCACAGCGTCAGGATTGGTGTCACTCACTGTACTTGGTAGATCATCAAACTCGGTACCACTTGTCTATCTTGTGCCTCCAACACCATCTCCAACTCCCACCTCAACTCCCTCTCCTTCACCATCTCCATCACCATCACCATCTCCAACACCATCATCATCACCACAACCTAATACTGGATCAACTGTTCTTCCATTGTCACTCAAACATATAATCACGATTGTCCTATTACTATTACTTGTAGCCATACTTTAGGCTCTCTCTGAGATCAATAAAGTAGTTAATATTAACTCATCTTTACCAAATTCAGAATTGAAGTTCATGGTCAACTTACAAAAGTATGGCGAATTGACTAACGTAGGTCATTGTGCCTGACTTTCACGACTCGGTGGTGATAGAGTACAACTGTAAGATGACAGCGAGTACAGCATCTTCGTTCACCACTCAATTGAACAAATCTACTACCAATGGACAGGCCATAGCAAAGCAAAAAAGAATTATCATAAATCAGGACATGATCGCACGATCAATGGCACTCGCCTTGTGGCCCTGATTCCCATTACCTCATTATTGACATGACAACCAACTACAACAACAAGTACTATTTGTTACCACTTATATCTACCACACCATCTTAAAGAATGACAACGGAGAAGACTGATATCAACCTCTTGCTCATCGGACCTGACGGCGCAGGCAAGGCCACCACGATTGGCCACCTGATGTACAAGCTGGGCCTCATCAACCAGCCTGATATCGATCTAGAGAAGTTTTGCACCCCGATGGACGGTCCGTTGAGGTTCTCGACCAACAACCACAACTTCACCGTCATTCACACATCCAGCCACCGCGACTTCATTCAGAACATGCTCACCAACAGGTTCCAAGTACACAGCGCGTTACTCGTTCTCCCTGCGACAGAGGGCGAGTTCGAGAGGGCCATCGCTCAGGAGAGCCAGACCCGTGAGCACCTTCTGTTGGCCAACACGTTTGGTGTCCGCCAGATGGTCGTTGCGATCAACAAGATGGATGTGGAGTCTGTTAACTATGCCGAAGCGCGCTACACCGAGATCGTCGAGCAGACTTCAGCCGTCCTCAAGCAGGTTGGCACCAACATTGACAGGGTCAAATATGTGCCCATCTCTGCGTTGAACGACGACAATCTGGTCGAGCTCTCAACCAACATGCCTTGGCAAACAGAATCCACACTTCTCCAGGCCCTGGACGCGCTCGTCGGAGACAGGAATCCATCGAACATGCCACTCCGTATCGCAATCAAGGAAGTTGCCAACAGTGGCGGCATGCTGGTGGTCGGTGATGTTTTGACTGGCATTATCAAAACTGGCATGACCGTCATCTTTGCGCCTTCTGGTCACACTGCCAAGGTCACTGAGCTTGTGAGCTACGAGCAGGAAATCACCGAGGTCGGCCCTGGCAACCAAGTCATCTTCAGAGTCAAGACTCTTACGGCCAAGCAGGTCAAGCGTGGAATGGTGGCTGGCGACCCCAACAACGAGCCACCCTTTGAGGCTGCGAGCTTCACCGCCATGATCAACGTTCAGAGCCACCCCAGCGAGATCAGTGTTGGCTACACACCCGTCTTCGAGTGCCACAATGCTAAGGTTGCTTGCCAGTTTACCAAAATCCTCAACATGGTCAACCCTCGCACTGGCGCCGTTCTCCCAAGGGAAGGCTCGAGCCCCCTCATCTTGAAGACTCACGACTCGGCCATTGTCGAGCTCACCCCCGTAAAGCCCCTTTGCGTGGAGAGGCTAGCTGACTACCCGAAACTGGGACAGCTGACAGTGCGTGAGACGACCCAGTCTGGTGTTACTGTTATCGTCGGCAACATCAAGAGTGTGACCAAGAAGGTGCCTGCAGCTTAAGCCTAAATACCGTCAACCTTCAGTCCAACTCAAGTCTCTAATACAATGTACCACTTGAATATCTCGTACCTCCTTCACCATCTCCATCATCACCACCACAACAACTGTTCCAGTTTGAGTTGGACACGTCCTCATCAACTTCAAGGGTTTGCCACAGTCAGTCCTAATATGTGGGATTTTTGTTTATAAGCTTAAGCTGCCTCTCGTCCGACCTGGAAGAGAGACTCGATGTTCAGTTTATCCTGAGGGACAATCGTTTTGGTTGTTTGGACACTGTTCTCGTTGAGTCCACTGACATTTGGTCGTCGGCTCGTGGTAGGAGCACTAGTTATATGTGGGATTTTTGGGCTTTAAAAGCGTTGAATTGTGGATTTGGGCCACATCAGCTCGATTAGCTCAGTCGGTAGAGCACGGTGCTAATAACGCCGCGGTCGCAGGTTCGATCCCTGCATCGAGCAAAACATTTTATAAATTATATTGTGTAACATGAGGAACGTGTTTTTTTTTTTTTTTTTTTTTTTTTTGACTAGAGTGGAAGTTTATTATTATTGCAAATAAATTGGCGTCATTGAAGAGGCGGGATAATATATAAGTTAGTCGATTTTGAATTTTCTTGRTTTTTTTCTTTCTTTTCTTTTCTACTGTAGGCCTCTGAATTCGGCCACCAAGTATTTACTGTAGAAACCGAAACGAGTGGTACAGTTACTATCTGTTACTCGATCACTCAATCTAGCAAAGTCAATACATCAACTCTCAATCAACAACAGCTGTACTCAGGTGAGTGCCCTGTCACAGATTACAATGGGAGCGGAGTCATTCTTCGTTTCGGGTCTTACCATCAAAAAAAAAAAAAACATTTGTACACTGTGAGATTTGAACTCACGCTTCCGAAGAAATTAGTGCCTTAAACTAACGCCTTAGACCAACTCGGCCAAGTGTACTGATGAGTTGCAATACACAAATTTGAAGGTTTTATATGTAAAAAAATGGGTTGGAAGCACCAGTCTATGATTGATGTCTGCAAGTGATGAGGAATTTATTTCTTTTCATACTCCAGAATGGTCTTCCAAATGGTATGTAAATTGTTGTACCATTTCATCAGATTGATGACAAGATACTTTGGCTGCTGTGATGATGGGTCATTGGGAGAAGTGTGTGTCCTTACCCAATCGTTGAAGGCACCAATGTTGTCCTTGCCTTGGATGATCACCTCTTGAAGATTCTTAGACAGACCTTCCTCCTTCATCAACTCAACGGATCTGCTCTTCAAGTTGATGATTCTGTTCAATAGAGCACTTATACTTGACATTGTCTCGTTGGTTTGCTGTGCCTGGTAGTGTTTGCAATAATCGCCAAACACTGTTTGTAGGTTAGAGGATGGGCTGAACAATTCATTCTGAAGTGTTGTGATCTCCTGGAATGTATCCAACAATTCTCTGATTGTCTTGTTTTGGTACTGCTGCTGCTGCTGTGGCGTCTGGATTGGCAGGTGCTGTAAAGGTGGAAGTGGCTGTAAAGCTGGAAGTGTTGATGTTGGTTGAGTTGGTAGAGCTGTTTGGGGTAGGGAATGAAGAGGTTGGAGAGGTTGGAGAGGTTGTAGAGGTTGTAGAGGTTGAAGTGGCTGTAGAGGCTGAAGAGGTTGCAGAGGTGGGAGGGAGTAACCAAGGGGATGAGGCTGTACATTCAGTGTCTCGGTTGGTGATGCAGCATTGAATTGAGTTTGGCTGTAAGGCAATGGTGGTAGAGTATGTGATAGTTGAGGTTGATAGTTGGGAGGTGGTTGATAGGAGAGGTCGCTTGTTGATTGGCTTGGTGATGTGGTTGGCGTATACTGCATGGTGGAGGTGGATAGACTCGATCCAAGGGAAGGTGACGACGACTTGAGTGTTGTCGTCAACTTGGAGTTTCGCTCAACCACTACAGCCATGCTGTCTCCTAGACCGTCCTGTTTGATTGTGGTGGACAATCTGTTGGGACTGATAACCATTGAGGTTCTCTCTTATCMAAGCCTTGTGGGTGCTCGCGGACTATTGGTGCGTCCTCCTCCTCCTTCTTCAGCGTGGACTGGCTTGTGTCCCACTCCTTGACGACATGTGACAGTACCTGGAGCCACTCGTGTTGCTCCACCGCTCCTCTAGCATAGAAGTACAGGTGTTCGTTGCCAAGCACTGCAAATCCGTGCTTGATCTCTTGGTCCTCTGCGGGCAGAATGATAGTGTTCTTGAGGTTCAACTGAGTCATCACACTGTATCTAGGGGAGTTGTCAAAGAAGGTCGACACTCTCTTACACACGAGCAATGAGTCATTGAATAGGAACAAGTGTCTCTCTGTCAGCTTGCCTCTCTTCTCAAACAACATCACGCCATCCTTGATGTGTCGTCTGTGAGGCTGGACCAGTTCAAGGTTTGTTGTGAGTGAGCCTTGAATCTGGATCATCTTCTCGAGTCCTTCGGCATTTCTCTTGCTCTCATTGATTGACGATGCAACACTCTGGATTGCCTTGAGTGCTTGGCTGATCAGTTCGTAGTCCTGATGATCGGGAGGTGTATTCTGGAGTAGCTCAGTGAACAATAACTTGTATCTTGGTATACGTTGAACTGGCTGGATCTGCAAGTCAAGGAAGTCCTTGTTCTGCATCAATGGATTGGACTTGCAATCCTTGAAGAAGAACTGAGTGATCTTGGAATCACGCTTCTTGCACTCATTCAATGTGTTGAGAGCATTGTTGAAGTTGTTGATGTAGGTGGTGTAGAGCTTGAGGTATGGTGTGAGAGTGAGGAAGCAATCTGCAATGGACTTTTGATGGCTCCAATCATTCCAACGCGACTCCAATGTGTCCAGCAACTCCTTGTGCACACCATAGAGCGATGTGAAGTTGCCAAAGATTGCCGTGATCTCTGCCGGTGTCAACAAGTCCTTCTTGGTCGTCTGCAGTGGCTGAAGGAACTGGCTAATGATCAACTCCAGACTGCTGACATATGCTCTCTCCGTGACCAATATCTCCATTGTACACTTGTTCCTTCTCTCAATCTTCAGACGCATATTCTTGTATCTCCTCTTTGCCAACCATCCTCTGACCACTGCCTGTATCAATGTTATCTTGTTGGCAACCTGTAGATTGAGTGTGAGTGATTGATTGAATGATTGAATGTTTGATTGAGTGCACTAACATACATCAATCTCTCTCTTCCTTGATGATATTTGATACTCAAGGGCATCGATCGAGGCGTTCCTGCTACCAAACAACCTCTGTTTGGCCTCTTCAAGTCGTTGATGTTCACGTTGTAGGATCTCCTGTCGTAGGCTCTCATCAATATTGTACTGTGCCAACAGTGGTTCGATCTCACCAAGGTATTCATTGAACAGTTGATGCAACATGAGTGACTTCCTGGCAAGCAATGCTTCCACTGACCTGGTATAGCTTGCTTTGGTGTCCTCCCAACGCTTCACCTCTGTCAACAGCTCATCGGACACTTTGAAGTAGACCTTCTCTTGTTTCTTCAGTTGTGCAGCAGGTGGATGGATAGTGCTCACCTCCTGGAGTTGAGGCATACCATCCTCATAGTATTGTTGCAATTGTTCATGTTGTTCATATTGTTCATATTGTTGATATTGTTGTTGTTGTTGTTGTTGATGTTGTTGTAACAATGATAATGGAGGCTTTGTTGACTTGCTTGGTACCTCTGGTGCATCAGTCACATGTTTGAAACCAGTTGGAGCTGATATTACAAACCCATCTTTACTATCTCTCTTCTTCTTCTCTTTCTCTTTCTCCTTCTCTTTCTCCTTCTCTTTTGCTTTTGCCTTCTCTCTCTCTTTCTCCCTCTCCTTCTCTTTCTCTTTATCTTTATCCTTCTTTGATGTTGGAGCTGATGATGTAGCTGCAAGTTGTTTATCCTTCTTTAACAAGTCTAATTGAGATCTTGACAAATCCTCACAAATCTCACTAATATCATCATCCATCATTGTTAATGTTGTAGTTGTTGTAGTATTACTTCATTAATTTAATATAACTTGTAGAGATAGAGGTGATTAACAATAAAATGAAAATGGATGTGTGTTTGTACTTTGATTGAAAGGGGGTTCAAACTTGAAACGACATCTTGAGCCAAAGGTTTGGAATGATTGAATGAAAGGATGATGGTCATGGACATGGTCCATGGTCCAGGGTAAGGAAGGGTATGGACAACATTTATTTGGTTCGATAGACACTTAGGATCTCCTGTACATGGAGAGGCGTGTCGACATCTTCGGCCAACTCATCACCTCTCTTCATCCAACTGTGCTCTCCTCCTTGACCATTGGATGCTTGCTTGCCCCACTCCATCCTGTTTCGGTTTAGTACAACATCGACCTCTTGCTTGATGGTTGTCCTGAGCTCGGCGAATTGTCTCAACATCAAGGACGTCAATGTTTGATTGTTTTGCTTCAGAGTGTCGATCAACAATCTGATGCCCTTCTGTGTGATTCCATTGTGTGTCAGATCAATTGATCTTAGGGTCTTGTTGCCAACGATCAGTCTGGCCACCTCTTGGGCACCGCCATCCTCCAACACATTGTTGAGTGCACCCAATACGAAGGTGGACTTGTTGAAGCCTAGGTTCAGACTGAGCAGTGTTGGATGGGACATGACCGCGTCGACGACAGCCTTGGCACCAATAGGTCCAATGCAGTTGGAGCCTAAGCCAACTCTGATGAGCGTGGTGTCGTGCTTGAGACCGAGTGCAATCTCACAGGCACCGTTGTCTCCAAACTGGTTGCTGGACATATAGAGCGACTCCAACTTGTTCTGGCCATTCTCAAAGTGCTTGCGAATGGTCACGGCACTGGCTGGCGTCAGTCCGTTGGCATCAATGTAAAGATGTTTGAGCGTTGAGTTGTTGCTGGTCTTGAGCGAGTTGAACAGAGTTGTCACTCCCTCATCAAGTATACCACAGTTCAACAGATCAAGTGTCTGAAGGTATGTGTTGATCTCGAGCATTCGGGCCAATGGACGCACACCGCCAGGCAGGAGAGGATTACGCTTCAGCCACAGAGCCTTCACCTTGGTGTCCTTGTGCAGTGCCTCGGCGATCAGTGTGATACCCTCCTCATCAAAGTTGTTGCCGGCAATGTACCAAGTGTCGATCTTTGAATCTGGATTGTACTCAATGTAGTCTGCGATGGCTTGGGCACCGCCGTTGCCCACGATATTGTTACCCAACAGCAGCCTCTTGATCGTGCTGTGCTGGCGCATGGCACCGAGCAAGGGCTTGATGCCCTCTGGACCGACCACCTGCTTGCACAGGTCGAGTCGGCCATCTGGCATGCATGTGCCCCTGGTGAAGGCCATCGGCGTGTTGTCCTTGAGCTGGGTATTGGCCATCATGAACTCGAGCAATGGGTCCAACTCCTCACGTGTGCACTGGACCACAGGCTCTGGCTCCGGGTTCAGCACGTAGCCAGAGGGCTTGCCGTCGAGGAACTTGCGACGCTCCTCATCGGTCAGCACGGTGGCGCCACCTGTCTTGAACATCTGCACGGCCTGGTCCACGTGCTTGGGTGAGCTGCCACGAAGCAGGTTGGACAACTTTGACACGATCAAACGATACTTCTCGTAGCAGAATCCCTTGACAATGCCACGTTGGACCTCGGATGCATCCTCGCGTAATGTTGACATTGGAGAGATATGTCTGGCGATTCCCTTGGCCAACAATGCCAATGTTCCATTCAAACGTGGAGCCTCAAGTGCACATGTCGTTGGCCACTTCTTTGAATGATTGGATGTTGTTGTTGTTGTTGTTGTTGTTGATGATTCTCCAAACATGAGAGTGTAGTCATTGGTGAGTTGGATGGCAAACTTGGAAATGATATGATAATGAAGATCCTCGAGGAGTGTCTCGTTGTCATCCATGAGTGACATCTCAATGTTTTGATCGACGAGCAGTGACAATGAGCAGAGGTCACGCCATGAACCATACTTTGGGAACATGTCAATATTGCCAAGCATGGTCAATGGATGAGCAAGGTACAGTTGCAGCCAGAGTCTAAAGAACACTGAGGATTGATTTGTCTCGGTCTGTTTGAATTGCAGACGTGTTGACCAAGCGATCATAATAAGATCCTCCAATGCCTTGGCGTTAGTGCCAGGGCTGAGCTTGCTCATTAGTGTGGCGAATGATGACTCATCAACAGAGTCACGTAACAGGGTTGGCTGTGGGTTGATGAGAGATTGGAACTCTGGTGAGTTGGCCAGGTGGTCACGTGTCGACTGTGCAAGGCCATACAGATGAAGGGCAAACTTCTGATCGACCACGACCAAGCCAGAGGTGTTGGCGGTGATCCTTGCCTTGTTCTCCTTGTATGTAACCTCCATCATCTTGTCGAATGTGTCGAGCTCTTGATGAATGTCAGCAGCGGGAAGTGATTGAGTGGAGGACTCTGATGAACCCTCAGACTGGGACGAGTCATCGGATGTCTGTTGCTTCATCAGGAAGCTACGAATGACTAAGCTGGGCCACTTGTTTGGTGCAAAGTGACCACCTTGATGCTCGACAACCTCCGAGTCGGTGAACAGTGTTGACAGCTCTCTGCTTCTGTCTGGAGAGACGTGGTCATCGGCTGTGCCAAGGATAGTGAGTGCGGGCACACCCGAGACGAGTCCAACCTTCATCAACTCTTGATGAATGTCAGCACGCGACATATAGCCAGAGATCATAATTGCGAACTTGAAGGTGAATGGAAGCTGATTGGCTTGTTGCATGGCAGCAAGGATACCGGCAAAGGCAGCACCCTGTGAGAAACCAATGATACCATCGAATGGACCCTCGGTCTTGAACAACTCCTCGAGGTAGTAGTGCGACTTATCGATGTGGTTGTAAGTCTTGTAGTCAGCTGAAGAGTTCCACCATTGACGGACGTGGGTCTTGGCGGATTGAGCAGAGTCGGTAACATTGGCCCAACCATTTGCCTTGTTACGGTTGTCTGCATCAACATCATCCGATGGTTGGTAGATCATTGGAGCGTTAGCATAGTACAAGGTGGCAACATCTGAGATAGATGTAGCCAACTTCTTGGTGGCCTTCTTCAATGATGTACCACTTTGCTTGATACTAATGATTGATTGAATGAATGAGTGAGTTAGTGATTGATCGAGTCAACAGTTGAGTGAGCAAGGATGAACATACCCATGAAGGAACAACACCTTGAGCTTGGGTGAGTTGTTCACTGTGGTGGTGGACTGGGCGGTGGATGATGTGTCTGCCTTTGACTTGGAAGATGAAGATGAAGATGAAGACACTTGGACTGACTTGACAAAGGTGCTCTTGGCCATTGACAGATACTCCTTCTCCTCATCGGTTGAAGGTCTGTTCAACAGGATGTTGCGATGTGGATACCTGTTGAATTTTTGGATGATCTCCAGGTGGCTGCGTGATGCCTTGCCAAACTTGACAAGGTCCTTGCGTTGTTGATAGGGTGAATCATCAACGATTGACTCCATCAACAGTGTGCATCGCTCCACATGCTCGACGCGCTCAGAGTGCTCCAGTGGAAGATAGATGAAAACACGCTCGGGCAGAGAGTAGTGTTGAGTGTGATCATTGTTGGCATCGTCCAAGATGCTGAGAGCCAATGACAGTGCGAGTGGATCAAACTTGAACATGTCGGATGATCCACGATACATGTTGCGAGACAGTTGATCAAAGAGAATGAGCAGAGCGATCCTGCCACGGGACATCTGTGACCAGCGTTGGTACAGGCCGCCAGGTGTTGGACCATGAGTGGCAGTGGGTGCAGTCTCAGCAGCATTCAAAAGAATAGCCTCATAATTATTCTTTATCCTTTGATCAATTGAATGATTGCGACCGAACCATAAACGAGACTTCAAGTTATACTTCTTGGACAAGGGTGACACTGGACCAAACCAGAATATGTACAACTCATCAATAATACGTTGATCCTCCTCATTTGTTTGAGGAACCTCGAACACTTGAGTTTGAATTGGAACTGGTGTTTGAGTTTGATGGTCATCCGTTGTAGGATGCAGGGGTTTTGGTGGCATGACCACAGCAATATTAGACATTATTGTATTTGATTAGTTGTTGTTAATATTAATAATATTAATAATAATAATAGTTGGTGAGATAGATTATATAATGATGAGATAGTAATAATAGTAATATTAGTGTTCATATATATTTGATTGATTGTTATAATAATAGAATTGGATAATAATGAATTCAAGTCCGACTGGAAAGTCACAAAAGTTTGTCGATCTTGAGGCAACCCTCCGATCGTCCCCATTCTTTCCACTTTTTTTTCTTTGCAAGTTCTCGAGAATAAGCACAAACCCCTAATCGACGATTGAATTTGAATGGAAGTTGATGAGGGCAAGGGTAAGGGTAAGGGTAAGGGTAAGGGTAAGGGTTAACTGTCCTTGGATCTACTACCACTACTACTCTTATCCAACAGCATCTTTATGATCTTCTCCCTGCGGTCCAGTTTATACATGTCCATTGATTCTTGCCGTTGATCCCTTCTCTTTTGTCGATCGTCCAGGAATACTTGATGATCTTTGGTGGCGCGTGCAATGTCACCAATGGCACGATAGGCTTCCGCTCGTTCCTTATAGGCTTTGGCATGCTCTGGATGATGTTCAATGCATTCGGTATAGTCTTGGATGGCCTTGTCAAATTGTTTCAACTGGTTGTAACAACGACCTCTGTAGAACTTGACAGAAGGATGTTCCTCCTTTGCCAAATAGTTCATCGACATTGTATAATCATTGGCTGCCAGTTCAAACTCTCCAATTAGAATATTACACATGCCACGTCTAAAGTAGTTGTTACCGAGTGTATCATTATCCAGCACTGAGTGATGATAAAAAGTAAGTATGATGTTTGTTTGATATGTGAAGATTGGCAATGATGGGATACACTACCATATACTCGTGATGACTTGTAATAGTCAACATAGTTGTTGAAGAAAAGGTTTAGGAGTTGAAGTGCCAATGGTTCTTTGTCTGGATGTTGTTTGATTGATTGATCAAAGGTTAGGATCGCATGAATAGTCTATGTTGCCGATTATGGTTCATACCTTGCACAATGAGCAACTCTGCGGCATAGGTCTGGGTCGGTGGATGGTGATACGAACACGCCATTGCCTTGTCTCGTAAATAGAAACATGCCAACATCTCTGGTTTGGTACCCTTGAGCAAACATCTTCCTTTTCCAACATATCCATCAGGTTTACTATCAGCATGGGCATGAGTTAGTGATTGGAAGACAGATTGGTCAGACACTTTTGCCAGGCTACTTACTCATCTGCGGCTTTGATAACAGCCTCCCATGCAACGATTGCCTTGTCTAGTATTTGCATGGCATCTTTGCCTTCCTTGTCCTTTAGGAATTGGAGTTCATGTTCGATCATGAATGCCTGAAGAGACAGTAACTTGTAGGTCTCTGGATGTGAATATGGAATTAGACGTAATGCCTCCTCCAGTGCTTTCCTCGCGTTTGCAAGTTGACCCAGTCTGAATCGTATTGCTGCCAGTCTTCCATAGACCAGTGCAATCTCAACTCTATCCTGTGCTTTGGCCAATCCTTGAGATGCAAGCTATGTGATGAATGTGTGTGACAAGTGTCAACATGTCGTCAGTCAATCATTCATTCCTTAGCATTCATTGAATGTGACACACGAGTGAGTGCACTGTTGCCAGAGTGACCTACATACAGTGTCCAGTGCCATTTGGTATTGGCCCTCCTTGTAGTGCTTGTCTGACTGTTTGATCAATTGATCGAGGTGATAGTTGAAGTCAATGACATTGTCATAAGATGTTGTTATTGTAGTCTGTTTTTGTTGTGTCTTCTTTGGTCCGCTTGTACCTCTGCCACTGCCACTGTCACTGCCACTGCTACTGGTTGAGTACCTAGCATTCATCGATTGAATGTTAACATCATTGTAACACGCACTACGTGTAGTCGATTGTGATGACAATGACGAGTGACAGATCCATTGAAGTAGTGGTAGTGGTTGCTGTTGCTTGTTGAACTGTCGCTGTTGGCCCATTTGAATTGACAATGAAGGCAATGCTAACCATCTATGAACAGTACTAATACTAGTACCAGTATTAGCAGTGATCAGGGTGTTGCGGCATCCATTCAGCAGTCTTGACATTGCCATGTTGTTGTTGTTATCTCGTACGTACTACTACAGCAGGCAGCAGTAGTACATTGATTGATTGATTCGGCAGATAGAGAGTGTTGGAGTGAGAATGAAAGAGGTGAAACGAGTTGAATGATTGAATGGACTTGGTGTGACAGGTCATTGTTGGCTGGGGGGAATAAGCTCTTCCTCAACTCAAACACACCACATTGTTTCAAACACGAACAACAAAGTGAAAATCAGGTGTGGCCCCTTTTGGAATAATTGACCGAGTTGGCATTCCAGCTCGGCCCATTACCTTGATTGATTGACTGACCATCAACCATTTAACTACACTCCATTCATACGGTACAATATGAGAGTAGGTGTCGGTGCACATTGATTGATTGACTGTCCACATGGTTTCAATACTGTCTATAAATACTCTGCCTTTTTGTTGCATCAGGTTATCAATTTGCATCATCTGTCTGTCTCTCTATCTCTCTTTACCTCTACCTCTAATATCCCTCCTTCTCTCTCTTGTAAATAATAACTTATACTTTTAACTTATAACCTATCACATAACTTATTACTTTAACTCCTTGTACCTAATATTATTTATCCAATTAACAATACAACATGCCAAGGAAGAGAATCCCAAAACCATCTGCATCATCATCCTCAAGGAGAAGAACCAGAAAGTCCCCATTGTAAGTACCATCACTCAATCAATCAATCAATCAATTAATATGTCCATTGATTAACTAACATACATTCATTGAAGTACTCTAAGTGGTGAGTTATCTCAATCAGAGAGGAAACAAAGACATTGTGAGAGTGAGAGAAAGGGTAGGGAGAAGAGAAAGTCATTAATGGAGAAGTTGGCTTCGGTTCATGAGGACTTGTACGGCCCATCTATTGAGAAGTTGACCCATGCTGATATCCTGACCAAGGCCATCCAAGTTGGAAAAGAGCTGCTAGAGTTGAAAGGCAACCACCTTCCATATTCGCCAGACACCTCGGTCTCCGATGATGATGATGACAATGAAGAGTCCGACGCCATCTCGTCTTCCTCATCCACGCCATCCAACTCCATCTCGCTCTCCAACTCCATCTCTCTATCCAACTCCAGCTTCAACGCCTTGTCATCATCATCCTCCTCCCTCTCGGACAATCCGCCATCCAGCCCTCTATCGATCTATGATCCACCATCAATGTCCGGCAGCACCAACAGGCTGCAAATCCTGTCCGATGTCAGCCAGACCATTCCTTCGCCAAGACCAAATGCGGAGTATGTGCCCGAGCTGGATCAGTCCAAGGTACCTCAGCTGCCATCTCTCAATGAGTTCATGGATGGTATCCATGACCTGATGTGCCTGCCATACTTCCTATCCCGCGCCGACTCCATCAAAGAGCAACAACAGAGATTGCAAACTCAATCCATTTGTTAGTCGCTCTACAATCGCGCGTAACCAATTACCTTCCAATCCATATGCTATCCAATCCATTCCAATTCAATTCAATTCATTCCATTCCATTCCATTCAAAGTAGAGACTGACTGGCCAATCCAATAAACTGTGTTGGTGTCCTCCAATCCAATGATTAAGCGTTGATCGGTTGCATATATATTATTTGATTGATTGTTTGATTGAATGGATTGACTGAATGATCGATCGTGACTACAACTCTGTCGATTGATTGAGTACGATCTGCTTCTGTAATGGGATGAAGTTGCCCTTCTTTGTGAGCTGGATGGGCTTGATCATGATGGTGGCCATTATGAACCAGAACACTGTTACCGAGAACACGACGGTGTAGGCAACGGCGTAGCTGTACTTGGCCTTGAGCGAGTCGATTATCAGTCCACTGATCAGTGGGGACAGTGCCTGCGGGATCATCATCGATTGATGCCATATGCCCATGTCCTTGGCAATGTCTGCGTTCTCTGGCAGCACGTCCAGTGCCAGCGCCCAGTCCACAGCCTGGTACGCGCCGTAGCCCATGCCAAATAGACCGCCCACGACAAACACCATCAACAGCGACGGCTTGAAGCTGAGCAGCATGAAGCCCAGCGTGCACAATGCCATCACGCCACTGGAAATATAGACGCAGAGCTTGCGGCCGTAGCGATCCGAGAGCGGGCCGGCAATGATGCTGGTCGGCACACTGGTGACGACAATGACGATGAGCAGGTAGGATGCGTAGAGTGCTCCGTTTTCCACGTGGATGACGTCCTTGAGGTAGAACTGGAAGTACTCGAGCACCGAGTACACGCCCATCTCCTGGAAGAATCGCGTGATGATCACCCAGTGGAAGTTCTGGTAGGTGTCGCGCGGCAGGTGAAACGATTTGAAGAAGCGCTTGACTGTGAGCTTGGGCACGAAGCCGGTCTGAGGTGTCTCGCGCACGCCTATTAACGTAGGCAGGGTGAATAATAGAAGTACAATGATTAGATATAAATATTCCATGAGCAGAGGTGGTGGCGCGCCCTTCTCGTTCCTGAGCATGAGCAGGGCGACACCAGACAGGCCAAACAGGTTGCCAAGCGCGTTGGCAAACGCCAGGAAGCCGCTGGCTTCGCCAAAGCGTTCGCGTGGCACCAGGTCTGGCATGAGGCCGGCGAATGGACCTCCGCCCCAATTGATTCCAAACTGGACGCCAATGGTGCAGAAGATGAACAGATGAATTTGATGGCCTGGGAATGCCGACAGGAAAAGGAACAACGATGCCACCAATGTTCCCGACATTATAAACACACGTCTCTTTCCAAACTTGTTCTTTGAGTGATCAGACAGCCATCCAGCCAATGGTGCAGTCGTAATAGATACCAATACTCCAAACAATGGCATCCATCCTGTATACTTCTCCTTCAACTCCTCTCCAACAATGTACTAAATGGGTAGGGGGTGGTGGAATGATTCCAGAGTCAGTACGATTGATTGATTGATCGATTGAATCATGCTTACATTGATCTGATTGGGCCAAATGATGGATGTCATTGCACTCATGATGGCACTGTACGCGAACCAGTATGATGAGAGACAGACGTAGAACTTTAACTTCTTCCATTTGCCTGTGGGCATTGATTTTGAATGATGCCGTATATGACTACTGCCTTCAAACATTGTACCGGCATCTTCCTCATCGTCCTCCTCAAGCATCTTAATATCATTCATTATAAAGTTCATCTCTCCAATGCCTCCTCCACCTCCACCACCACCATATACATCCACATCATCATAAGACTCTGTCATTATCCTACTACTTGGTTGTCTCTCATGCATTGTCATCAATGATTCATTATCTATTGATTGATTGATTGAATGAAGTGTCAGTCATGTACATGTTGGTGATTCAATCTCAATATATATATATATATACCTTTTATATCATCGTCATCATATGAATGTGTAAGCATTGGAGACACCTCGCCACTTGTACTCATATTGAGTGCATTGTGTCCAATCGAACCACTGTCCTCTAGACTGATTGCAGGTCCATTCCTCTCATAAGCATCATCTTCTATACTATTATCATCTAATACACTATATGAGTTACTAGACTTTGACATTATCTATAATATATATATATATCTCTATCTCTATCTGTAAATGTATATGTCAATTTTGTCTGTCTGGTCTTGAGCACCAATGTTGTAGACGATGGTTGACTTGCAGGACATGGCTGAAGCCCCACTTGCTCCTGAACTAGCTAACACCACGTCTTGTTCCCAAGATCTTTGCTTCAAATTCAATTCAAAGTTATTTTGGTGCTGGGGGTCATGTCTTTTCAATTCTTTCCGATCCCGATCTAATGTTCAGTTGCAGTTAGATAAAGATAGAGGTAGAGATAGATAATGATATATTGTGTTTAATAGTGGCAACAACAACTACAATGACAAGGATGTTTTTACATCTCAATACCATTGTCATAGTATTGGAAGACGTCGTAGAAGTAGGTGGAGAAGGTGCTGACGGCAGAGAAGGAATCAAAGACAACTTTGGTCATGTGCTTGGCAGCATAGGTCTCACTCCTGCCTGGACAGAATCTGTTGCGAAGATGTAATAGTGTCTGCTCCTTGAAACATGGTAATCTGGTGTCGAGCATCAGCTCCACCAGTGTGATGATACTGTCCATGTGTTGACGTGCGGCCAAGAATGCCCTGACCGACTGCTCCATGAACCAAGTGAACTGCTCTGCACCAGGCTTGCCACCCATAATATCAATCATCTCTTGTGACATCTTGAATGGTGATGCCTCAAATGTGAGCAAGTCGCCTCCAGGTGATATATCAAAGATGAATCCAAAGTCTGTTGATTGATTAAGTGGAAGTGATGGGTTAGTCTATGTGGAATGATTCCAACTTGTGCCAAGCTGATGAACACATACCAATGTGAATAATGTGACCTTCTTCGTCGACGAGGATGTTGGCATTGTGACGATCCTTGATCTGGAGGATGTAGCTGACGACTGAGTAGGCGGCCATACTTCTGATGAAGTTGCGTCTGGCATTCTGGAAGCCAGCACTGTTCTTGTGACCATACTTGGAGATGAAGTAGTTGTAGAGTGTACCGTTGACCTTCTTACCAATCTGGTCACGCGACATTGTGTTGGGACACAGCTCAATCATGCCACAGCCGGGCTTGGTGGCGATGACCTTGTAGGGGAACAGGAAGAGGTCGAGGCCCACGCTGTTGAAGATACGCTTGAACAGGTCGATCACCTGCAGCGCCAGCATGTCTTGACGGATGTCGTCACCAGACTTGAAGATACAACCTTGGATCTGGACGGTGTTGGATGGCTTCTCGCCGTGCTCCTGGATGACGCGACGAGAGTGTTGCTTTTTCAGACGGGACGACTCGCGCAGATTGGTAGAGGAGCTGGCCAGTGCGGCATACTGGGTCTTGAGCATCTCGGGCAGCTTGGAGGTGGTTGTCGATGCAGAGATGTGGTGGATGGGTGGCGAGTCGCTGGGGGGCGGCGATTTGACGTCGGGATGGGGGGGACGCTGAGCCTCGGGGATCTTCCTCTCGAGCACCTTGAAGTTGACAAGGATGGGCACCTTGGCGGCCGACTGGAGTGTCATGGCCGACTCAATCTCCAGACCAATGACAATGTTCTTGGGATTGGTGGGCAGGTAGAGTGGGTGCTCAGGGTCGTCGACATGGTTGGACGACAGACGACGCAGCTCCTCCTTCAGCTGGCCCTTCCTCTTGGTCGGGTCCTTGTTCTGAAGCAGACTGCCACTGATCGATGTGAATGACTCAAAGAAGTTGAACTCCTTCTTGAAGTTCTCCAACGTGCCTGGCACCATCTCTGAGATGATGCGCTCCTTCAGGCGCTTGGCCACCTCCTGGATCTGGGGGTCGTCGATCATTTTGCCAGTGTTGGGGTCGGGCTCGGTGTACGTCTGCACGTTCCAGATGATCTGGTGCGCCAGCAGCTCGCTGGTCTTTGACGCGTTGACCAGGTACTGCTCGACCAATCCAGTCTTGTCATAGCGAAGCGCTTGCACCAGCTGAGGGATGTAGAACATGATGGTCTCGGGAGGGAAGTTGCGCAGCACACGACAGGCATACTGCGACACCAAAGGATGCGAGTGGTACGACTTGCCGAGCAAGGCGATGGCTGCAGGTGGGGTGACGGTCTCCCAGTACAACAGGTACTTGAGCTCGGGGATGTTGGACTTGACATTGTCCTCGGTGACTAGCAGAGGGAGGGCCTCCGGGATGTTGAGCACGGACTTGGTGTTCTTGACCACCATCTCGCTGAGGATACGTCTGATCTTTGTCTGAGGGAATCGGGTGCTAAAGTGGATGGCCAGACGAGGATTGATCTTCCATGCCGACACCAGGTACTCCTTCCATGTCGACTTGATCGACTTGGGCAGGTTGTCATAGGAGAACTTGAGTTGCTCTGGGATCTGCTGTGACAGACGATTGATGGGGTTGTTCCAGGCGGACATCCTCTCCAACTCGTTGCCAACCAAAAGCAAGATGAGGTTGCGATGCTTCCTCAGCTCCTCTACCAGCAGGTCGTTGGACATTGGCTGCTTGTCTGCCTTCATCGAGTCGATCAGTGATTGGGACAGGGAGAATGAGTTGGCGCTACTCATTGTACCAATGCCACTACCAATGACGTCCATACGGATAGAAAGCAAGTCGGCTGTGAATGATGATGAGTTGTTGTTGTTGAACGATGTTGAGGTCGAGTTGGTGATGCTGGCCGACGAGTGAATGACACTGCCACCACCTGCAGCGGCAGCTGCACCAGCATTCTGTGTGGCCAAACCGGCCAGCTGGATGGAAGCGCGTTCAGAGCCACGACGAAGTGTGCCGTTTGCCTGAGTCATGGACGAGACGGTGCCCACCGATCCTGTCATTGTGTTGTAGACGTTGCGGTCGGCGTTTGTAGCAGTCCTGTCTCTAAAGTTGATTGTGAACCTCTTGTCGTAGCTCGCGAACAAAGACTCGGTCTGGAGACACTTGCAGAAGTCGATCAGTGTCCTCGTGTCGGACTCAAGCTCGCCACTCGACTCGGACAGACCGTACCAGATGGGTGGCAGGTAGAACCAGGACAGAGTTGCCTGATAGACACGCTGGCGTAGCAGCATTGCCATGGCCTGGTCGCCAATATGCTCGCCCTGCACAAACCTCATTGCCAGCAGAAGCAAGGAGAAACGTGTGCCAAGACTCTTGGGTGACACGCTCAGTATCATTGGGTCCGAAATGGCCTTTTGCAGCATGCCAGCAATGATGTCGATCTGCTCCTTGGAGCTGTAGCGTACGATTGAGAAACGCTCTTCCAAGAACCTGATCATCAGCTTGTGTGGCAGGTGGTTGGCCTTGTCCAGCAGAGCCTTTGCCGAGGGCAGTGTGGGGCGCTTGTTGTTGGCGGCGGGCGATGGTGTGGGCGTCACGCCGTCCATTGACGTTGTGGTAGAGGCCGAGATGGCCAGAGGAGAGTCATCGCGCTTAGTGTTGGAAAAGATACCAATCCTCTGGTTGACTGTCCATGACCAAATGTCGCTGATGGATGTCATTATGAAGCGAGTGAGGTCGGGGCGCTCAGCCAGCAGCCACTTCCACGCGGTGATACCAACCTGCATGGACTCCTGGGTGAAGATGATGGCGGGGGTGTAGCAGACCATGTGGATCAGACGCACGCTCTGGCCTGAGTAACGATTGATCAAAAAGGCACACGAGCGGTACATGATCGAGCTAAACACGTTGATATCGATGGTCTTGCGATCCTTATGGTACTCTCTGATCTTTTCAAACTCCTCGATCAGACGCAAGAAGGCCAGCTCCTCAACGATCTCAATCAGCTTCTCATTCTCGTCGGCGTCGCCACCATTCTCATTCTCATCGGCCATCATCATGTTGATCATTCCGTTGACCTCGCCTGTGTACAGTGCCTTGAGCTGCAAAGTGCTGACGAACGTGGCAGCATTGCTGTTGGCGATCGATGGAGTGGAGATGTTTGCTGAGGACGACTTGTCGTTGAGACGCGAGTTGTTTGGCGAGAGGATAGAGCCACCGGACGTGTTGTTGCCCGAGTCGATCGAGCCGATCTCCACGGCCAGCGAGAAACCAATGTGGTTCTGACCTAGCTGGCTGAATCGCTGCATGTACTCCTGGAGCTGCTCGGCCACCTCGGTTGGTGCTACGGCAGCGCCATTCTTGAGCCACAGGTTGCCGAGCTCGATCACCTCCTGCAACAGACGCTTGCGGGCAGGTGTCTCATCGGGCAACTCAATGATCTCGCCAGTGTTTGGCATCTTGATTGAGATCATGTCCATGGGCTTGGTGCGTGCAGCCTGGCCAATAACGTCGAGCAGGTCGAGCAAAGTTGACAGACACTCGCGGTTCCAGAGGATAGCAGGGAACTTGGCAACAAGAGAAGAGATCCACTCGTCGGCGGCCTTGCGGACCGGCTCGTAGGGGTAGCAGAACTTGACCAACATGAAGCTGGCATGCGAGGCCAGCTCGTTCTCGCAGGTTGACAATGACATTGGCGAGAAGATCGCCAGGAACTCGGCAAAGACGCGGTCGGCAATGCCACGGATACATGTGCTCACGTTGGAGTTGTCGATTCCCTGGTCCTCCAAGTAGGAGAAGATCACCTTGAATGAGTGGCTCTCGTGGAAACGCATTGTCTCGAGTGTGTGAACGGCGTAGACGTAGGCCATCTGGGCGAATGTCAGGTTCCTAATCACGTTGACACCAGGCAGGCACTCATTGAGGGTCGTGCGCAGCTGTACAAAGTACTCCTTCTCAAAGCCCTGCTTGATGATCGATTCGAGCTCCAGTATGATCTCCAGGTACAGGTGAGTCTTGGTCGAGATCAATGGATGGAGATGCGCAGCAATCACTTGGACGCATTCCAACCAATCAGTACGCCATGTTCCCGGCACACTGAACTTGAACATCACACAATAGAACCATACCGAGCGGAACAGCTTGATGTTGCCGCTGTTGATGGTGTCGAAGCGCAGTCCTGTGGACACAGCGGAGGGATTGACTCCAGCGGCTACGGGCTGCTTGACCAACTCGGCGATTGTGGGCAGCAAGAAGCCCATGCCCTTGAGGATGGGCGAGGAGATGTTCTGCTCGAGATCCTCGCGCTTGATTGTCTTGCCTAGCTGCTGGAACAACTTGAGCACACTCATGCAGAGATCTTGACGCAGCTCGGGATGCGTGAGGTCCTTGGCCAGACGTTGCAGGGCGATTGGCGTGATGTTGGTGATGAACACCTGATTGGGGTCCTTGTAGATCTTCTTGAAGAGGTTGGTGATGAGCACGACGATGTCCTTGGTAATGGACTCATGGCCCAGCAGCGCAATGTCGGTCAGCTGCTCCAGGATCAGGTTCTCAACGTTGCTAGGAGGGTACGTCACCATCGAGATCAGCTGCTCACGGATTAGATCCGTGATGGTGGGGTCGTTCAGCGAGCATGTGATGCGGCCGAGACACCTGATAATGTTGGACAGTGCGTCGCTCTGAATGTTCACCGAGGATGGCGAGCGGGGCAGCTGCGACTCGGCCATGCCCTGCTGTGACACCATCTGTCCGCTCGTGTAATTGTAGTAGTGCGTCTGGAGAGTGTTGACGAACGAAGCGATCACCTGGCGACAGATGTCCACCTGCTCCTTCATCTGCTCGTTCTTGAGTATCTTGCAGATCGTGTCAAAAGCGGCCAGACGAATGGCCTCTGAGTGCTTGGGCACCAATGAGTTGCTGATAAAGTCTTTGAGAACGTCGATAACTCGCGTGACCTTGTCTGGATACTTGTCGGTGAGCTTCACGAGCGATGAAAGCACGGTCGAATGCAGATTCTCTGTATGCTGTCTCTGCAGTGCCGAGAGTACCTCTTCGCTCGAGTAGTTCTTACTGTCTGTTATATACCTGGTAATGAACTCCAATACGTCCTTTCCAATCGACGCATCATGTATCGCGCAGCTGACCATAACATTCTGTTCGTTCCAAGAGCGTGACAAGTTAGTGTCCTGTCATGACCTGTGTTGTCATATCATGTGTTGCCCAGACTTACAATGATTGAGATAAACGTCTCATTGTCAGCAAAGTAATGGATGTTGGAAGTGGAGGTATATGGCAATACATTGTTGTACAACTTCTTATAAGTATCTGAGTCAACCTGTTCCTGTGGCAGGCTGGTCATCTGTTCATATGCTCTACATATCAACAAGAGACACTACATGATTGATTGATTGAGTGAGTGAGCGGGCCATCACCATCTCCATCACAATAACAAACATACCTTCTTAACATTAAACTTGGCTAATGATGTTGATGTAGTTGAGGCCTTGGGATTGGGTTGGTTGGATGAACATTGAAGTTGATTGAGGAGATACTCGATGGAGACGATCACTCGCTCCAACTCATCTTGTTGATAGTTGAATCGGTGATTGCTGCCCATGGCACGAAGTGCACCGTAGATCAACGATGGATTGGTCATAGTGTTGACAATGTGTTGGAAGAAGTCGAGGAAGGCCGGCACAATGATGCGTCTGGCATCAGTGGTCACGTGTGACAGTATGGACAACTGCTCGATCAGGTAACAAGTGAAGTTGGTGGCGTGATCGGCGTCCGATGGACTTGCCGTGGCAAAGTCCGTATACGTCAGATAGTACATGAACGATGTCAACAGCGATACAACATTAACATCATCCGGGTTGATCACTCCATTCGAACATTTGTACAAGTGTGACAGAGCAATCACAGACTCTTGTGATCTTATACTCTATAATGTGATTGATTGATCATGATTGATTGAGTGAATGAGTGAATGAGTGATCATGATTGGAATGATTCCAACCAGCCGCCAATGATGATTGATTGGACACTTACAACTAATGATGTTGACACTGTTGGATTGGCATTGACAGTTGATTGTAGTTGAGCATCGTTGAGTGTTACATCGAGATATCTTCGACCAGCTGGCAGCAGGGATAGACACGAACTGATGAGTATCTGTGCACTATCCTCTGGTATTGGATTTAGAAAACTAATGGTCTCTGCCAACTGAACCTTTGCCGATAGTCTAAACAACTCTGGCACTGTTTCATTAAGTTGTCTGAACTCATTACTACTCTTTGTATTAAGAGATATCATTATATCTATGACTCACAGATCAATATGTTGATTGATTGATTGATTGATCAAGATATATTATGATATATATATATATTATATGTATTATAAGTATGAAGAATATAAGTGTGATTGGTTGATGAGATACTTCCGACTCATTGAATGAATGAACGTCTTCTTCAGGGTTGTGTTCACAAAAAAAAAGTTGGGGTGGTGTGATTAGCACCCAGTGCACTCAAAAACGACATTGATCAGCATGATCATGACACCATGATGGTGAGTAATCAATCATCACTTATTAATAATCAAGTAATAATAGTATATTATTTGTTTAGAAGTTTGTAATGTCACGTCCAAAGACAAGGGTACGTGCCCAATCAAATGGTACTTGTAACTTGCTACGCAGTGATCCAAGACGTGTGAGATAGGCTGATCGCCAGGCTATCCAGGCTGCAAAACCACTGGCTTGAACATTGGATGTTTGGAATAGCGATGACTTTCTGCCAATGTACGCCAGAATACCAAAGTAGTGATAGACGAATGGATTGATCTGTCGCTTCTTGGCAATATTGTTGAATTGATCGGCCAGGTAGAAGCCTTGCTGCTGCGCCACCTGTGCCGTGGCTGGCAGTGCCAGGTTGTCCACGTTGGAACAGTCGCCAAACGCGTATATATCCTTGGCATTATTGATCTTTAGATACTTGTCCACCATTATCCTGCCCTGCTTGTCCTTCTCAAAGCTGAGTGCGTTGCTGAGCTTCTGTGGCGCCACGCCAGTCGACCACACCAGCAGGCCAAAAGGTATCTCGGAGCCATCCGACAATGTAACCTTTCCATCATGCACCTCCTTGACTGGGGCGTTCGTCTTGACATCCACACCCGATGACTTAAAGTTCTCCAATGCAGCCTTTACCAACTTCTGATCAAACGCACTCAATATCGTGTTGGACGCCTCCAACAACGTTATCTTGACTTCATTCATTGGTACATTTGGGAACCATCTTGACAAGTCCTCCATCACCAAGTCGTTCAGCTCGCCACAGAACCTATTTGATCAAACAATAATACCTGTTAGCTCGACCTGGAATGATTCCAATCTATCAATCATACATACTCAACTCCTGTGGGACCTCCACCACAGACGACGAATGATAGTAACTTCCTACGCTCTTGAGGCGTGACATCGGGTAGTGATGCCATCTCGAAACAGTAGATGATGCGCTGACGGATGGATCGGGCTTGGATGAGCTCTTTGAGGAAGAAGGCATACTTCTCGACACCTGGTATATTGAATGTGTTGTTCCTGGCACCAACGCCAACGATCAGATGATCATATTTGACACTGAATGGCACCTGATCGTGGATGGTCGATATGCATTGTACGGTCTTGGCCTCCTGATCAATTGCAGTGCACTCTGCTTGCAAATAATCAAAGTCATCCTTTGACGACCTAATTGGTTGAGCGATCGACCTGAACTCCAATGTGCCAACCGATGTGCTGGCCAACAATGGTGTGAACAGGAAGTGATTCCTTGGTGATATCAATGTAATATCATAATCTGATGATGATACTAAAGTGTTTGATTGATTGATTGGACATGATTAGATGTTTGTTGATTGATTGAGTGAGTGAGTGGAATGATTCCAATCAATCGGATACATACATCTTTTGAGGAAAGCATAACTGCTCCATCCACAACCTAAGATTACAACCTTTGGTTTCTTTCCCTTTGATTTTGATGTAGTTCCAATATTAAGATATGATCTGGTTATTTGTTGTGTTTGTTGGCTGACCAATAGTCGCGTAGCAACTCCTCTTCCAACTGTTATACTATTCATTCTGATTGATTAAATATATATATTCTTGTTAAGTTGAGATGTTCATATGACTTGACTTAGTAATAATGAAACAATTGAATACAACAAGTATTTATAAATTAAACCAAAGAGGGTTACCAGGCTGAGTCGGGAGTCGACTGATGACAGAGAGTGTGTGTGGGTGAAGTTGATCAAAAGGGTTTCGGGGGTTACATCAACGACTCAGAGTGACGCTTGTGAATGACATTGTCGAATTATGGAACTGTCATCATTCGAATCAGTTGTGATGGTCATGTGCCGACAACATAATGGAGAAGGCCTTTACCCTTCTCACCTTTAAGTAGTGTATTATTATAAATCAATCATCATTTTTTAGATCAGGGTATGGTATTATCCCTGACCCACTATCCAGAGGGTCACAAGACGATGATGAAGATGTAGGTGATAATAATATTGTGTTGTGATTGTTGTTGTCATTGTTGTCATTGGTAGTGGTAGTTGTTGTGATGATAGTAGGTGAGGTTGAAGGAGAGACTGAACAAAGTGACTGTGACTCGATTGATGAAGGTGATGAAGAGGAGGATGAAGATGATGATGAGGACATCGTCGATGAAGATGACACTGGATTGTCAATATCCAAGCTATAACTAGACATACTAGATACCTGTATTGATGGCTTAATGAGTGTATATGTGTAAGTGATCAATCAATCTCAATCAAACTTGAAGTATACATACAGCCTTGAATCCGTGACTTCTAAATCCAAAGCCCATCTTCCATTTGTTGCTATTGTTTGTGTTGTTGCTCATACTGCTACTGATACTACTGTGACTGCTGCTTATACTACCACTCCTGTGATGATGATGGTGATGATGTTGGTGTCCATGTTGTTGTTGATGTCCATGATGTTGACTATGATGATTGGACAACAATGACGATGACGTCGACGAAAATGATTGTGACATTGACCCATTCAATCTGGCATTGTTGGCCTCATTGTCTGGCAGTGAGCTCGACACCATTGTCTGCTCATTCAACTTTGATTCCAATTGAAGGTTGTCCAATAGAGTGCTCCACTTCTTCATGTTCTCCTCGAGTGTGGTCTGAATGTACTCCTTGGTCACGCGTGTCCTGCTGCCACCGGGAGATCCGTGACCTTGTTGTTGTGAATGAACATGTCCATGTGCCGCCAGTCCACCATGGTTGGGCTGTACAAGCTTCTTGATATTATTGCATATCTTTGTGTATTCATGTGCTCGTTGCCTCTCCAACATTGACAGGTCGCGATACCTTGATCCATTGGACCTCAACAACAACTCTTCCAGACTCTTTGCCAGTCTTGTATAAAAGTCCGTTGTCATACTCTGCAACTCTGTTATCTTCATAACATCTGATGGTTGAATGATGTTCTTTAACTTCTCCTGTTGTTGTTGTTGTTGTTTCTTCGGTTGTGTTTGTGATGATGATTGTTGTGATGTTTGTGATGTTGATTGTGTCGTCTTGTTGGTGGTCGCCGTTGTATCATCAACAACAGTTTGTACATCTTTGAATGATTGCGATGGCTGTGATAGAGGTGGTGTGGATATCGTGGATGTGATGGTCGACTTCTTGGTTGGCGTGGACATGGCGCCAGTGAGGTTTAACTTGATCGTTGGCAATGAACTTGATACCAACATCTTACTACCTGCTGATGATTGGCTTGGTATATCAACACTTGGACTATGTTGTAATGTCGCCATCTGTTGCAGTCTACTCTTCTCCTTCAACTCTTGATGTTTCCTCTCCACAACAATGTCCAACAGTCCATCAATGCCATCCCTTATGCCAACTGTATGATTGTTTGATTGTGGTTAGCTCACTGGGGACATGGATGACCATGATTGATGGGATGTCGAAGTACCTACCATCTCTCCTACAGCTTGTTGCTTTCCAGAATGAATACTCGCTTGCTTTACAATACTAATTACATGTTTGATTGATTAGTTATCATTCATCAATCATCAATGAATGAAACACATACATTGTCCAAGTCAGAGTTTGAAAGTACTGGACCAGAGACATCTTGTTTGTTGGCAAATAGGACGATTGGGATGCGATGATCTAGATGACGTTGACGAAGTACACTCTTCCACTCATCAACTGATACAATGGAGGCAGCATTGGTCAAGTCCAACACAAGTATAATGCCAGCCACTGAATGTAATATTGAAGACAAATGCTTGCCATTGATCTCTGCATGTGCCACATCCAAGAACTGTATATCTAAACAACAAGTGGCCAATATATTACTCTGTGGTTGCCATTGCTTTGTAAGAGGTGTCGTTGATGTCGATGACTGTGTAGTTGTTAATGTCTGTTGTGTCATTGTCGGTGAAGTCGTTGTCGAAGTTGTCGTCATGTTGTTGCTCGGGGATGACGATACTGATTGAGTTGACTCCAAAAACAATGTTGACAAGTCTGTACCGATGGTTGGTATATGTGATACAGTGAAGCAATCTTGAAGATACCTTCTTATTACACTACTCTTGCCAACTCCATTGCCACCCAGTACCAATATCTTCAATATATGTTCGATTGGTGGATTGTCACGATCACGAATAGCCAGTGTAGACGTCGACTTTGAGAACGAAGATGATGAAGACGATGTCAAAGTACTCCTCTTCAACAATGTATCACCAGATGTTGTGAGTGGTGTTGTTGCTGTTGATGATATCGTCGAGTATGGTGATGGTGATGGTGATGATGAAGGTGATGCCGCAGGCGAATGTACATTATTTTGTTCTTGTTGCTCTTGCTGCTGCTGCTGTTGCTGCTGCTGCTGCCTATTATTTAAATAAAAGTATAGTTTACTTAGCATATGTACATAATAATTACATGTAGTTTAGTTATGTTTGTTTGTTTGTTGAGTAAGTAGTATGATTGATTGAATAGATGTGAATGCTTAGCATTGTTTGGATGTGGTTGCATTGTTCAATGCATCATGACCACACCCCACTCTTCCTTTCTCCTTTGATCAATCCTTCGAACAAAAGTTCGTAAAACATTTCAAACACCAACTTCCCGCCATTTTTTGAAACTCATTCATTCTCAAGTTCAATGTTATAGTTAATCAATCAATCAATCATTGCACTTATACATAACAGATACATAATAATAGTAATAACAATATGATATCAAATCAATATCCACAATCACCATTCACAAATGGTGGAGCTACAACAACAATCAATCGAAACAACAATGGAACAGCAACATTCTTTAGAACACAACAACAACAACCAACAACAAACTATCAATCACATCGTTATGATGATAATGATGATGAAGATGATTATAATAGATTGTTTGAAACACCAAAGATAAAGAGACAGCCTCATGATGATAATGTTAAATATCCAATTGACTTTCATGAGAGAGAGGTAACAAAGGAGGAGTTGTTGACCGTTCATCTGGAGACATTAAAGAAGGAGACGACGTTGCAACAGAGTGCGATCAAAGAGACCAATGACAAGTATCAAGAGGCATTAAAGACAATCGACAAGTTACAAGCTGAGGTCAAAGCGATGACCCAAGACAAGTCACAACGCGATCAAGAAATGTCCGAGTTGAAGCACCTCCTCAATATACAAGCCGACAAATGGACTCAACTTAGGAACTATGTATGTTCATTCGTTCAATCACATACACTCAGCACTCATTAACTCAACTCGATCTTTATCAACAGAGCAACGAACAATCAGATGTGATTAATAAGCAGAGCAATACTATTAGTGAGTGTCATCAACAGATACATACTAGTAGGGAGCAGATTAGTGACTTGATTCGTGCGAGGACTGCTTTGATCATTGATTTGGACAATGCCAAGAGTGATCTGTTGCAACGTGGATTGCAACAACAACAGCAGATGGAACAACTGAACATCACATCCACGGCAGGTCAATACCGTGCCAAGATTGATGAGCTCTCAAACAAACTGATGATTGCCAATGATACCATCAAGAAGGTATGTGTACTCCCCAGCGATCGAGTTGACACCATGCATGCAACTGACTTACACTCATTCATTCAATCAAAGTTGACAATGGACAACAACAACAACATCAACAGCAGCAGCACATTAAATGGCGGAGCATCAAAGAGGAAGGATGGTCCAATGGCCACCACCTCCGCCTCCATCAATGAGTTGGAGGAGGAGAATCAATGGCTGACAAAGGAGTTGAATGATTTGAGAATCAAGTACAATCAGTTGGTCAGCGATCACAATAATACATTGGGAACGATCAATGATGTTGAGATGGTCATTGAGGCGATCACCAAGGAGAACACCAATCTCAAGTCAGAGAGAGAGAGTCTGTTGAACGATACGATGACACTAAATGGCAAACTGGCCAACCAGGAGGAGCAATACATGTCGTTCAAGCAGCAGATGTATGCCGACCAGCGAGAGCGACGTACATCGGACGAGAGCATGCTGGATCAATCAAAGCGCGAGCTCATTGAGATTGTTCGCGAACTCTCTGCCATCAAACAGCAACTCAAAAAGCTGGATCAATCCCTTGGCTTTAGGTTTGCCATCAGTGGCAACAATACCAATGGTGGTGGTAGATCAATGTATAATAGTAACAACAACAACAATGGCAATGGTATTGGCAATGGAAATGGCAATGGAAATGGACTCAATCCTTTTGCATCGTTCAATTCCAGCGACTCACTTGTAGACAACTTGCAAAAGGTCCACGATGAGATACTCAGCATCAAACAAACAATCATGAACCAACAGTACTACTTGCTGCGATCAGCAGCCTCTTGATGTTTGTTGATGTCCATCAATCAATAAACAATTAAACAACACCAAGTCGATCGTGTGTATTAATGTGTGTGTGTGATTGATTGATTGAGTGGTGAGTGAGTTGGCGAGGGTTAGTGATGGTTGATGATTGAGAGGATGAAGGATGGATGGATGTGTGATGGCGAGTGGTGTAAATATATATTTGTTATACATACACTAGTACTTACATGGATGCAACCATTTTGAAGGGCGGGCAACTTATTTAAATAATATTAATGTGATTGATTGATTGATGATACCTCAACACAATCTCAATCACTCATTACCATCACCATTGATTGATTGATTGATGGATTATTGACATAGTTAGAATTTAAAGTGAACATTAGGAAATGGACAACAACAGTAATAATATCAAAGATATTCCATCTTCAATACTGATCACTTCCAACTCAAATAATAATAATAATGATAGACATAGGATACATCAAGGACATTATAATGATACATCAGGTATCAATCATTATCCAATAGATGATGATTCACAGTTTGATGATGGTGCATCATTCTTCTTCAACAACAAAGATAATCTACATACTCCAACACAATATACATCATCCAATACCAACCCATATAAGATACATAATCCAGAACCATTGACCAACTTTGAGTTGGAGAAGATTACCAAAGATGTCAATGAGTCATTAAATGAACACTCTGACTTTGCAATCAGTCTATTAATGTAAGTTAACTTAGACATAATAATGATCATTATCATTATCCTAATCAAAATAATAGTTTCCTTCTAGGGTTCTTCCTAGTTGTACCATGGTTCTTTGGAGTGTTATATACCAAGTCTACGAGTCGGACAGCAGTTCGACTAGCATGGGCATCGATAACACTTGGAATAGTTAGTCTATTTATGATTATATTCATCTTTTGTTTCGTTGAAGAGGTGGAATTGGAAGAGAAATAGTCATCAACTTCATAAGATCACCTAGCCTTGTAAGCCTCTTTCGGAGACGACACCATAAGAACAGCAATACAATTAATTAATATATATAATATTAATGATAATTATAATTAAAGTTCAAATAACTGTAACTTGTCTTGAATAATATAATGAGATCATCATCTTCAACAACTATTTACAAGGCTATCATCACCAAACATTGCTCAACTCCCTTCTCTTTGTGTACAGCCAAACAATCCAATCACCAAACTGTGGTAGTGTGGGGGTTCGTGACTGTCCGAAAATCAGACAGACGTTGTAATCTGTGCCAAAGAGCTCAATGAGTGAGAGTGTGATGGATGACACCAGCCTGGTTGGTGTTGTTGTTGTTGTTATTGCTTCTGCAGCAGCTTTGCCAATAGGCATTTGTACTGAATGACATCTGACTTGACTGACTGATTGCAGTGCTACTACCACTGACTGACAGACAGACATCTGCTATTGCTCCTACCTACAGCTGTCGTTGTAGCTGTGTCAGAGTGAAGTGACAGTCACCTACAAACCTAGGTCTGAAGACATCTTGGTTAAATAGAGTCAGACACCGTCCATTCAATCAATCAATCATTCATTCAATCAATCAATCATATACATATACAAAGATAGTTATATTCAGATAATGGATAATCAACAACCAACAATACTATCACTGCCACATATCGTGGTGAAGGATATCATGTCAAAGGCTTATGATAATACTGATAGGATATGCTTTGTACTGGCGTGCAAGACATTGTATGAACATAGATCAAAGTACTTGTTGTTCTCAGTGGATACATTCCTCAACGCCTATCACTCTGCCGACTACTACCTCAATCAACGTTATCGTCTACATGCCTTTTCCAATCAGATCATTCAATCAATATCTTATCATCATAATACTACCACTACAACTTCATCATCAAGTAGTAGTAGTAGCAGCAGTAGTAGTAGTTGCAGTAGTAGCAGTAGCAGCAACAGTAACAACTACCTTAGTACATCAACAATCACATCTGGCAACTGCTGTCGCCATACCTCCCCTTCCTCCCCATACTCCTCATCACCCTCATCATCATCCTCCTCGTCCTCCCCATCCTTCTCTCCCAACTCATCTCAATCAAACATCCCTCATCCAGTCCACTCAATCACTGTTCATTCAATTGATCAAGGTAAGTACTTGCGATTGATCGGTCACACCTCAATCAATCACTAACCAATCAATCAATCAAACGAATAGTGATCAATCCAGTACCATCAAGAGAGGGATCAATTGGTACACTTACATTTGGACATAAGTTCAACTCTCCATTGCCACCATTGTCACTGATACCGGCGTTTAGAGCATTGGATACATTGGTGTTTGGATGGGCATTCAATCAGGACCTGTCCAACGTCCTGCCTAATGGCCTCAAACACCTGACATTTGGATGGCACTATGATACCGTCATCCAGCCCTACACACTGCCCTCATCCATCGAATCATTGGTCTTTAGCTTCCATTATAATCAACCATTCCAGACAGACTCCATCCCACCCAACGTCAAGCTACTGCGTCTGGGCACAAAGTTCAATCACGCATTTGCTCGCGGAACACTGCCACCATCCATCACTCAGTTGGAGTTTAGTGATCATTACAATCATGCGATCGAATGCGACATCCTGCCACAAGGCCTCAGCATTCTAAAGTTTGGCGAGCGATTCAATCAGGCGCTGATACCTGGCTCGCTGCCAACCGGCCTCAAGCAGCTCACATTTGGCCACGACTACAATCACATCATCCTTCCCAACACCCTGCCCAACGCGCTGATCGACCTGACGTTTGGCCATCTCTTCAACAGGCCGATTGGACTGGACGTGTTGCCGACGCAGCTGCAGGCGCTGCAGTTTGGCGAGAACTTTATCAGGGAGTTTGAGAAGGGCTCGCTGCCAGAGTCAATACAACGCATCACCCTGGGTAGGAAGTACATCAAGATCAATGAGTTCTACGCCATACCGTCCAACGCTGTGATCAGACTACATGAATGCTCCATATCCATACATCGCTATCATCAACCATATGTGCTCATACTAAGTGGATGCTTTGATGGTGGATTCATGACAACAATGTGTCTCAAGCAACTACTATGTCATGGTGATCAGCTCACCTACATCCTATGCAATCATCATCAACAGTAAAGTAAAGTTAGGATGGACCAGGTCATCATCACTTCCATCTTTGATGGAGAAAACGAAGGGAAGGGGTCACGACTTGTGAACTTGCATTGTGTCCATTCATTCATTTGAATGAATGTCGTTTGATAAACATACATATATCATTGTTATATTGATTTCTGCACTTATATTACTAGTTAACAACAACTATACCAATAATACAATGGTACAACAAGGAGTCAAGAACAGGAGGATACTACTTGCCATTGCTCATCCTGATGATGAGTGCATGTTCTTTGCACCAACCATTCAATCATATGTCAACAACAATGATAGTGTCTATGTACTCTGTCTATCAAATGGTAAATGAGTTGATTGATCGATCTACATACATCATCAACTAACTCATTCAATCATTCAATCATTCAATCATACATATAGGCAATGCAGAAGGATTAGGAAAGATTAGAGAGAAGGAGTTGACAGAGAGTTGTAAGGTGATGGGTATCAATGGCAGCAATGTTAGAGTTGTCAATGATGATAGAATGCCAGATGGTATGAAACAAGTCTGGCCACAACAAGTTGTCAAACAACATATACAATCATTAATCAATGAATGGAACATCGATCATGTATGTAGTTGTCCATCAAAGTGTCAAGTGTCAAGTGTCAAGTCCCATCCTAATCAATACCAATGCCAACATCAACATCAATAGATACTTACATTTGATGAAGGAGGTGTATCAGGGCATCCCAATCATATATCTGTATTTGAAGCGGTACGATCAATCATTGAAGAACAAGGACAACAAAGACAGAATCAGAATGAGTTGACAGGTGAGAAGTTGGAAACAGTCAATATTGTTAGAAAGTATATTGGTATTGGAGATATTGCATGGTCTTATCTAGTCGGTGGCGCCACAACTTCCAATAGTTACTTGTCATGGCAACCATTTGGTATCAACTACTTGGCGATGAAACAGCACAAGAGTCAATTCGTTTGGTTCCGTCATCTATTTGTATTCTTCTCTCGATACTCCTACATCAATACACTGCGCAACATAACTGATCAAGTTGCACTGTGATCTTCTTTGCACATGCAGCTCGCAGAACCATTCTCCACTTCTTTTCCATTTCCCAAGTTCATGTGACTTTTGCTTGAATTGTGGATGACCACCAACTTCCAGCTTGTTAACGTCACGCCCACTCACTCCAACACACACACTCACTGACTTACTCACTTCCCTCCAATTCAACAACAAACAGTTACTACTACTACCTCTCTCTCTTATTATTATATGTATAACATGTTGTGGTTACTCCTTATGGAGTAAGTAGTAGTAATAGTTTGTTCATCTACAATCAATCAATCATACAATAATGAATAGTAAGCAGAGTACTTCGTCGTCACCAGCCTTTGGAAAGGTTAGAGTTGCTACTTCTGCAGCAAGCAGGGCTGTATCGGTGGCATCGACCGCCCCTCCTTCAAGTCCAAGCAACAAGTTGACATCATGTGCAGCCACTTATACACAAGACCATTCCATGACATTATCACAATCGACAATAACACTCCAATACAACAAACAGAAGTTATCCAAACATTCATCGTCAAGACAGAAGAAAAGAGGCAACAACAACAACAGTCATCACAACCATAATAACAACAACAATGACAACACTGTCATTGATATACCACTGGATGTCGTCCAACAACAACAACAACAACAACAACAACAATCTATGGCCACTGCTACATCATCTTCAAAGAAGAAGAAGAATAAGATTGATATAACACATTTATTGGTTACCAGACCAACATATCACCATCCAAACTATGACGAAGGACATCTTCCAACCAAAAAGGGCAATCCCAATCAATCTGCCAGACAATATCTAAAGTCAAAGTAAGTATTGTCCAGGATAACCAAGTCATTCCCACTTACTGACTCACCCGTCATGTATCCAGTTATTACTTTAAGGTTAATCCATATGGAAACTATCAATCAACTATACAAAGTATGTGTAATGATTGATTGAATGATTGATTCATTGTTACTCACACGCTCTTATGATATCCTCCCTCATTAGATCCTGCATCCCTTGTCGCGTGGAATAAGATTGAACAAGTGTTGTACCTTCAGTCCACTGAGAGCTTGGCGTGTCCAATCTGTTTCGAGACGCCCGTTGCTCCGTAAGTGATATTGGGGAGAGACTCTACAACATCAACAACCTGCTCATACTCTATTCTCAATCAATCTCTATAGGAGGGTGTCAAGATGTGGACACATCGTTTGCTATGGATGTTTGTTGAGGACATTGTCCGACAACAATAGATGTCCTGTGTGTCTTAGACCAACGAATGAGTCGGACTTGAAGAGTGTGTATATTAAGAGATCCACGAGCTATCGGCCAGGCGACACAATCGAGCTCAGACTGCTAAAGTTCAAAGAGGGTACGACAATACCCTATCTCTATGAACAACAGATACCTGATACAGTTGGACTGCCAATGCACAACCAAGAGAATGCCATCTTCTCGCGGTTCTCAATCATTGAAAACATTGACGACATTGTCCAGAGTGAACGAGAGCAATTGGCGACAGCCAAGGAGGCGGCGCTCACACAGGGCGAGTTTGAAACAGTCAGATATCTTTCGATGGCCGAGAAGCAGGTCGAAGACCGCTTGGAATCATTCCGAACATTGACCGAGAGGAAGCATTTGGAGTCCCAGCATGCTGTATATTTGACATCGATTCCACGATATAATCCAAACAGAAAGACCAGTGATCCATTGCATCACTATCATTGTAGCAACAATAATGATATCAAGTATGCCTTACAGGACTATTACTATCTCCAAGAGGACTGGGAGATGGACAACATGGACGAACAATTGGACTGGAGGTTCAACTCAACATCATCAATGGCCACATCTGCATCCATGGAGGAGCAGACATCTGCTCTTGTTGCTGCCTCTGACGCTGCCACCGACCAACAAGAGACAGGAGACAAAGACCAGGACAACATTGTCGACAATGATGTGGATGATGACAAGGAGTTTACATTCTACAACACAGCAATTGAGGGAGTGTATTATTACTATCAATCTACGGATGGACAGCCGATATATCTCCATCCGTCATGTATGAAGTTGTTGTCAAGAGAACATCATTCGAATGATGGACATACATACTTGCCAACACTGCTCCAGTCAACAATAGTATCAATGGAGACACATGAGATTACTGCTCATTCAAAGTATAAGGCACTGAGCATGCTGGCACCTACCACTCAGATCACCTTTGTCACTCTGACTCTTCCTCCAAGTCTTCAAACAGATGGAGGGCAACAACAATAACAAACAAAGCCCAACTCAAACAATAACATTAATTAATGAACAGCTGTGTCAGTATTGGATGTGCCCCATTAAGTGTTTGTTTGGTTACCCCTGGTGGACAAGCCTATCCGCGATAGCACGACACAGATTTATTCTTATAATGTGATGTTGTTGTTTTTTAAAAATTTAAATCGCCTTTGGTCGTGTGGGTATGTGTTTGTTTTCATGAACAACTAAGCTATCTCTCTCCGATCCATTTCACAATCCACGCACTTACTCTAAAACATACAAACAACAAACAACTAGTTAGTTACAGATATATATATTATATAATATATATAAATAATAGCAATCTTTTTTTTTTCCAATAGCCTCCTCCAATCAACATCATCATCGTCATCCTCCTTCAACATATTGTACATTTAGCTCACTCCATCACTCATTTATTAAATCATTCAACCATTCATTCATACATTCATACATTCAAATAATCATTAAGATCATTAATTAACTATTATTATAAAGCCTTCATCTACGTACAAACAAGCATACAGACATTCGTACATACATAAAGATAGACATTAATAGAATACATACAGTTAGTAACTTTAGTTAATATATATAATATTAATATATAATATATATAATATATATAAGTACACATAATCATCGATCGATTGTTGATTACTTGGTCGTAATTGGACACTACTACCAACTATACATACACTCGTGAACATTGTGTATTTATCATTTTTTTTTTTGTTCATCACCATCCCTCCCTCCTCATCTCATATATACCAATCAATCAATCACTGGTCAATACCCTGTCCTCTGAATGGGAGATCATAATCATTCAAACAAACACAACAACTCTACATCATTTGTACCTCAATGGCTACAATCAAAAGATTCAGCAGGTATGTTCATTCAATCGAATTAGACTCGCGAGTCCTTCTGACACCCATCCATCATCAAACAACAGATAAACAACAACAACATATGACTGATAATCATCCCGAGCGCAAATCAAACCTTTCACCTGAAGCAACAGCAACAGCAGCATTGTCCAACTCACAGTCTTCGCCGCCACCTTTGAACAACAATCAAACTGGCATTCCAAAGTTAAATAGATCAAAGTCATCACCTCACATTGAACAGTTACTACAACAACAACAACAACTACAATCACAACAACACTCATCATCATCATCTCAAACTAAACATAATAATACTATTATACCATCATCTCTTATCAGTGGTGGCACATCAACAGCAACATCAACAACATCAATATCAACATCTACATCATCACCTGTATTGCAATCCAATGGAACTGGTCCATCACATCGATCGTCGAATGGCACAGTCACCAGCATCAATGGAATCAACTTGAACAGTATCAACAACAATAACAACTTCATTCTGAACAACAACTCATCGTTCACCAAGTACAAGACCAAGCCACCACTGTCCACATTCAAATCACAACCGAATCTAAACAACTTTATCGAACAGACGCAGCTGCCGTCACAGCAGCAGCTACAGCCTCAGCCGCAGCAACCCACATCATCATCAACATCATCATCGAGCAATAACAACATTACAGTTAGCGGCAAGGCAACACCTCAACAACGTTTTACACAATCCATTTCACCAAGCAGTCATCTCACTAGTGCCGACACACACTATCCCTCCAGCCAGGATACATCTAATCATTATCTTGTCAATGGAGGTCTCATTTCGAACCAAGCCCAGCAGCTGCAGTCGCAGTCGCAATCACTTCAACAACAACAATCATTTGTAAACAATGAACACAATATGGACGACAATCTAGACAATCAGGATCAATTCCCACCACTCGTCCTCAAATCACCAAAGATCACCTTCAACAACAACAACAACATCAATGTACGTTCTACTTCACCAACATTCAATGCCAATTCACCTGTACCACTACTATCACCTCCAAGCGCACAACCAATGGCATCATCAGCGTCATCATCATCGTCATTATCCGGTGTGACAATGGCAACAGTTGTCCCCTTGAGCGCTGGCCCCACTCTGGCCTCGCTCATCACCACAACCGCCACACAACAACAACTACAACAACATCAACCAACGACATCGACATCGCCTCTGTCTGCCTCCACCGAGGACTCCATCTCCAAGGAAAAGGCCAAGATCATCATCCCCAACATTGCGTCGTCGTCGTCCACCGGCAACAAGTTGTCCACAACGCACAAGTCTTCGATCATGTCCAACCCCAACTCATTGTTGGCTGGCGCAAAGATCGTCAAGGCTGGCGGTGGCCAGGCCGGAACGCTTGGCTCCACCACGCAGCCAAAGTCAACGGTACGATCCATTCAGAATGGTACCAATCCCAAGTTCATCCGTGCCTACTCTGAGCCCAACCTCCAGTCGTCTCTGCCCACCAGCACCAATGGCAACAAGGATGACGTGATCTCTGTGTCACGCAAGCAGCTCACTGATCCATCGCGCAAGTTGAAGACGCCCAAGATCAATAAGATCATCTCAAAGAATAGCTTTTATGAGAAGATTCAACAGACTGAGCTCGATGACAAGACGAAAGCACAGCAGCAACAACTTCAATTGGAAGAGCAGCAACAACAGCAACAGCAACAACAACTTGATGCTTCCGCTCAAACTAAGAATGTCGCCAACATGGTGCCATCAGCAGACTCGCCAACATTGACCAAGCATTCATTGTCAACTGGCTCAACAACTCCATTGTCAAACCCAACACAGACCAATGAGGGTGGATCAACACGTTCATCATCGCTCAACTCCCCCATGTATCAGTTGGACCATCCATGCAACACAAGTGTCAACAGCAATGGCGACGACGAGGAGGATGTGGAGCATGAAGAACGATTCCTTCGCGGTCTGGGCTGGGTGCCAGCCGAGGAGGATTCATTGTCCGACACTGAGATTGAGGAGATCAGCATGAAGATGAAGGAAATCAAAGCAATCCCATTGTAGGTAGAGGTAGTAGTGCCATTGGATCCAGCCTACCCTGCCCATTGTACTGTCTCGTCCATAATCACAAATAAATAGAATTGCAACAACTTCCGCAGTTGTCAGTCCAGGAACTATCCACTTCAATTAATTATTTGATTGCGTGGAAGCAAATAGAAGTTCAGTGTGTTGCCCAAAAAAAATTACATTAATAATGAATTATGAGGATGGTGAGTTCTTTTTATATGAATTAGATCCTCATATTGACCATTGTGGTCCATGACGAAAAGATCAGTGACCAAACTCAAAGCCATGGATGGGCCTCAAGTTGTTCTTGGATCTCAAGAAGATGGAATTGAATCTTGGTATTGGTTCGACTTCCGAGTTGTATATTCTTCAGAACTCTTGTAAGCTCGTCCATTGCTTGAACCAAGTCAGATGGCATGGTACCGACTGATTCCATTATATCACGGATGTCTTGGTTTGGCTTGGGTAAGGTAACAAGAGAGTCCTCATCAGAGTAATCATCTGAGTCGTTCTTGTTGATATTTGTTTCATTCAAAGTGCCCATTGGGATAGGTCCTGGTGGGAAAAGATAGACTATTTTATCCTTTGGAACCCTTGGGCAGTATCCTTCACCGGTCACAGGATCGGACACACAAATCTGATTGGGGGTCTTTGTGTAGCCATGGCACTTGTAATAACCAGCCTTACGCTTACCTCCATCAAGTATCTTGACAAAAGGTGGGACCAAAGCTGGGCTCACATCTTTGAGAGAATATATATATATCAGAAGTAATAAATGATTGGATTTAATAACTCTAGATGTTGTACTTGATGTTTATTATTTCTTTTGTTTTTTTACAACATTATATGAGGTGTATTCAATCTTGTCATTATCGACCAGGACTTTTCTGTATTCGCCAATGTGAAAGTAATTGTTTGATATCTCACACTTTCGGAGGGTCTCGCCATTGATCATTTCGGTCTTGAGAGAGTGTCTGAACTGATCTATCGTTTGGTTACAACCTTGATAACGCTTTTTAAATCGCCAAGAATTTACAATGGTCGCTTCCAACAGGTACCAAAATATTGACATATACCATCTCCTTGATTTATGAATCCAAGCATGGGACTTTATCATCTCATCATTTTGGTCAACATTGCCCATGTTTTGGCGATAGTCTGCGAGGGCCTCTGGCACTTCATGTGGCTCTAAGGTCGATGATGATCTCATTTCTGAAACAGAATTGTATGGTACCAAACTGGTTGGTGAGTGGAAGTTGCTGATCAAACCAAATATTCGAGAGTCCTTGATCCTGAGTAGAGTGATCGGGGTGCCAACCTTGGTAAGATAATTGTGTTCCATCTTTTGTCGCAATTTGACATTCTGAAGGTGAGCAGGGATGGTCTTCCTATCCAATCTGATTGTTCCACAACAATTGATTTGTATTGAATTGAGATACTCAAGTAGACCAATCGTTGTGAAGTAGTTG